TAGAGCATTGCATTAGGAAGGTAATGGAAGGGGACACAAGGAAAACAATGAGGGAAAACGCGGGAAAGTGGAGAAAAATCACTAAAGACGCAGCTGGCGAGGGTGGGAGTTCCGATAGGAACATTGAGGAGTTTGTTGCTAAATTGGGCGCTAAGACCTGAAAAAAGGAAAAGAGAAATGCTAGATTTATGATTAACGAACATAGTAGTAATCGATCTACTTATCCTAGTGAAAGGATATATGCAATAATATGTGCGGCACACTAAATACTCGACTATGTATCATGTGGGTCTCATTTGTTGATAATGTGAATTTTATACTTTGCCGCGTTATTTTCTGAACAGATATCGATTTCATACTTGTAATACTGCTTAAGTTCTAAACGATATGCGTGATATCTGTCAAATTTTGTCTCTATTAATTTGTTGTTGAAGAACTTCATCAGTTGTACCAAAAGAACTTGATTGAACAAAAGAAGCTAGAAAATTGATGAAATGACAGAAAAATGCTGTAAGTTAGGAGATTACAATTTGACTTAATGAGCGGTCCCCACGTCAATGTTGACAATGTTCACCCTAAACCCACGAAATGATATAAGAACTCCATTGGCCGACCTTTTAGGGATCATAACCATTCACTTTGTAGCCCTTGATCTCACGAACAACCTACTAAAATTTCAGCCAATTCCGACAAGGTTTCCCCATCAAGCCTTCGCCGGAAGTCGCTGCCTCTTCTCCCTAGCAGAACCCACCTCCCTCTCCCTCTTTTCTTTTTCTTGTTCTGCCGTTCCCTCCCTTGCCCGTTCAGCTCTCTCCCTCTTTCCTCATCCTCTTTCTTTTGGTTTTCTTGATGAGAGCTCATGATCGAGTGTCGTCATTGACGAATGATGTTTCATGTGTGAGGGTCTGTCTGCACACGTCCGAAGGTGAAAATGTTTCGTTTGAGCTAAACCATGTTGCAACATCTAACCTTTTTCTATATCATTCACATTCATCTGTTCTCCAATCTCGGCACTAGCTAATAGGAAGCTTCGCACACTTAATTCACAGAGTTGCGTATAACGAAACTACAGCTCAGATTGTCATTTTCTTATCTTCCATTCGAGCAAGTTCTTTTATTTTGTTCATGTTGTTCTTTCTTATGTTGAGGTTTGAAGAAAGATTCGACTCATAACACGAACCCCCTCCAGCACGACCATCGTTGATTTCCTTTTGTTGAATTTCTTTCGAAAAATAGCGTGCGAGCTTTCATTTTCCGGCTGTATCATTTACCTTATGAATTTAAGAATCATAGTGTTGTAAAATCTCATCATTTTGAAACTCTGATTAGCCTTTTGACTTCAATTCTTTAGCTGTAGCAAGGTTGCTCTTCCTGTTCTCTTTTGCCATTAATAATACCTATTTTATCGAACAAAATTACCTAATCATAGAGAAATTGTCATTTTAACTCGTTTTTCTTTTATAAGTCAATTGACTCAATTCCCAATTCCTTAGTTAGTAAAGCAACGCCGAGAGTCCGTCGCTAAATCTAGTAATTAATAAGTCTTAAGCGAAATGTGAGACGGATGTTATTTTTTTATCAAGCGACACTATATGTATTATGTCACGTCATTTAGCATATCAAATCTAGTCATCACTTTGTACATGTAACTAGTATCGATTGAGTTTAGAATCTATATATAACTATCTTATATGGCTGCTTAATAGTCTTGCAAGGTGTTTGTTGCACGGGACAAAATTATCTTAAAGATTCGAATTTAATTTATGTTTCCTAGGTTTAGGGTTTCGGAATTTTAACTAATTATCTTAGAAACTCAAGTTGTTTTTAGACATTATTTTAAGAGATTTTCTAATCATTTTCAATCAAGTTTGATGTAGGATTTTAGTATATTTTTGCTGACATAATGTCCTTTTGTAAAACGGTTTATCTCTGAATCAATGAAAAAACTATGAGAGACTTTTTTTTGAATTTGGGTTTGTGAGCGTGTTTGCGCCTATGTGCATGTGTTGCGAGTTTTACTAGTGTTTATCTATCGTTTACGTTATCGATTTGTTTATGGAGTCACGCGATGGTTGTTATGGTTAGAGGGTTAATTATTGTTAAAAAGATGAAAATTGAGGAATCTTCAATACGCGAAATAGTCGCATTTTATATTTCCCTTTAGGTGAAATCCAACGGGTCGCACAGGTTTGAAAATGATTTCTTATGAATCCGGATATATTTGTAACTCCGCAAAATAATATAAATTGTGCTAAAAACTTTTTATCATTATGAGGCTTATACGGCTGGATAAAGATATGGTAACTAGAAATCCATAAGTTATGATGTATTTATGGGAAAATTGTCAAATCAGTCCTAAACCTATTGTACGGCGACCAATTCAGTCCTAAACCTTTTAATTTTGCCAATTCAGTCCTAAACCTTTTTAATTCTTGCCAATTCAGTCCTTCCGGCCAATTTTGGCCGACCGGCGCTGACGTGGCCGCCGGCCGGCGTCGACCGTCCGGCCAACGCTGACGTGGCAATTTTTTATTATTTTTTTTCAATTTTTTAATCTTTTTTTTTCTGATTTCTTCCTCTGGCCGGTCCGGCGACCGGCGGCCTTCCAGAGGGGAGGGTCGGCGAGGTCGACCTCGCCGGCCTCGCCGCTGTTGAGGCGAGGCCGACCTCCCCGTCGCCTGGTTCGCGACGGCAAGGTCGAGCCTCGCCGGATCTGGGCGAGGCTCGACCTCGCCGTCGCCCGGGCCGCGACGGCGGAGGTCGAGCCTCGCCAGTCAGCTCTCGCATTCTTGGGCCTCGCCTAGCCCGGCGGCGGCAAGTCCGACCTCGCCGTCGCCTAGGTCGTGACGGTGAGGTCGAGCCTCGCCGGATCGGGCAAGGCTCGACCTCGGTTGTCGCGACCCGGGCGACGGCGGGTCCCGGCCGGGGCGGCGAGGCTCAAGCCTCGCCGTCGCTTGGGGCGCGACGGCAAGGTCGAGCCTCGCCAGATCTGGGCGAGGCTCGACCTCGCCGTCGCGCCCCAGGCGACGGCAAGGTCGGCCTCGCCTCGCGGCGGCGAGGTCGACCTCGCCGCCCCCCCCCTCGGCGGCCGCCGGTCGCCGGACCCGGCCGGAGGAAGAAATCAAAAAAAAAAAAAGATTAAAAAATTGAAAAAATAATAATAAAAAATTGCCACGTCGGTTGCTGCGGACGCACGCGCACGCAAGACGCCGATCAAAATTGGAGGAAGGACTGAATTGGCAAGAATTAGAAAGGTTTAGGACTGAATTGGCAAAATTAAAAGGTTTAGGACTGAATTGACCGCCGTACAATAGGTTTAGGACTGATTTGACAATTTTCCCATGTATTTATAGTTGGAAATACATGGCCATTCCTTCAGTATTTCTAATTCTACTCCTATGCACATGTTGACAATGTTCATCCTAGAACCACACAATGAAAAGATTTGAAACATGATGATGTTCCTTAGTGGGGCCAAACTTGAGCAGTAGGTAGGAATAGGAAAAATTATCCAAAATATCCTAAATCTATTGTATTATCCAATTCTGCTCTAAACCTTTTAATTTTGTTAATTGAGTTCTAAACTTTTTTACTTCTTACAAATTGAGTTTATCCAGTTAATTTTGGCTAGAAATCGCTGACGTGGATGCCGACCGGCCTACATGGTGATGACGCAGATAATTTTTAATAATATTTTAATATTTTTTTAATTTTCTTATTTTTCTCTTCGATCCTTTTTCCTTTTTTACTTTTTTTTTCCTCCCCTTCTTCCTCCTCCAGCCAGTCGCCAGGGGCCGACGGGGGTGAGGCTCACTAGAGGCCGGTGAGGCCGGCGGGTCAGTATCCATGTTAGCAATTTCCGGCTAAAATTGATCAGATAAATCCAATTGGCAAAAAGCAAAAGCATTTATGACTCAATTGACAAGAAGCGAAATATTTATAACTGAATTGGCAAAACTGTAATTGGTCGATGACTTTTTAGATAATTTTCTCGATAGGGATATGATTTCTCATGGCGATTTGAAGCGCTCGCGCTCTCTCTCCACAACGTGTGCCACGTTCCGTTTGTTTTTTATTTTGCTGGGACTCCATGGGGTTGAGTGGATTGGTTCAGCCATCTTCGTCTAGTTGATTGAAAGGATTCAGATCCAATTTTTAGCTTCATGATCACATTGTCAAACTTTTGTTTGCTCTTTCATTTCATACTCTCTCCACAACGTGATCAACGGGGTCAGCTTTTACCTGATAAGCTCCTTAGGGGGCGAATAATAATCATTCCGTTTCCTTATTTTTCTATTTTTTTGTTCTCCAAAACAGGTTTGGAACAAAAATCCGTTTGGTAAAATAATTTCATTTTTTTATTTTTAGGATAAATTTTGGCCCAAAAATAGATTTGAAACAGAAATGAGAAGTAAAAATTTTCCACTTTTCTATTTCTGAAATAGAAATAGAAATAACAACTTTTTTTTATTGCTCACCCTTGACGCCGCTTGCTGGCCCGTCCGTTGCCCACGCCGCCTGTCGGCCCCCAGCTGGCATGTCCACCGCTGCCCACTGGTCCCCAGTCGATCGTTCGCCGCCGCCGCTTGTCGTTCGCCTGCCCCTTGCCGACCGTCCGCCGCCGCCTCTTGTCGCTCGCCGGCCATTCGCCGCCGCTCGCCACCCGCCGCCGCTCGTCCTCTGCCACCGTCGCTTGCTGGCCCCCCTATTGCCGCCGCTCGCCGGCCACCCCCCTTCGCCGCTTGCCGGCCATCCGCCCGCCGCCACTGCTCGCATACCAGCGAGACATAAATTTTGTGTTGTTATCAAATGAATTTCTATTCTGAGAACAGAAATTTCACGTCGTTATCAAACGCTACTTTTTGTTCAGAAACTCATCCTCGAAAGAGAAATAGATTTTTCTATTTCTAGCTAGAAATAGGATCGGAGAAAGAGAAATGTTTTCATTCGCGCCTTTATTCTTCAACCAATTTCACAAGAAATTGAAAAGATGATAATTTTTCCTGGCCACTCATTGAAATGATATCACAGCAAATCATTTGCCAGATCTGAAGTACCGACCGACCGAGTACTTTTTCTCTTATGCTGACTAGGGTCCATCAAGCACTGCATTAAGGTTGTGACATTGCATATAAGACCGTGACGAGACGCTTTCACTTGAGTTGCAAGAGAAACGCCAGAGGATGGAGGATTCGAGCGAGCCCCTGCAACCACATTGCCTGGTTCTGTCATACCCAACCCAAGGCCACATCAACCCCATGCTCCAATTCTCCAAGCGTCTACTCCACCGAGGAGTCAAAGTCACTCTTGTCACTACCACATCCATGTCCAAGACCCTGCATGGATCCTCCTCATGCACCTCAATCCCGCTCGAGGCGATCTCCGACGGGTTCGACGTCGGTGGCATTGGGGCTGCGGGTAGCCCCGAAGCCTACCTCGAGCGCTTCTGGAAGGTCGGACCCGAGACCCTGATCGAGCTGGTCGAGAGGCTAATCTCCCGCAGCCTTCCGCCGACTTGCATCATCTACGACTCGTTCTTGCCTTGGGCTCTTGATGTGGCCCGAAAATTTGGGCTTGTTGGGGCTGCTTTCTTCACCATGCCTTGTGCTGTGGCCAGTGTGTTTTGCCACTGCCAAAAGGGGTGGCTTGAAGTTCCTGTTAAGAAGCAGGTTTTGCTTCCTGGAATGCCTCCCCTTGACCCTCAAGATATGCCATCTTTCGTGTGTGATGAGGGGTCATATCCAGCTTTCTCTGGCATGCTTGTGAACCAGTTCTCCAATCTTGACAAAGTGGACTGGGTGCTTTGCAATACAGTATATGAACTTGATCAAGAAGTAAGTACACTGGAACCTTGGGAACTGAACTATTTGTGAGTACGCTGGGGGAGGGGGGATGTTCTAGTTGGATGTGCTTACTAATTTACTGTCTATATATAACCTTTTGTGGCATTTGCTATGTCGTACATCATGCATCCGTCAAGTACTCATTAAATTATTTGACAATAGGATGTCGATGTTGACACCACAACGACATGTCTTGGTGGATTCTTATGTTAAAGTCAAGTTACTCAAAATGTCTTAATGAAATGAAAGATACTAGTGGATCATTCGTAAACATGTGATGCTCAGGTATCCTCCAATCCTCAATCAATTAATTATAATGAGACTCGTCCTCATTTCTCTCTTTTGGCTGTGATTCCAACTTTTTGATCCATGAGTCGTCCAGCTTGATCTTTTAAGCATTCAACGAGTTTTCTTCTTTTTCCTCTTCTTCTTTGTAGGTTGCGGACTGGTTCATGAAGATCTTGCCATTCAGGACCATAGGACCAACGGTACCATCAACCTTTTTAGACAACAGGCTTGAACAGGACAAAGAATATGGCTTCAGCATCTTCCAACCAGATCACGACACCACCATGAGATGGCTCAGCACAAAGCCAAAAGGGTCAGTTGTGTACGTCTCCTTTGGGAGCATGGCGGAGCTAAAGGTTGACCAAATGCACGAGCTAGCAATGGGACTAGAGAGAAGCAACTGCTATTTCCTCTGGGTGGTCAGATCATCGGAAGCAGAGAAACTCCCACAAGGCTTTGCAAAGGGTACCGAGACATCCCAAAAGGGTCTAATCGTGACATGGTGTCCTCAGCTCGAAGTCCTTGCGCACGAGGCGCTAGGGCTTTTCGTGACACACTGCGGTTGGAACTCGACCCTGGAAGCGCTCAGCTTGGGCGCGCCGATGCTGGCGATCCCGCAGTGGACCGACCAGCCCACGAACGCCAAGTACATCACGGATGTCTGGAAGATGGGGCTGAGGCCGCCGGTTGATGAGGAAAGAGGTGTTGTGACGAGTGAAGAGATAGAGGATTGCATTAGGAAGGTAACGGAAGGTGAAACATGGAAGACAATGAGGGAAAATGCGGGAAAGTGGAGGAAAATCACCAAAGACGCAGTTGGTGAGGGGGGGAGTTCCGACAGGAACATTGAGAAGTTTGTTGCTAAATTGGGCGCTAAGACTTGAAAAAGAAGGAAAAGAGAAATGATCGACATGCGAAGAACTGTCATAGCAGCGATCGATCTACTTATGCTTGGTCTCGTGTGTTAGGAATGTGAATGAAATATCTATTTGCGTGTATGTCATACTTTGTAGCATCAATTTTCTGAACAGATCTCGATAATATTAGATACTAGTAATTATTATGTTTCAGGTCATAATGGCGTTCTTCCCTAGTTAAAATTTTAAATTTTGTCATGTTAATCTAAATTAAATTGAGAAAAGTTAAATTAATCGACCCTAAAAGTCGTGGGAGATTGTCCAATCAATCATAAACTTATTGTATGGATATTAATCTGGTCCTAAATTTTTCAATTTTATCGATTTAGTACTAAATATTTGCACAAAATTCTAATGTAATCATTTCTATCAATTTTCGCTAGAAATCGTCGACGTGATGGTGTGCCTCGTAGCATTGCCCCCATTGACTCGAATTCCACATCAGCAGTTTCCGGCAAAAATTGACATGAAGGACTATATTGAAATTTCGCGCAAAGATTTAGAACTAAATTGGCGTGATTGAAAAATTTAGGATTGAATTAACGTTCATACTATTATTGATCGGGCAATTTTCTCCGGAAAGTCTTCAATTGACACAATTCTTTTTTCCATAGTCATGAAAGCAACACCCACTGACCAGAAAATACAAAGAAGTGAGAAATTTTGGCCAAACATCACCTTCACCAGTACGTGCCAAAACAAGCATAATTATCCATCTATCCCCTTTTTTTTCAAACGAAACTTCTTTCCTGGTGTGACATCGTTAGTACAATTGGACCCATCTCTGGCATGTTCAGTCCCTTAGCTTCTTCATCAATCTCTTCCGAAACGATTTAACATCCTACTAAATACTTTCGGACACTTAACACATATATAACAAAAATGATTGCATTTCTACAAGCACTGCCAAAATAAAAAATTGCATTGGAATCTATGAATTTCTCGTTTGATTGCTCAACAAGTGCTCCGGCGGCGCCCGCCGAAAAAGAACTCAAAACAGAATACAAGACACTTCTTTGTCACTACGTAATGGCAGCAATCTGAAAGATAAGTCTCAACCAATATCGGTAGAGAAGTTAGCAACTTCACTATATCTTCTTACCGTGCACAGTCCAGAGTTAGTCATGGAGGAGGAGAAGGAGGAGGTGAAGAGACCCAGCAAAGCTCGTGTCCTGGTCCTCCCTTACCCTGCGCAGGGCCACATCAGTCCGATGCTCCAGTTCGCCAAGCGCTTAGTCTCCAGAGGTGTCGGAGTGACTCTTGCGACCACCGTCTTCGTTGCCAAATCCATGCACGCTGCCCCAAACGACTCCGTCGGCATCGAGACTATCTCAGACGGATTCGACGAAGGTGAGAGACAATTAGCTAGTTGCCTAGAGTGAGCTCTGGATTGTGCCATTCTTGGGTTTTGTGGCAATCTGTTGGTTATGATTAGTAGAGTCAATCTGAAGAACAGACATGATGAAGAACAAGTTTGTCCAATGAACGACTTTCATGTTGAGGGTAGGCGCTTTGGTGACAAAGATGAAGCTTCATTGGTTTGAGTTCTCTGTCATATATTTTTCCAAACAAAAATCGTGTCGAGCTTACATTAGAGTTCATGAAATACATGTATATGACCATTTTGTGATGAGCCTAACTTACACATTATTTCTGCTACAAAGGCGGGTCTGCACAGGCAGAGAGCATTGGGGCTTACTTGACGAGCCTCCAAGCCGTTGGATGGAGAACACTGGTGGCACTAATCAAGAAGCTCGACAGTTCGGGGGATCCCATCGACGCTGTCATCTACGACGGCTTCCTTTCTTGGGCGCTTGATGTGGCGAAGCAGTTTGGGAAGTTAGGAGTGGCGTTTTACACCCAAGCTTGTGCCGTGAACAGCATCTATTACCATGCGCACCAAGGCCTCCTTCCGCTTCCGCTGCCGGGGACGACAATTTCGCTTCCCGGGTTGCCGCCTCTCGAGCCAGCGGAGACCCCGTCATTCCTGTACATCCCGGGGTCGTACCCGGCTTTCTTCGACTTGATCGTGAATGATCAATTCTCGAATGTTGATGAAGCGGATCTGGTGCTGTATAACTCATTCTATGAGTTGGAGAACGAGGTAATTAATGTTTGTCGTGTCTGCCAGAATCATCACCTTATGCTTGTATTGATTGTCTAGTTTAGTAATCTCGCAGTTGAAGCAAGTGAGTGATCTTCGATACCATTAACCAACACATTTACGCCTAGACATGGTCATCTACTTCATTGTGCAATTCTAACCCATTATCTGATCTTTATTCTTGGGAAAGTTGATGTTCTACTCATCCAATTGTTGATAAGGTCGTAGACCATTTGGCCAAGCTCTGGCCACTGAAGACGGTTGGCCCAGCAATTCCATCAATCTACTTGGACAAGAGACTGCAGGATGACAAGGACTATGGCATCAATCTCTTCAAGCCTAACACACAGGTCTGCCTGAGCTGGCTCGATGACAAGCCCGCCAATTCGGTCATCTACGTATCGTTCGGAAGCATGGCTGAGCTAGACACTTCCCAGATGGAAGAGCTTGCACGGGGCTTGAAAAACTCCAACAAACACTTCTTGTGGGTGGTCCGGGACTCGGAGATGGCAAAGCTCCCTCCTGGGTTCGCGGAGCAGAGTTGCTCGGAGGTGGGGCTCGTTGTGCCGTGGGGCCCGCAGCTGGAGATCTTGGCCCACGGGTCGACTGGGTGCTTCGTGACGCACTGTGGATGGAACTCGATCCTCGAGGCTCTGAGCCTCGGGGTGCCGATGGTGGCGATGCCACAATGGACAGACCAGGGCACAAACGCGAAGTTCGTGGAGGACGTTTGGGGAGTGGGGGTCAGGGTTTCCAAGGACGAAGATGGGACCATCGCGAGAGGAGAGATAGAGAGATGCATAAGGGAAGTGATGGAGGGAGAAAGGGGGAAAGAGATCAAGAGAAACGCAGAGGAATGGAGGAAGTTGGCCAAAGAAGCAGTTGACGAAGGGGGGAGCTCGGACAGGAATATCAATGATTTTGTGGGTAAATTAGTTAGCTTGACCTAAGGTTCATCTTATGTTAGACTCGACTTGTTCTCATAAGACCAAAGTTATGAACCTATGATGATATCCAAAATCTTCAAATGATCTGATTTCTGAATTCTAAGAGAAAACAATGACACGCGAGTCCGGCGGCAGATGTCGGCTACTTAAACTTAACATTGTTCCAAGACTTGCACTTGATCTAGACCAGTAATGTAAACCTCCAGAGCAACTTAAAACAACAGACTAATAGCAGACAAAATCGATGCAGCAATGCCTACTGATGTTATGGGAATGAAGCTAAAACAAGAGTGCAGAACGAATAAATAGGTTGCTGATGAACATACAAATCCAGGCAAACCTTTTTGTCAAACTAAAAGAAACTCACCAGTGCTCCAGCAGAAGAGGAAAGGCGGCAACATACTGCGAACTTCCAAGTACATATAACGAAAGCTCCGTTTCAGTGCACAGAAACAAGATAATCACTATCGTCATTTACTACTAACGCATGTCCACACACCTTTTCGTGAGTCGGATTTTCGGAAGTAATGGCTCAAATCGGCAGAAAACACGTACATAGTAATATGGAGATGATATCCACCTCTTCGAATAGCATGACAAGAAGCAGTGTGCCTAGACATACACAGCTACGGGGTAATATCTATTTAAACATTTACCACACATAATAGTTACATCTAGCATAGGAGGGAGGCTTGCAGAGTCGACCATCTCTCACCCAAAGGAGCTCAGCTGTGCTAGTCTCTTGCTTCTCGAGCAACAATAAGTTCCTCCAAGCAATCTGAGTCGCCGCTGTCTATGGGCATCATGAGTTCATTTTCAGTCGAGAAATGGTACCGATCCCCAATAGCCCTTAGAAACTGATAGACTTCAAACATAGTGGGCCTCTCCTTCGGAGCTGGCAACACACAACTACACGCCACCTTAAGGACTTTATTGACTTCATCGTCGATTCCCTTTCCAACCAAAAATCTGTCTACAGCATCTTTGAGTTGCGAGCTCTTTGGGAGCTCCGTGATCCACTCCACCAAATTACCCTTAAAGCTTTCAGGTGCTTTAGTAACCTGAGTGGGCCTCTCACCAGTTACCAGCTCAAGGAGCACGACTCCAAAGCTGTACACATCTCCCTTTGGGGTGGCCATTAGGGTACGTGTATACTCAGGTGCGACATATCCCAGATCGCCAAACTCCCCATTCACAAAAGTACTCAAATGCGTGTCGATTGGGTTCATGAGCCTAGCCAGCCCAAAATCAGATATCTGAGGCTCAAAGTCCGCATCAAGAAGGATGCACTTGGAGCTTATGTTGCGGTGGATAATACGAGGATTGCAGTTATGGTGAAGCCATGCCAGTCCTCGTGCTGCTCCGATCCCAATTTTGAGCCTCAAAGTCCACTCCATAGCTTTGCTGGGATCATCCGGAGAATGTAGACGATCATGGAGAATACCGTTGGGCATGTACTTGTAGACCAGAAGCCTCTCCTTTTTGGCCATGCAAAAACCCAAAAGTGGAACCAAGTTGCGGTGCTTGACCCTTCCTAGTGTAGCCATCTCAGACATCACTTCTTTCTCAGAGTGTTGAGAATCCTGTAACCTCTTAACCATAAGTAAAGAATTATCCTCAAGCACGGCCTTATACGTTGTCCCTGTCCTTCCTGATCCAATTATGCTGTGTTTGCTGAAATTGTTTGTAGCCTTCATCAGGTCACTTAGTTTCATCTTGGAAACTGACTTCTCAAACATGGAAACCTAGAGAGCATTAAATATACTCAGTCCAACTCAAAAACAGTCCTATAGATGCATAAATTCATTGGCACTCAAAGTGTGCCTGCACATGCGCATGGAGAGAGAGAGACAGAGAGAGAGATGGTATTTATAATGCAGGCAGGCAAAATAAATTCTTGCAACAAATTCAAAAGCAGTGCACTCGGTAAACTTACCTTGACCCCTTTGCTTCCCTTTAAGCTCTTTGCCCACTTATTGCCTTCAGGATCGTCGTCTTTCTTCTTCTTCACAGACACTCTACGCAGATAAAAGAACATGCCGATCGCAATACCTATGGCCGTGAGAGTTACGCTACCGGCCGCTGCTGCAACAATTATTTTAGTGTTGGAGCCCTTCTTTGTCGTGCACAGAGGCAGAGGAGCACCACAAAGTCCTGGATTATTCGCATAATCATCTGCACTGATTGTGGTATTAGGGCCAAACGCGGGGACTGGCCCAACCAGAAGGTTGTTGGCCACGCTAAATGATCTGAGTCGACCAAGAAGGCTGAGTTGAGCCGGAATCTGACCGGACAACTGGTTGTGGTCGAGCTTAAGGGAATTTAAGTAGGTACAGTTTGAAAGGTTTGCCGGGATTTGTCCGGAGAAACTATTGGATGACAGGTCGAGAGATGTTACATACTTAATTATACTCGATATATTTTCCGGGATTGGTCCAGAGAACTCATTGCTGGAGAGATCCAATCCTGTAATGCTTGTGCATTGCTCGATGCCACGAGGAAACTGGCCCTTGAGTCCCATATCAGAAAGCTTTAGATTAAGAACCCTGTTCTCATCAGGATGCCAGCACTCAACTCCAGTGAATCGACATATGAAGCCTTCAGTGGTGTTCTCGAAATTCCACGTATAGTTCAAGTAATTCAGGGGATCCTGAACCGACGCTTTTATGCTCTTCAAGCAGTTAATATCGGTCACGACGCAGTCGATCACGCAACAACTAAGCAAGGCCCAGAGAAATACCGCCGCCCCAAGTCTCAAAACTCGATTCTGCAGCTCCATCCCCCGCGAAGAAGCCTTTCGAATTCCACAAACGGACACCTCCTCAATTCGCTACCGCCGCATGCTGAAATGGCTCGATTTCGGACACTCCTCCCACTAACGAACGCAGCCCATTAATAATAATAAAAAAAAAGAACACAAGAAACCAAATCAAGAGAAGCAGAATATCCAACCCAGATGCACCGTTTTCTCAAACAAAAGCACCTAACAGGAGACATATCTCAACCATCGGAAGAGCCGCAAAACCAATCAGCACACAGATACAGGAACAGAAGACCTCCCGGGGACGACTCGAACCAAAGACCCACGACCCCAAAAGGTTCGCGACCCGCACCCGAATTCCATCAGTTCAAAACACAAAAGACGAAAGCGAACAGAGCAGCAGACCAAGAAACGGGCAGAGACACGTACCCAAGAGCCCCGCCCGCCGATCCGATTGCCGCAGCCGATGAAACGGCAAGAAAGAACACCAAGAACACGGGGGGGTCCAACCCGCAACGGAAAAAGAGAGGAGGGGGAGGCGGAGCCAAGCAGCCGGGCGCACGTATCCAGGGGGAGCTGCAAGAACACCACCAAGTTATAAGCAAGAAAGACAGGGAAGGAGGGAGAGAGAGCGTGAGAGGAGGGGCGAGACCAGTGTGTATGCGGGTGTGAACGAAGCTTTGAGGCCCCCTTTTTGTGTGTGGCTCGGCTGGTGTTCGTGTGGAAGAAGGGAGGAGGAAGAAGGGAACGGAGAGAGAGAGAGAGAGAGAGAGAGAGAGGGAGGGAGTCGCTGATCAGGGGAGGAGATGGAGGAGGAGGAGTGAGAGGGGACGGCCATTTTTGTCAAGGTTTCGCGAAGACTGTTGACTTCACTAAGTCCCCACCCCCCAACTACAACACCCAAAAAAAAAAGAGAAAAAAGTGGTGGAAAGACTCCCACCCGTTGCTTGACTCGTTTTGCCAAAAGAATGCTTATAATAATAATAATCATAATTAATTAATTAATTATTAATAACACTAGTAATAAAATAATTAGTAATAAGAATGACAAGAATAGAGGAGTCTTTGCCCTGCCCCCATTTGTCAAACATATTGGAATTTGAGGCATGTTTTGTTTACCCTAAAAAATGCACTCTCTCTTTCTTTCTTTTTTTTTTTTCTCTTTCCGGTCGAAATTTAAAATACATTCGAATTTTCGGAATATTACGAGAAATTTGTACGTGGACTAACGAGATGCCCTCTGCGTTGCACGGATCAAAGATTATATGTTTTGTGTTATTTTGAATATTGGTGTCGATGATAATTTTTGCAAGAGAAACGTAACAATATACAAGAAAGAATAACATGATAACTGGCGAGTCGAATCCTTCGCTAGAGTTTGCGTGGAGTTTTATTTAGGGTTGATACCACGAAAAATCTCAAAATCAGTATACATGTGTGACAAATTTATCCCAAACTAATTTTTTGACCATAAAAAACTCCAAACTGGTACACCTATGGCAAATTCCACGGAAAATCACAAACCGGTACATGTGTGATAAATTTACCTTACATTAGTTTCGTTAAATTAAATTAATACCATGAAAAATTACAAATTGGTACACCTGTGACGAACGGAGGTAAAACCCCAAACCGGTACACTCGTGTCATTCAACTTAGCAATTTGACCGTAAAATTTAACGAAAACTAACGAAGGGCAAATTTATCACAAGTGTACCGGTTTGAGATTTTTTGTGGTCAAAAAATTAGTTTGAAATAAATTTGCTGCATGTGTACTGATTTGGAATTTTAGCGATATTGATCCTTTTTTTATTTAAAGTGAACTCGAATCTCATCGTGCAAGTTTATCCTCCAATTTAAATAAAACATAAACAAAATCGCTCGAACACTAATATTAGTAAAGTTCGCATGCGGGCATGTCACGTGGCTCCACCTCGACTGAGTTTTGCCCCCACTTTCATATCAATATGGATGCACTTATCAATGATAAATTGTCCTGAAAATTTCGGGAGTTTCGAATTTAAGAAAATAAATTGGAAGAAAAAAATCACGAGCCATAAATTTCTTCGTTTGATAGGTTAGTTTGTACTATTCGTGGCACGCATTAACTATCAGCACAGTAGAAAATGAAAAGGCGAAATCTAATTTTTTCTTTTTTTGCTATTTCTATTTCCAAAACGGAGAAAAAAGAAAAAGAAAAGAGGAGTGATGGAGACGTAAATTGACCGGGAACCGATGGACATTTTTGGGAATTCCCTTGAAGCTCAAAGCGCGTGAAGAAAGGCGAAGTTTTGCACCGTACGTCGTCAGTGTGCGTTTGGTGGCTTTTTCTGCTTTTTGTCTCGTAAAAGTTTCGGATTCACTTGACTAATACAAGATAAGATCGGGAGGTGATAATAATAAAAATAATAATTATTAATGCATGAGAAAAGCCTATAAACTTTTAACCTAACTGTAATGTGATCGCTGAACTTTTAATTTATTTAATATAGCCTCTGAACTTTTGATATATGTTCGATTTAGTCCCCGAATCATATGAAATTATTTAATGTAACCCTTTTATTAATTCAAAATCGAAACTATATTGAACATTTCCATATAGTTCTGCACTATAATAAACATATACCAAAATTCGAGGCACCATATCGAATAAAATTAAAAATTCAACAATCACATCGAACACTAGGCTTGGTTCAGTGACCGTATTGAATAAATTAAAAGTTTAGAAACCACGTGTTCAGAGATTATTTGTGTCATTATTCTTTAATATATTACTACGACAATAATATTGTAATCTCCTATCTATAAAAGTTAGGGGTGTGCTGTCGTGGCGTTCACCGATCGCCCTGATCGCAAAATTGACAGAGCGTTCTATATTCAGTCCATAACGTTTTAACAGTTTCTAACAAATAAAAAATCGTAACAACATCGATCGAAAAAAAAGAACATAACTTTTCATAAACTCGATCGATTATATTACACTATCATATCAGAATAATTATTGGAAAATGACAGATCCAACAAGAGCACATTTACAAATATTGTAATCTCCTATCTATAAAAGTAGAAGAGAGGAGGAGGGTTTTTACCAACTCCCACTCTCAATTAAATATCCCCCGTCACCATATATTTTTAGTTAATTTTCATTTCTTCGATTTTAACTATTCAAAAATCAATTTTTCCTTACATCTGTTTTCACATTCAATTCACAGAATTACGGTATAAACGCGACTTCGCATAAACCCAAGTGGTTTAATCTATAAATGGGCCTTCGTAATGTATGTTCCGCGTCGTTGTCTCTTTGAATTTTACTTGCTAACACATTAATACGTATCCGCGACATACGAAGAAGACATGAATCCCGCATAAATTCGAATAATCTTTCCTCGCATGGGATGGTCGCGAAAACACGAGGGCTTTCGATTTTTAAAACATCTCGAGAAGTGTTATCTCTAGCTATAATTAACCGGTATCCTAGCGGTATTCATTAACGGGACCCTCGAATTCTTAGCGTTGGATGAGGCCGCGCCCCCCCACCACTCGACGAGATTTCCACGAAACTTTGTGAAAACACCCAAAAAAAATGAAAAAAAGAAAGAAGGAAAATTCAAAAAGACGGGTTCAAAATAATAAATGACCCGATGAACTTTCCTCGCGAGTCTCCGTGTTCAACCGTCCCCATCGCGCACTTTGTCATCGTAGACCCGGTCAACGCAAAAGCCTTTTTTTTTTCTCTCTCTTTTTTATCTTGTTCTAACTCTCAACTCGTTTTCAGATTTTTACTCTGCCTTCTTATATAATGTGAGGATCAAAATTCACGCTTGAAATTAAACATCCTTACCCCTAATCTTCCTGAGAAGGTATGGATTCGAACTTCATATTTCTCCCTTTTCACGTGGAAAGGCACCGCTGAGGCAACGCTACTGCGTATGCGGTCAAATCTGTCTATTTTTTTTTACCATTTTATTTTTACGTCGTTTTATATAATTTAAAGCAAGAAAAGAGAAGAAGAGGCAAAAACAAATGGGAGAGAAAAGGAAGAAAAGTGGGAACTGTCCTTGTTCTTTCCATTAAAGTTGTGGGGAGAATCCTTCTGCATATTATTTATAGCAAGAAAAGAGAAGAAGGGGGAAAAACAAATGGGAGAGAAAAAGAAGAAAAGTGGGAACTCTCCTTGTTCTTTCCATTAAAGTTGTGGGGAGAATCCTTCTGGCCCGCTTTGAATTCCACGAACCCCTCGTTGCACGTCAGCATCGCGTGTGTGTGTGTGTGTTCTTGACTAAAATTTCCTCGCACCCTCACTTCCTTTTCACACCCACGAAAGGAAGGAAGTCGAAGATGGTTTTGAACGAGGATGCCTTGGTATTTGGTTTTCGTACCCCGATAGGCAAAATAACTACGACGATTGACCAAAGTAACTTCTAGTTTTTATCGTTTTTTTCTTTTTGGCGTAAATTCAGTTTCCGGAGCAAACTATGCAAGGCGGAGATCTTCCCGCGTGGCGATTTTGTCCTTGCGCTATTTTGACCGGTTCAATGTAACACAGCGCCATTCGTCTCTCGTCTCTCTCTCTCTTCCCAGAGACTGCAACGACTTCATTTCTAAAACCTGCCCCGGTCACATTGAAGTGTCGTTTCACGTTACTTACGATATCGACTTTTGATTGGACCTCTCTTACGTACGTGTTTTGAGCTTATGGGGTTTAACTTTTATGGCGTGGTCTTCTAGTCAAAGTTCCGCCACATTTTTCTGTCACGGGTTTGTTTCGGGTGCGTAGCTCCCCGTTATTCAGTTTGCGTGTCTTCTTTCATGCCGTTTTGGTCCATTTGCGCTCCAAAGAATCTCATGTACGTGTGATTTTTCCTTCTTTTATCTCTAAGCTTGAGTTTTGTTGTTGAACTTTCTAACAAAACACATCCGAGTTTTTTTATTGACCATACATGACTTGCCCATTCAATGTTTGCTGTATGGTTTGTTACGGCTTACGTCGAATATGGTATTTCCAAAAATGTCATTCGCTTCCTCTTCTTCCCTCCACCGGCACTTAAAAGGGACAATCGCTAACGACCGAGCACGGTCTGTATCTTTCGACGACATCTTCGCTATTAATGTTCCGTTAGCTCGAGCATAACCGTTTGCAACATCTTTTCTGCTATGCTCTCGAATGCATAACAGCTCTATTTATTACCCGGCGACGGAAAGACTGCGCCGAAGCACACTTATTGTTCTCCCTACTTTTAGAACACCGAGTGAAACAAGAGAGACACAACCTCGAAAAGAGTCGAAGACTGCATTGATGGATATTGAGATCAATCCTTCACTACCGCGTTCTCACGTCGTAAATTAGAACATTGCATGTCGAATTCACCATAATTCGAAACCTATGAAATCGACATCATCAATCACGAGATATATTATCCTGGACCAGAGTCCAAGGAATCGAGCATCTCGCAATTGTCGATTTTATGGCCCATTACATGGAGTCTATTGAGGGTGCGTATGATAATATTTCTATTTCAAATTGAACAATTTCTGTTCATAAATAGTTTTTTTCTATTTCTATTCTTTGACAAGTTTCAAATTAGAAAAACGCATTTGGTAACTATACAAAATTCCTATTCCCATAATAGAAAAAGAACATAAATGCGTTCTATTCCCGATTTTTTTTCATTTAATTAAAAAAATGTCGGTGGAGACTCAACAATTCATGTTTAGATAAAACTGGACTTTTGTAAGAACTTCACTGATCAAGATATTCTAAGAAAGCCTTAGAAAATCCAACATAATAATTAGTCAAAGATGGCTGGAAATGGTAGTAGAGAGTTCCACTGGTTTATAACTCACAATACGAGGAAGTTGACAGTAAAATCTCTGGGTTTTACAATAAACAAGTGCATAGACCTGTTTGAGCTTTAGGATGTCTGGGGTAGGGTTTAGGGTTTTATGGTATGGGTATGCCGAGCTTGTTTTTCTAAAATGACCTTGTTTCTCTTTTTGTTCCCGGGAACAAAACAATAATTTTAATTTATTCCATGATTACCGATTTATTCCGAGGAATAGAAAAATTGACTGACATATACAAATAGATTTATGTTCTTTCCGGAAAACAAAAGAATAGGAAGATAGAGAAACGGAAATGTTACCAAACAGCCCTTAGAGGCCCGTAAGATCAACGGTCGCGATGTATCTACTCCGGTGGGCCCCTAAGAAGAAAATCTACCCAACCGATGCTTGCCAACTCCAATCTCTTCGGGCCTAACAGACAAAAGGTTCCATGCCATCTCATTGGCCGCTCGCGAGCTAAATACTTACTACTATCATGCCCACTCAAGTGGCATTGCTTCGAGCGCTCCTGCTTTGACTAGCCACGCTCTACCCCCACAAAGACGGCCTCTGCCCGCCTGTGCGGGCGGGCGGGGAGATAGCCAAAAACGGGAGTGCCCCGCAAAAAGCAGAAAAGCAAGCGGTCAGTGATAAAAACATTCTCTCTCTCTCGCTCCTCTTTCTCTCTCTCTCTCGCTCTCTCCCTCTCTCTTCCTCTTCTAGGGATTGCAGAGTAGCGCAGCCAGAAATCCGCCATTCCCGCGATGGATCGATCGTCGCTCCTCCGCAGCTAGTCCGTCGCACCGCTCGCGCAGGTCGTGCTCCCGCTTCGTCGACGAGGTGAGCGCGCGCTTGTCCGTACTGTTCTCGCTTTTGCTTGTTAGGCGATTGCTTTCGTTTCGGGGGGAAGATATCTCGGCTTTTCGTGTGGAGATTTCTCGATGCCTTGCTCGCTGGACCTCAGCGCTTCACAGGGCGGAGTATTTCGGGGGGAAAGTTCGGATTTTGGAAGTGGGTTTGTGTTCTTCTCGCGAACGGAGCTGGTTTTAGGGTTATCTCTCTGCGTTGCTCGAGTTCAAAATTTAGGGTTTCGCGAGCTGGTTTGAGGGTCTTGCGCTAGGGTTCTTGGAGTTCCGTATCTGTGGCCCTTGGATCTCTCGTTTGGGGCTGTTGTTCGTGCTGGTTGAGTAGATTGCATGACCAGTCCACTGTGCTCAGCACAGTGAGCCGGGATAAGCCTGCGCGAGCCTCGGGGGGAAACATAATTTGCCCCTGTGCATCTTGAAAGCTTGCGAATAAGAAGAAGGAGATGGGAGTAGAAGTAGTAGGGGGCAATCGCTGGCGATTGGAACTAGGATGCTACTTGTAGTGCGTTAGTGTTTGGCGTCAGCTGTAATAGTTACCTGGAGTGTGTAAGATCATACGAATTAGTGCGCAAATGGACAACCAGCTGCCGAAGGCTGTGAATTTCAGACCCCTCGATCCTCTGAGTTCTCCATTAGTTCTTGTTCTACCACGTGGATCTCTCTTTCACGATTCATACACATAAGAAATTTCGACTCTTTGTGCTTCAATGTTTTCTTGACTTTCCCACATAGAGTCGCTTTCGAGCATTTTGTAGCTTTAAGCTTTGTAGTTTACTTCCTCATGGATGACTGGGTGGCACATTAGTTGAGTAAGTTATGTTCCTCAATATGATCACTAACTACCTTTCTTTGAATCGTATCAAGTACTGCGTTGTTGTACATCCTTCGGCTTGTGTCAGAACCGCATTATTTGGTTGTTTTAGAATTTTTCTTGCGTTTGCTCGATTGTCCTTGGAACCTTCTGCCACCAAATCAACTCTTTCTTGTAGTGCTGTCACAAAAACCAAACAAAAATGTCAGAAAATTCCTAATTTCTGATTTTTCCTATGCCATTGACACCGGCCAGACTTTGCAACATGCCATTGGGACTGTTCCCCTTATGACCATTTGATTGTTATTTCCAGCTGATTTGTGAAGGGGAATTCGTTTTGAGAGGTGTAATTTGGATAGTCTTGGCACTCATCGTAGTCTACGTTCGTTTTTGCTGCAGAAAGCTGGAATTTCTATATCAAATATTTAAATATTTGTCCTGTTACTTGTGCAGAAGACCATGGAGGACACCAACTCAGTTGCCAAACTGATCGATTCTACCAATTGTAAGATCCAGCAGCTTCAGAAGGCTTTTGCTGAACTTGAAAGTCACCGGGCTGTAACTCTTAACTTGAAATGGAAGGAACTTGAAGAGCATTTCCATGGACTTGAAAGATCATTGAAGAGGCGGTTTCATGAACTTGAAGACCAAGAAAAGGAACTTGAAACAAAAGCTACAAAGGCCAGAGAGATGCTGGAGAAGCGCGAAGCTGATGTCTTGGCCAAGGAAGAAGCTTCATTGGAGAGGCTCCAGGTGAACAGAGATGCAGCTGCCTTAGCAGTTTCCAATGCTCTGAAGAAGCACCGCAGGGCTTCATCTGTGGAGCTTGCTGTTGTTGCTGGAGAGGATGATGCTGGAGTGACTAGCTCAGAAGAGAATTCTGCCAGTGTTGTGACTACTGAGAGTTACTCGGAAGACACAGAAGATAACTCTGAGGTCTGCTCTGCAGAGGTGACATCCTATCCTCTCTTGGATAAATTATGTAAAGACATGGATTCTGAAGGGCTCCACAGATTTATCTCGGACAACCGTAAGAACCTTGCTATAATCAGAGATGAAATTCCTTTTGCTCTGAAAGCTGCCCCAAGCCCTGCTGGTTTGATCTTGAGATCTCTTGAAGATTTTTACAGCATGGATCTGCCAAATGTAGATGGGAAGAAAGACTCGAACCTTTTGGGTCTCCGGCGGACCAGCATCATGCTTATGGAATGCCTTATGGTTATGCTCGGAAATGATGGTATCTCTGCTTCTGATATCATCTCGGAAGATGTTAAGCAGCAGGCCAAAGTGATTGCTGAAGAGTGGAAACCAAAACTTGATGCTCTTGACATGAATTCAAGCAATGGGAATTCTTTGGAGGCTCATGCGTTTTTACAACTTCTGGCAACCTTTGGAATTGCTTCTGACTTTGAAGGGGAGTACTTATCAAGGTTAATACCTATGGTTTCACGTCGCCGCCAAACTGCTGAACTTTGTCGCTCCCTTGGTTTGACCTCAAAAATGCCAGGTTTGACTCCCAAGGTCTTGTATCTTGAATATTGACTTTGCAGAATTGACCCCAATAGCCAAAACAAGTCATACTGGTTTTTCCTTTGGTTACGAGGTTGTCACTGTCGAGCAATCTGTGCTGCTTAGTTGAACATTCTGTCATTGTTCTACCCTTTCCGTTTATTTTGATGTGCCCACTCCTCTTGCATTGCCATTTCAATATAACAAGATTGATTTTGGAAATAGAACGACTAAGTACTTTTACTGATGCCAGTGTGTTTAAAAAGTTGAAACTATGATCTTCTGCTGTTTTGGTTTGCCGGTATGGCTTTTCTTGGACAAAATTATTTGAAGAGGTCACGACTGTTGAGATATTTATGCTACTACTTCCCTTTGCGGTAAACTTTTAGCAGAAACAAGACCACAGAAGTTCTTTAAAGCTGGTGCATCCAAACAGGCTGTTTCATGTACTAGTCACTGTAGCAAAGCTCGCATGTGCTGACTTTCCCATTGGCCCTGCACATGCATAAATTAAATTGCTTGTTGCATGCTTTAACTTGTAATTGTCTCTCTTGTATTTCACAGGTGTTATCGAACTTTTGGCTAATAGCGGTAGGCAAATAGATGCTGTTAATTTGGCATTTGCATTTGAGCTAACGAACCGGTTCTATCCTGTGCCTTTACTGAAATCTTACCTGAAAGATGTCAAAAAATTCTCCTCACCTGTCAAACCCGGAAACAGCTCTCCTTCAGGACAGGTTTGTTTTGCGCTTAACTGTATTTTTTTTTGTAGGGTTCAGTGACGATGCCCCTTTATTTGTTGGTTTTGGGTCACACATAATTTGGGCGGCATTTAGCTTTATGATTATCATTCTCTTAGTTAATCAATGATATTGAGGCATGATGCGATCCATTTGAGTTGCAAGTTCCTCTGCATGTTCTTTTGAGACAACTAATTGAATGATTTACCAGATAAATACACCCTATAACTGTGGAATGATTTTTAACTGACAAATGCACGCGGAACAGGGGTACTACATCACTATGTAAGCCATTGTAGCTTGTCCTAAGACACTACCATGAAGCACAAAGAGTTGCGAAATGTCTGAGATAGTTGATCTGTGGATACTCTGGAGAAGAAGGATGGCTTTAAGTTCAAGTGGCTTATGAACTGATGAGAGCCTCAGCGTGGGGACAATTGTTGTGTGGCCATGACATGCTTGTTCACTGTGATTTGGATGTCGGATATTGTCTTTGATGTCGCATAAGGTTGTTGACATTCTGACTTCTTATTGTTGAAGGCAACGGGTCCTTTCTCAGATTGCAATGTAAGACAAGGCCAATCATCACGTTTTAAAACTATGGGTACCTTGAATGACAAAACAAAATCCTACAATTAGCCCGTTCAGTGAGCACTTTCTTTTTCTCTTAGACAATAGCCACTTTAACCACATTCTTAGAAAAATTTGCTTAATGTCCCCAAGTGATGATCTTGTGAGACATCTGTAATTCTCATGCTTTAAATTTGAGGCAGTGTTTTTTTACCTGGTTTTGGTGTGTTTCATGACACCTTTAAGAAGGCGTGATAACCATGTCTAACATGTCTAACAAACTTATGGTTCTGTAGATCGAAGTGAATGAGAAGGAGCTCTCTGCACTTAAGGCTGTGATAAAGTGCATTGAAGAACACAAGCTGGAGGAGCAGTTTCCTGTTGATCCGCTTCAAAAGCTGGTCCTCCAGATGGAGAAAGCTAAGGCCGACAAGAAAACTGCAGCTGAAGTTGCAAAGCCTCAACCGAAGAGACCCCGTGCTGGTGGGGTCGCTAATGGGCATCATGTTGTTACCTTTGCTGCTGCCAACAAGACTTTCTACCCGAACGTAGCCGATGGGTACCCGCAGTACGTATATGACAGGCCTTATGTTTACCCTGCACCCACCGACAATCGTGGTCAGCCAATGTTGGCTGCTGCAGCGTACAACTTACCACCGAGTCATGGCAACTTCTATGGGAACGCCTACCACTACCACGCCCCCTTTCTTCATTAGTTAGGAGAAGGCAACCTCTTTTAACTGCTAGTTTTAACCCCTTGAATGTTGTACTGTGATGTATGGTGACTAGTTATTAGGAACCGCATAAATCCATGTTAATCTCGTCTCATGTTCCAGCGACTCTTTTAATTTCTAATCTATGTACTGTACTTTTAACTTTGTGAAACTTATCAGCAGTTCTGTATGTCCAGCATCTTTGTCCTCGTACTCTTTTCGTGAAGTACTTATTACATGTTAGTTAAAGATTTGCTTAGCGCTATGGTGAACTATCACTGTGGTAACTGAGTATCTGTTTCTTTGTTTATCACTTGCTGACGATTTCGAAAGTAGTGTAATTTCCCTCCTGTCGTTCCTCTGTGTGTATGGTTTTGAGCATCTATCACTTTTTCAAGGAATGGGGCTGTATGCACAGATCAGAATGGGATTTGAGGATGGGCTGAAAAGGAGGCATGGCCAACCATTGGTTCTTGATAACCTTTCTTGTTTTGTGGCAAAAAATGTTCAATATACCCGTTAAATTTAGGCAGGAGCGAAAAACCCTCTTGTACGAAATTCCTCGATCCACGGTATGGTCTAGAGTTTATTTGCTTTGTGAAAAATGTAGCAGCAGCTGTGATTATTATACAAGTTATGCTAAGTAGAGATTTGTCAGTCTCGCCAGAATTTGAGAATAGTACTTTTTGTTAAGGGCCTGTTTGGCAATTTGCCAAATAGTAATAATTTCTGTTCTTTAATTCCCAGAATCAGTTTGGGAGCAAAAATCCGTTTGTTAAATTTTTTTTGCCTGGGCACAATTTTGCAAAAAATTGTTCTCAGAATCAGTTTTTGGAACAGAATTAAGAAGCAAAAAAAAGTAATTTCTTGATTCTGAAATAATTTTTTTCATTTCTGATTCTTTTTCATTTTCTTCTTTTTTTGGGTTTGTTGTTGTTCTTCGGCTTGCTGCCCGCCACCCGCCACCAGCCGGCCGCCAGTGATCGGCCACAGGCCAGGGCCGGCGAGGGCGTCTCGCGGCGGCGACGGCGATGCCTCGCCTAGCCAAGGCGAGGCTGACCTCGTCGTCGCCACCCAGGCCTGTCGCCTGGGTTGGCGACAGGCGACGGCGAGGGAAGCGGCGAGGGCCGCGACGCCCTCGCCGGCGACCGGCCTTGGCCAAGGAAGGAAAGGGAAAGAAAGGAAAAAAAAAAGAAAAAAAAGGAAAAAAAAAGAAAAAAAGAAAGAAATATTTAAAAATTCAAAATATTATTAAAAATATTATTAATAAAATGAAATTTTGTGTAGTTACCAAACGCATTTCTGTTCTTTTTCTATTCTAAGAATATAAATTTTGGGCAATTACCAAACGCTTTTAAATGCTTAAAAATTATTTCCGGGCACAGAATAAAAAAAATAATTTCTGAATAGGATCTATATTCGGGCACAGAATGATTACCATGCCCAGCCTAAGTGGTATTTCAGAATAAGCAAGACACCTAGAATAGCCGCGTAGAAAGAGTTAAAGAAAGTCCACGTCTTATTTCGTGCCGATCGCCTTATTGACTCCTTCCCTTCCTTGCGTACAGTGAAAAACGTCACAATTTGTTCAGGGCTTTTAGCGAAGGAGTGGAGTAAGTAAATATGGAAGCGGAAACAACACCCTTACCGAAGCATCCTCTTTCTTTCTTACTCAAAAAAATGAAGACCAAAACTGTAGTTTGAACAACAAATGTCGAGCTACACGCAAGAATTCCTGATTATTTCAACTGAGAAGAGAGAGAGGAGGAAGGCCTCTGATGTCAACTCCGTGGCTTCGAAGGAGTGGGGGAGGCTGGCGGTTTCATATCCGGGTACTGCACGAGAAACATCGAACGTTAACCTAAAATCCAGGAACATCAGTCACCTAGCTCGCAGTACAATTTATAATTCCTCATGCAGACTTGTTCTAGGCATATGATGCATTGGCTACAGATATTATTAGTTCTTGCACATAGAACGCACGTAAACTTTTGGAAGGACCATCCAATTTCTTTAGGATCTCGGCATGAATGCTTCTTCATAAAAGTTTAATTTTCACCAGAAAATTCGGGGAAAATGTTTTTTGGCTCCACAAAGACAGGACTATGTGTGTGAGAGCAAGAGATCATACATTTGGATACGGTGAGGATGATCTAGGAGCAGTTCTCTCCGGTGGTGTAGGCGCTGTTATATCATTCTGATTTCCATGGTCTAGAACTTGGTTATCTCCCTCGGCAAGACTTGGAGAAGATGAAACTTCAGCTTTTTTGCCATTTTTCTGGCTAACTGTGCCATTTGTTCCAAGCTCTTGTCTGGACTTCTTCTTGGGAGACATATGTACAGAAGGTGGCAAAAGGGATTCTTGTATGGCCTGCAAAAAAACACAGAAAACCCGAACTACCATCATCAAATAGTCTAATTCCAATACGTTGCTTAGATCCAAGTAATGTGGCTGAGAGATGCAGAAGATGGAAGATCAATCAGATAAAGACTACACTTAACACCAAAACAGCCATCCGATCCGAAACTGGACAGGAGATTCAAGAACAATAACAAGCAAAGACCATGGATTAGACTACATTTGATACTTGGGTGGTCTTTTGTTCCTTATCTATTTGACTCACGACGAAACAATCAGTTTATGGATTCTGGATGTGCACTGCAATTCCTTTTCTCCACCTATTTTTCTAGAAAGAGAAGACTTCTGCTAATTACATGTAAATCTGCAAGCAATGGAAAAGAGTAACAGGAAAACTGCGAGCTAGCCAGATCAAGCAACAGTTCTCCATTCTCATTTGGTCCTTCGGGAAGAACCTGTGATCGATTTGACATATCCGAATAAACAAATTCCCAATAGACACGACAGAGAGGTAAAAAACCAGCATCGAGGGGAAAGAGTTGCTTAAGATAAACAACACTGAACATACCAACCACCCTTTCTCGCCTCTAACCCCTCCTTTGATTGCATACGCCTCCTTGAAGCCATTCTTGAACAATAGTTCTGCAACTTTCATCGAATTGCCATCGAAACTACCTTCCACACAGAAAAAAAGTGGAAGATCAAAACAAGCATATGACCCACACAAGCCAATGGCACGTTCTTCTTAAAGACTCAAAAAGTCCCATTTTCATCAGTTTTGGCAGGCAGGCATACCAATCCGAATGATAAGATAAATTCAACTGATGATAAAATCAAAGATCACCGAAGCAAACTGGTGTTGCACATACTTGTCCAGAATACAGATGACAGTATTTGCAGGGTCCTCGAAGCTCGCCACAACAGCCTTCAAAAACTCATCCTCACGTCCCTCGTCGAACTGAACCTGAACCACATTCTTGCTCATGTACTTCAAACCAGGAGGCGCCATGGCCGCCAAGCTGTTCCTGTCCCTGATATCCAGGAGCTGCGCATCCGGGTCGTCCCTCAATTTCCTGAACGCATCGATGGCAGAGACGTACTTGTACTTCCTCAAGTAATACTCCGCCACGGGAACCACCACGAGCCAAATGAAGGCACACCCAGCAACGAAGAACGGGTTCCTGTTGAAGAAGTCGTCGATGGAGACCACGATTGACTCCAGGTTGATCCTGTCCGAGACCTGGTCGGCGGCAGGGGAGACGACGTCCTCGGCGGCGAGGGAAGGGAGAGAACCGAAGAGGTGAAACAGGGGAAAACAGAGATGGGCTCTGGTCAAGTGCCGAGGAAAGGGACGGCGGCTCTCGAGGAGAAAGAAGTGAGGATTTTTCGGGGTCGAAGTGGAGGGCAGAGGGAGAGGGGCGAGTTTGGAGGAGGTGGGTCTGAGGGTCTTGGGGTGGTTTAGGAACGGAAACGAGGAAGATGAGAGGATGATGGAGAGAGACTCCATGGATGACTGTGAAAGGTGAAGCGACGTGGGGCGAGCACGGGAGGAAGAAGAAGATGATGATGATAAGAGCCTGATGCGAGTGTTTGATCGGGCTTTCCGAGGCCCATGGCCTTGGGCCTTAAGGCCCGTCTGGGTATCTTCTTCAAGCTCCGGTTCAGCCGAACGACGAACAGCAACCACCAGAAGTCGAAGTTGCGGAAGGATGGGCGGTATCGCCGGCGACGGAACCCTGTCGCCGACCGAGTTCCGGGTCGCTGCTCTCGCTTTCGCCGAGCGATGGAAGAGCGCGGTGTCGGCTTTCCCTCCGTGGTCGTGGCTTCCTCGTCCGAAGCAACCTTGGCTTTCGAACGAAGTAAATCCCCTTTCATTCGCGTCACGTCCGAATTGATTCGGTCCGAAGCTCTGATGCGCTTAGTTGCTGCTCGTCGTGTCTCAGGTTGATGGGTATTTGGCGCTCGAGAACGTGCGCCTTCTCGACTCTAGTGAGGTTTCTATCGCGTGAATTTGAATGTAGCGCTGGTTCTCAGATAGTGGGGTTGTAGTGGTTCAGCTAAAGTTGCTGACTTTTCGCCAGGAAAACCATGTCGGATGCTGCGCTGGTTCGGAAGAGCCGAATTGTTCCGGCGATGACGAGCCCGTTGACGATGCCACTTTGGTATGCTTGATTGAATTGAAATCGCTTCGGTTTCAATCGTATTTTGATGAAAAATGAGTAATCTATGATTTAGCTGACTTTTTTGAAATGACAGAGGTTGGATATTGGTTCCCGTTGCGTCGGTTTTCTGATTCTGATATCGTTGTGTTTGCCAGATTCGGAGCAGTATAGATGATGTTCATTACTATGACTTCCACGTCATTTACGACTCTTCATACAGGGTTCCGGCGCTATATTTCCGTGCATACAGCGGAGGTATGATGTCGTTATGATATGAGATCATGTGAGAGTAGAAGCTAGGTTAGGTTACACCTGCAAACTCAATGGATGGATGAGTTTGAATTCCTCATTTGCTGTATGTTTCTTGGATCACGATATGACTTTATGTGAAAAGTCATTATATCTTTATTTTTCCTCAATGCTAAGCATACTGAATGTACTACTAGTAATGCGGCAAATAGTTGTTTAAGCGGTGGGGGGAGGTTCCCCATCTATCTTTCAAATTTAGCAAATTGGATCGAATATCAAATTCTGTAAAGGAGAAGATGAACACCGAAGTGAAACATGATTCTGTACAAGAAAGTTGTCTTTGTCTGGAAGGTGGAGGATTTGGATTTATCTTGTTCTCGTCCCTTTTTGCTCTAGACCTTGTGATGTTGTTTCCATAGCTACTATTCTGCTAATATTGGAAGCAAGTGGAGCCTAGAGGTGAATTTGTGGAAGGAAGATGTGTCAACAATGCAATATGATGATGGTTTTAATGGTTGCTAGCTAGGATCAAAATCCTCCTTAAGGTGACGTCTAGAAGAATGTTGAGAGGTCAAGAATCCAATTCTAAGATATGCTTACATAGTTTGGCTGAACTAGTTCGCAGTGCAAAATGACCAAATGGGAGAGAAACATTTGTCGCTTGGAGTTCAAAAGGGCAAACTTGGGAGTTACTGGAGATGGAACTGCTTTCTATGAAGTGAGAACAAAATAGAGTAGACAACAGAAAGGGCTTCTTGTTTCCACGATTAGGGGTTTCCACACATAAGTGCTGAACTTGCCCTTGAAACTTGAAAGTTCCTTGTTTTTCCTGGAAATTAGCAAAGCAACATTAATTTTAGGCGACTGACAGACTGCTTTGATATGGTTCCTAAGTGGAAAAGTAAAGATTCGAGTGAAAATGTAGGACTAAAGTGAGTCAAGTTCATTGTGCAATGGCTAACTGGGGAGTTACTGGCAAATGGGATTCATTTGGGAGAATTAATGGTCTTTTCTATGCAAAAAGCATGTATGATTCATCTGGGTTAGTCATAAGCTGAAAACTGGTTGCAGCAGCAGATGCTGGGGTAATCTTGTTATTACCACTGTAAACCTAATGTTTTTGTTCTTTAAACCTATTATGAAGCTTTCTTATTGCTTTCTCATCAGATGGCCGGACTCTACTCTTAAGTGAATTTGAAGGAGACCTTCCAGCTGACTCTTCAGAGGCACTAGTGAAATCGAAGTGGACATTTATAACTCCGGAGGTAAATGTCCTTGTCTAATATATCATTTTTTTCGTTGCGATTTTCTTAAATCAAAATGTTTCTGCTTGATTTCTTCGTTGTTTCTGATGACTATTGTGTTAACACGCCGGGATAACAAGACTTTCTACATTGGACTGCAGGAGCATCCATACTTGAACAGGCCATGGTACAAATTACACCCATGCGGGACCAGTGAATGTATAAAGTTGCTCTTCCAGAGTGACGCCTCGATCAGAACAATATCAGGCGCAGCTGAGCTATATTTGCTTTCTTGGTTCTCCGTTGTTGGCCGGATGGTGGGTCTTAGCATCCCTTACGAATTGATGAAATGTGAGAACAAGACCTAGTTCAGTATGTATGGCGTCTTGAGACAGCATTGAGTTATTACTCGGCCATAAGCTATGACTAGATCAAACGGACAGGGGAACAATTTTGGAAATTAGCCACCAAGGTAAGCCATTCTAACCACGACGGACGCTTCTTCATACGGTCAAGAACTCCAGTTGACATGCGGAGGATGTTAGTCGTCACCCACTTTGTCATCACGTCGGGTGTCGCTTGTTTTGTTACTACCTGTGAAATTGCAGGTGCCACAGCAGTGCCGGAGTGTCTCATCGTTAACCAGTTATGTAACTTTCAAACATAAAGCGTGCCTATCAAATTGATATGCAATTCGAAGTGAGCGATCATATCAGAATTGGTTTCAATGCAAAAGGGTGTCACCCAATTTGCAATCCGTCTCAGAATTGGTTTGAATGCATAGAGGTGTTACCCAATCATCAATCATTCTTCTCACGATGGATTTCTTTTCCTCTAAAGGACCGTCGCTAGTTCAATAATTCGTCCTCATCCAATACATTTGCGTTTCATCTGCTTTCAATATGACACGAGCGAAGAGATAAAAGAGGATTCTCCGGGTATGACCAAGCGAACATTTCCCTCTCAATTGCATCAGTTTCAGTTCATGTTATCCCAACAAGAAATGTCACATTTCTATGGAACAACGAAAATCCTTTGGACACTACTACACCAATATATGTAACTCTTTTAACAAGATCAAAATTTTGGTTTGAACTACTCTTTTGCCTCAAACGAACGATTAATGCGTATTGTGCCAGATCAAGTAGCCAACTTTATGAGAGGAATCCATCTCTCTGTAGATGTTCATCTATCTGATCTTGCCTGTCGTAACGACTGAGAATTGACAGAAAAGGCAAATGCATACAAAATTTCTAAGAGGAGTCCGTTTCTTTTCTCTCGGCTGTTCGGATAAAGCAGATTAAGAACTCTGTATTGCCCTCGGCACCCTTTAAAGGAGATTCAATCCAACCTTTCTTCTGGAACCCGAAATTTTCCACACCATTGATAATTTTTTCAAGAACCTGCACAACATAACAAGCAACAAAAACACTTGGTTATTTACCTATTCGACTTGTGAAAGCCAGGGTGGAACAAACAGAGCTGACGAATCGAAGATGTGAGGCCGAAAACATCAATTAGCAAAAAGTCGGTTGTAAAAGCCGACCTCTTGGTGAACAAGCGGATCTCTTACAATACCGCCGCCTCCCACCTGCCAAAAGATAAGAAAAAAAATTAACTATAATCAAAGCATTTTCATCTATTGCTAAACAAAAGCATCCTTCGTTCACTGTTCTATGACCAGAATGCAAATGCATGCAGATTGCTTACACCCACATATATTGTATAGAGAACACATCACAAGGTTAACTTACTTGTGATCTGCGGGCCTCAAACTGAGGCTTGACCAGGGTAACCAATGTGGCCTCTTCCTTCATCACATTTACAACGGCTGGCATGACCTACAATAACAGACCATAACAACAGTCACCAATTGGCGACGAGTAATAAACTACTCAAGAAATCAGAGACAAGATGCAAGGCTTGCAGAAAAACTCTTTATAGAGCTTCCAAACTTACCAATAGAATTGAGATGAATGATAGGTCTAGAGTCACCAAATCAACCTTCTGGGGGAGCCCAGGAAGGTACCTCAAATTCGTCCGTTCTATTACAGAGACACGTTCATCTCGACGAATCTTGTCTGCTACCTAATCAAGAGACCGGCACCAAATTTAAATGGTTCAGAAGAATAATCACAGTCCCGACATGAAATTGAATAGGGTTTATTGTTTTTTTTTTTTTTGGTAAGGTAAGAATTTTATATACTTTTCAACGCGCGACATACAGAGAAAGTAGTTGAAACACAAAAACCTCGCACTTGAGGCGACACAAAAGGTGTCCCGACAGGTGCGAAGGTGTAGCGACTAAAACCGAGGCTACAAGCATGAGTGCGCAACACCAAAAATAGGGTTTATTGTTCTCTCCAATATAAATTGAAATGGAACGAACAAATAGAAGGTACCAAGTGCTTCTTTGAACACCATCGTCAAGTGCACAAGTCAACACATTAGTGAACTTACCTGTCCGTAACCAACATCAACTCCGTAAACAAACGATGCACCATACTGAAGCAAGCAATCTGTAAATCCTCCTGTGGACAGTCCTGAATCAAGAGCCACTTTTCCTTCCACATCAACACCTAATTGTTCAATGGCTGCTTCCAACTTGTATCCTGCTCTGAGTTCCATAACCAAAGGAAAGAAAAATCTAGCTAAGCATTTTTCACAATGACTCCAAACTTTTCCCTCGGCAACAGAAAATGAAAAAATGCAAAGAGTTTTTCTGTGGAATAATCACCTACATACATATTTCGGAATTTCAGCTATTATCTCTACATTTGATTGATCTGATACAGGTGCTCCTGCTTTATTGACCACTTTCCCATTCACAAAAACTTTTCCTGAGACATAGATCATGAGAGGTGAGAGATGACCTCCACGGCCCTAGCATCTGCTTAGCAGTTACAGTGATAACGCCAATGATATACGGAAAACATCTTTGATTGCCTATAGATGACAGAAGAGTTCTGGTTAAACCAGAAAGAAAATTTGCCGGATCAGTATAATTCTCGAGAACAGAAGTAATGATTCATTAGATTACAAGTTCTCAGATGGATCAATATCATGTATAACAAATATAAATGTGGATAAGGCAAATGAAAAAACAATACCAGCCCCACCCATTATCCAAAAACCCAACAATGATGAATCGTTAATCCAATGGATCTCTTAGTTCCAGATATGAAGGTCATCACATGATCAACAATGCGAACAAATATTTCATGTTACACTGAACCCTGTACAGAGTTCCCCCAATTATTAAAGAATAGCGATCACACATTTTTCAATACATAAGCCCGACCATTTTCGTTGCATGATGCCTCATGATCTGATCCAAAAGGGTGTACCTTGGAGAATCCATGACTGTATTATGTTTCGACTGTATTGCTGATACCTTTCAAGACACACTTCATCGAGTCTCTTTTTCCTAAAGATGCCAAAAATAAAAGCAGATCCCATAATAAGCGATACTAAAGGCAAATCAAAAGGTAGTGAAAAGCATGAAATTTTTACCAAATGTTTTCTATCATAACCCGCCTATACCTTGGGCTTAACAAACCAAATTGACTGGTTGATTCTTCTAAATTTGACATGCTAGTTTGGATTAAGGAATAGAGAGCTTACTTCTTCTGCGGCTGAAGCTTTTGCGACTTGACAGCAGCGAAACTTCTCAGCGGACAAAATAAATGGCCTCTGATCAATTCCACTGCATTGCAAGTAACCAAAACACCAAGTCAGATTTCCCCTTGAAGGCTAAAAAATCATCAAAACACATTCACAAAGGCAATGGCATCACAAACCAACATTCTCAAACACTGTGTTCTTTGCGGGTTGAGAAGAACACATCAAATATGATAAATGTGTTCTTTGCGTTGGAAAATCAAGGTAAAGGATCAAAAGTTAATTTCCCACCAATTGACGTCTTTTTAACGACGAAAGAACATGTTTACGACATTTTAAGTGGGTGTAAAGCCCGGAGAATGATGTGAAGGCAAACCGTGGAAGGAGAATCGTCTCAAACATCAGTACTACTCGGTGCTTGCAATACTAGCGAGGTACTGAAAAAAAAAAATGAAATTGCAGGGAGACCATCATCAGTTTTCACTCTCTTTTTGTAAATTTTTCCTCCAAAAGTCGAGGGACAAAAAAGATTGAGCTATTACAAATCTTGCAACAGCCTGCAAGAACACACGCAGGCATGAAAACATTTCAAGAACCTCGCGAATCCCAATACCGAGCAACTCCCACTTCTGTTCGGAAAAAAACAACCCGAAATTCTTACGAAGCAGATGGAATCGAACCAACCACAAGCACGTCGGCTCCCCCCAAAAACAGAAGAAGACAAGAAGCTAAAACCACAAGCGCAATACAAAGCGTATGCATAACCGGGTACAGTACGGAACTAGAGAGACTAACCATGAGAAGCGCAAGGCAAGCTCGACGTAGAACAGCGCGAGAAGACGTGAGGGAGATGGAGACAGCGAAGCGCCATCTCCTCCGGTTTCGCTTCGCTTCGACTCGAAAGCTCAGCTCAGCTCAGCTCCGCCCGTCTCCGCTCACCGGCCACCGTTTCCCTTTTTCTTGAGCCCGACAAGTTCGGGCTTCGGGCCGGTCCGGTTCCGGGCTGGTAAATCGGGCCGGGCCAAGGCTAAGTAGACCGATTTTTGCTAATGAGACCGGGAGAAGTGGGTATGGGCTGGGCCCCCCCGCTTTGCCCGGATCGGGTTTTTCCCTAACCGTTTGAACTTCGTCCCAATTGAGAAATCAACAGTAATGATTGAGCCTGAGTCGGATCAATAGAAATAGGGTAAAACTCGAACTCGGGTCGGTGCTCGAGACTCGACTTGAGCTTCGTATCAGAGATCGACCCAGATAGATAGTTGAGACACTCGAACTATGACAAGAAACATAATCTTAAGCAATTATATATACGTGTAAACTGTTACGAATAATGTAAATATAACGATATAACCTTCAGTTAAAATGAGCATGTGCCCAATTCCATCACACCCATTATAATCCATTCTTTTAGCACTGTAGGATTATTTAATCATTTCATTTTGGTGGATCGCAAAGTTCCTTTATCTTGCGGTTGACCATTATGATTGATCGTGAAGTGTTAAAAAGAAAACTATGCTAAAGCAAAACTCTATATTAAACTTCTGTTTTTTACTTTTGCTTTCCAAACATTGTGAATGTTTACCCCCAACGCAATAACAGTTCAAAACAGGACATGAAAAATGGGTAAGAGTTGTGATTTCTGACTTATGTATTATTGGGTGTCTTGGCTTTGGCCAGGACTCAGGAGGGCCTTTTGCCAAAGTGGATAAGGTGGATAAGGTCACGGCCACCCTCCAACCAATCACAGCCCTCCAACCTCGCACTTCACTCCTCTCCAACCACGAGATTTCATGCAATTGATCCTCGCACCCAGTCTGCAAAAATCTAACTCACCCTCTTCTCTGTTATATACCTGCATACTTTTTCCCTGCTGAAGAATCTGCTCTTTTTGAGTTCTCAGGAGAGGAGCTGCAGAAGAAAAATGGCTGCCGCAACTGCATCTCCCATGGCCAGTCAGCTCAAGAGCAGCTTTGCATCATCATCATCATCCTCGGCCAGGAGCCTGATTGCTCCCAAGGGCCTCTCGGGTTCCTCCTCCTTCAGAGCCTTGCCCACCAAGAGGATTCACTCCTTCACTGTCAAGGCTGTCCAATCAGAGAAGGTACACATATCTTGTCCATCATGCATTATGTTTGTCCCTCTATTTTCACCGAGTCAATACTGCGGGTCTTGATTCAATCGGATGTGCTTGTACAGTGTAAAATCAAAGAAACTTGGTCATTTAAGCATCTTTCTGTTATTTTCTAGTCATCTGACTCGTTGAGCTAGTGTTTGATGGAAGAAGGAAATGAGACTTGAAGATAAGAAATGGAAGTTTTCCTCTTCCATCATTCAGTCTAGTTTCTCATTCGTGGTTCACCCTTCATAGTCTTTTGGATCTGTGTATATAGAATAATAATTCACCCGGCATAGGGTTGCAAGAAACTAATCTTTCTATGTTTGAACTGATTGAGCTAATCGGAGTGTGAAAGTCACCATGAATGGATCTCTGCAGTGTGCTTTGTTCTGTCATCTGTAGTTTTTTATGGGTTGCTAAAGAGCCAACTAAGAGAATATAGCATATGAGATCATTCATTTGTGAGTACATATCGTATGAGTGGGTTCATTCACTCATTACCTTAGTTGATGGGTTTCAATTCCTGCATCTACCTTTCGCATGCAGCCAACTTTCCAAGTGATTCAACCCCTCAATGGTGACCCTTTCATTGGGAGCCTTGAGACTCCGGTCACATCCAGCCCGATCATTGCATGGTACCTCTCGAACCTCCCCGCCTACAGGACCGCCGTGAGCCCGCTCCTCCGAGGTGTCGAGGTGGGCCTCGCCCACGGATTGCTCTTGGTGGGCCCCTTCGTCAAGGCCGGCCCATTGAGGAACACAGAGTATGCAGGAGCAGCAGGATCACTGGCCGCCGGAGGCCTGGTTGTGATCCTGAGCATCTGCTTGACAATGTATGGGATTGCCTCATTCAATGAAGGAGAGCCCTCGACCGCACCATCACTAACCTTGACCGGGAGGAAGAAGGAGCCCGATCAGTTGCAGACTGCGGATGGGTGGGCCAAGTTCACCGGTGGGTTCTTCTTCGGCGGGATCTCCGGGGTCATCTGGGCCTACTACCTCCTCTACGTGCTCAACCTTCCTTACTTTGTGAAGTAAATTCATACAGAAGAAAGTGATGAAATTGAAGAGTCATGTCTGTATATTTGAACCCTTTGGGAAGGAATGGGATCGATGAAATTTCATGTCATTTAGCTCTGTATAAGCCAGAATTTCCCTGGACTATGTCAAAGAATGTGCATTCGTAGAAGGTTCTGATTGCGCTCACTTGCGTCACTGTTATCATCAGCAACGGATAAAGTGTCCTTAGGCAAAACTGGATCATAAGGACCACTTAAGCGTCATGAGAACTTCAATGACGAACCGATATTTGTATGTCGAGCAAGTTTAAGAACAGATTTTGCGCTTATTCTAGAGCAAATGCGGTTACAGCCGTTTGACAAATACACTTAATGTGTTCCTGTTGATTGCCATGACTTCTGTTTCATGGCGGTTTATCATGCTATTGATATTTGACAGTACTAATTTAGAATCCAAAATGAAACAGAGTGAGAACTGTCATTAGCTCTGTAATTCAGAAGCTGTCAAGAGGGATTGTTTGGATGGTTCCAGTCATTTCAGGATTTGGTTTTACGACGATGTCTGTTCTACTCAATTTGTGCTGTCCTGTAGAGTGCTTTTCTCCTTTGTTATCTCCTGTCAATATGCAAAAATATGTGTTAGAGAATTAAACGCGTTGTTAGTAGAAGACTGGTGATTCAAAGGTTATTAGTAAGCGCCGTGGTAGTGGGTTATATGCTTCTTCTATGAATATTGCACTCTTTAGATATGGGAGCTAATCTAATCGAAAGAAATCCTCATTCTCTCATATTCCTAGTTTATCATCAGAGCCAGCAATTGCGCTCGGTGCGCCCCTCTCGAGTGACGTAATGATGTTCAACTTGATCTTAACCTAGACCATGAAGAGCTTTCTTTTATTATTAGCTCCATGCAATGTGATTAATCGATCAGATCATGTCAGTCGTGTGACTGACACATAAAATGCTTCTTTCCGGCTAAATAATGTCCATTTAGACTTCCTATCTATGCGATGCGGCTCGCCATGTTAGCGGTTCACGGAAAAGATTATTGGGATTTTAGTCAAAGTGCATCGAATTGAGAAGAAAATTATTGTATTGGGTGATTGAAATTAAGGATCGGCTATTGGATAGCAACATTTCACTAAAGTCTAGTGGCCACTGACCTTTGCTGGAATATAATTTAATATTGTTTTTGTATAAATGAGAAAGAGTACTTCTTAAAAGAAAATGAAAAGGAATTTTTAGCAAAAAAAAATAAAGGAATAGAAAATCAAGAAAATCTAGAAAAAGAGTGAATGCTATTTGACAACTAACCACAACCAGACACATCCTATCCTTCGAAGAAACGGTTAACATTAACGGTCACTTGGCCTCTCCCTCCCTCAGCTTCCCGCTACAACACAGCCATGGCGATCCAAGCAAGCCAAGCCATGATCCCTTTTCTTCACGCATGCCAACTCGAATGCCTCGTCCGAAGCCATAAGCCCTCTCTATCCTCTCGGTTCGGTGATCGACCCAAATTGGCGGCTCAGATCATTCGCCACAGAGGTTCTAACAAACTCGCTTGCAAGGCCGGTGTCGACGACCGCGATGAGGTACTCCATTTTGGAAAATTAGCGACTCGTTGATTAATTGTTAATCGTGCCATTGCTTCTTTGTCAAGATCATGGTTGGTTTCGTTTTCGTGTATGTGTGGACAGGATTATCTGATAGATGCTCCTGTGTCAGCTGGAGATGGCTTCTCATTCACTGGAGGTCTTGTTCTTGCTCCTTTCTCTGTTTTTAGCTCCATAGAAGAAAGTGAAGAGATATTTTTCGCTGAACACACGAATATCACTATAGAGAAGTTTGTGCACAAAAATCTGAACTACAGCTGAGAGTCCTTTCTTGCCAGGTAAATATTCCGATGGCCCGAGCCGGTCTGATGAATGGTTTGAGCAAGGAAAGATGGTGAGTCCTTGTACCCTAGTTTATCTTTTGAACATGGCTTTCGTTTATAGCCAACTTTCTGCTGTATGTTATAAATAATAACAAGGTATGCATGAGTCTCCTGCATTGTAGATTTAGGGGGGGAGGTGGGGGGGTGGTCTTGCGAAGGCTAAAAGCAAGGTCATATTGATCATTGCACCAAGGCTGGTATTTCCGGTCAAGTCAATTTTATATGGCCGCTCTCTTTACCCTCTTATTTGTCAGGTGAAAGCTTTTCCAGTTCTCGGTTCCGGAGAGAAGGCCAAAGACCCTATTTTTGGACTAACGATGGGTTCTGGTTCCCAGTCTCCGGCAGATGTTTTCAGGTACTGTTTACTACTAGAAAGCAGCTGGCACCTGAACTGGCTTAGCTTTTAGAATGTCAATCAACCATATTAAGCCATCAATTCATATGATACTCCATGCGTGCAGAAATTGAGATTGGATTATTTGCAGGACTACCGATTGAAACATGCTATAAATGATTTTGTCCCCTAGATGGTTCTGCGTTGAAAGTGGAATTGCTGATAATCCTCCAGTTTTGTTAGTTCATGGCTTTCCTTCTCAGGTCAGTCTAATGTAGTTTTTTTTATATTAGTAATTTGTTTTATGGAATCATGCTTGGCATATTTAACGCCTTTTCATACATATGTTTCTGCAAGTGATCATGTATGTGGGTGGTAAGGTTCGGATTAGTCTTCTGCATCCTAATTTAGCTCCTATTTCCCCTTACAGTAGATGTCAGATACACCATTGAGTTCATTAACTACCATACATGTTCATATATAAGCAAGTCAGATGTGGGCTGCGGCTTATGCCATTTTTCACTGAAGAAGATAATGTTAGCAATCCTGTCTGTGTAGTGCTCACTTTGAATGACAAAATTTTATGCTTGAAATACAGGCTTACTCATACCGCAAAATTCTTCCAATTCTCTCGAAGGACTACCATGCAATTGCTTTTGACTGGATAGGTGAGATCATTCACTTGACATTGCTTTGAATTTTTCAAAATTGTACATTAGCTCTCTCTCATTCTTGTAAAAACTTGAATTAGTACTGACTTTGAACTGATGATGATTTCTCACCAATTTAAGTGTTCCTAAACATGGGCCATACTCGACATATGAGCTTGAGGGGTTTATCCCTGCTATAAGTAATCGCTATCAACAACTCAAAAAATTCCCTCTGAAATGTCCTTGGCCAGTTAAGCTTCTAAACTTGGTAGCAAATTCTGATCCAAATTGATTCTTGCAGATAACTAGATGATTTCTATCAAGATTTTGCACGACTTAATGCTCAATGAATATGCATTTTGCACAATATCCTAAGGGGAAAAGATGCTCAACAATAACGTTTGTAAATAATATGTTTCGATAGAGAAAAAACCACTGCACCACTAAGACGCATTCACACTGCCTCCAGGAAGCACAAAAAGAATAGTGGAAGCCTGGGATAGCAAAATATCTAAGTATCAGGTGTTATGCTTGTACAGAATCCAAATTCTAAGCAGTGGGAGAGATACAAGGGTTACTGGAGGAAAAGGCATGGTATTCCATCTAATTATAAGTGGGTTAATGGCATGGAGCTTATTCAGACCATAATCCGAGCCCACTTTGTAGAGAATGCAGTCAGCAGTCCTAAAGTTCACCCTGATCAATTTGTCCTGCAATTTATACCGTAGGCACTACTTGCGCCCTTTGAGAAGCCAATGATACTTATGCAGACAATCTAAATTTAGTTCTTTCATTGTTCATCTTTCTCCTTCTGCAAGAGAAATATCCATATCATTCATTAAGCTGATTGCTGTGATGACTAGCTTTCTCAATTGTTAATAATGACACAGGAACTTCTTTTGTTTTGTCCTTACCCCTTACAGGCTTTGGATTTTCGGATAAACCCCAACCTGGATATGGATTTAACTACACATTGAATGGTACTCTTCAATGTATATAAAAGCCTACTATATACTTTACATGACGGTTTCTTTAGACCCTATCTGAGCATGATGTTACCAATGGAGTTTGCAATGGATAATTCTGCTTCTGGATTGCAGAATATGTATCATCCTTGGAGTCTATTATAAACAGTCTTGGCATCGATAAAGTTTCTCTAGTTGTCCAGGTACGTTTGCCTTTGATAAATGCATTATTTTTTTCTCTGAGTTTGATGGAATGTTTTTCTGTAGCAATAGATTTCTGGTGTGATGTGCAGGGATACTTTTCGCCAGTTGTTGTTAAATATGCCAGCCAGCATCAGGAGAAGCTAAATCATTTGATCCTCTTAAACCCACCTGTAAGATATCTTGAAACCTTATCCTGCCAGTCATGTCATTCTTTTTTGTAATCTACCTTGTTATTGGCTGATCGAATTGAGTTCATCAAATGCCAACCAATCATTCAGTAGTGTTTGCAAGTTGGGGGTAATTAACGTAGAAAGGCAAATGACATTTTCTATGAATGCTTATTTTGTTTGGAAATGAATCGTTAGCATATGTCTCGAGTAGGTCACACCAACCGAACCATATAAATACAGTATGCGATTTATCTTCTTAATCTTGGTTTAGTATCGTATTTGATTGCTTGTTTTCACAACATGAACACTGCAAACGGAATTTGTGAAAAAAGAAGAAGACTGAATTTGACGGAAAAGAATCGCTTCTGAGGACTTTTCTCACACCAAACAAAAAATTCAACTGCAAAATTGATGGTAATGCTCCAATTCTTAAAGGATGAGTTTTCCTTATTCTAAAGAAAATGTATATGGATGATAAGAGAATCAGTAGCCTACTAATACTTGAAGGAATCCCAATCACACTAGGAGCGGATCAATGTCAATCACATTCAGTTAAACATTTTCAAGTCTCATGTGTCATCACCAGATCAACTTGTACATGACTGATACATGTGACCTTTTTCTATCTGAGCTTTTCGTGAAAGTGATACAAAGCATGGTTGTTTGTCTGTCTTCATTTGGTGGTGATAAATGCTGTCGCCAATATCTTCATCTATCCATTCTTTTTCCATATGAAACCATGCAGTTGAAATACTCATATCTTTTTTCAGCACGTTTCAAGTGTATTGTGATTTGCTTGACTTTGAACTTTGATCATAATCCATTTTGATGTGGCGACACGTGATGATAATAAGTAGGGCAATTACAGCATCATTTGGAGTGATATATACCGTTTAACTCTTTCTCTTGTTTCTGCTCTAAGCTGACAAGCAAACATGCCAACCTTCCATCAAGCTTGTCCATATTCAGCAACTTCTTGCTTGGTGAGATTTTCTCTCAGGTTTGGACTCTCTTCCTTTCATTCTTGAATGATTTCTTATGTTCTGAGGACTTAAATGATCATTAGTTAGCCCCTCTTCCTGAATAGGATCCGCTTAGGGCCAGTGATAAGGCCCTGACGAGTTGTGGTCCTTACAAAATGAAAGAGGATGATGCTATGGTTTATAGGAGACCTTACCTCACATCTGGCTCCTCTGGCTTTGCATTGAATGCAATTAGCAGGGCGATGAAGAGAGAGCTCAAGGTAACTCACTTTTTCCTTATTGCATATCATCGCTGATGAATACTTTACTTGTTAGCTGAACAAAGGTCTATTTCACATGATTTTGCTGAAACTTGAGCTGCTATCTGATGCAGCCATTGCATCGTAATAAATTATCACCTGCAAAGGACTTGCTTTTATTGGACAAAGCTAAACTTTTTTATAACTCATTGGGATATAAGTTGGTAATTACTTCAATCAAGGTCGGTAATTTCTAAAAAGAATCGGTAAATTTAACGGGTTGGTAAGTAAAGCATATAAAAGTTGATAACGAACAAAAAAAGTTGCTAAAATTTAATAAAAACCAAGAAGCAACTCAAATGAGGCTTGGTAAATCAAGACTAGTGAGTAGCCTAATGGGAGAAAAACTAAAGTTGGGAAGTTCATATAAGAATTGATAAATCTAAGGTGTTTGTAAGAGAGCAAGATAAAAGTTGGCAAACGATACCAAAAGTTGATAAATTGGAAAAAAGAATATAAACATTTGTTAGTAACTCGAACAAGAGTTGGTAACCAAAAACTAGTCAGTAATCGATCGAAAAAAAGTTGGCAAGTCACTTAATAAGGATTGATGAATTCATATAAAAGTTGATAATCTAAGGCGTTGGTAAGAAACTCAAATAAATTTTATTAGAAGATATAAAAAATTAATAATTTGCAAACCATCAAAAGGATATAATAATGTAATAAAAATTTGGGCACATAACTGTGAAGTAGATAAATAAGATGAGAAACATGATACGATAAGTTGTAGAGGTACTAGTATGTTGGTCTTAAAATTGCATTAATCACAATCTATGAAGCTTTACTTTTTTTCTCTGCACTACCAATAACTGGTGTTGCTCCAGAGTCAGGACGGGAAAACATGGAGTTAGCTTTTAACCTTTAGGATAACTTCCAGGATCTTGGATAATGATATTTTACCATGAAGAATAGCTGATAGTGCTGTGAATTTTTTGGTGAGAGATGAATCGAGCCATTCAATCGTTGCATATTTCTTACACTCATTGCAACTCTTGTGCCTGATAGAACTATGTAGAAGAATCAAGGACGATACTCAAGGATGAAAACTGGAAAGTTAAAACTACGATATGCTGGGGTCAAAGGGACCGTTGGTTCAGCTATGATGGGGTTGAAGAATTCTGCAAGGACTCAAAACTCAAGATGGTTGAGCTTCCTATGGTACAAGCAAAATGCAATTATGATCCCTTCGTTTTATTGAGTCAATCTTTATCTGCTTAGGCATTAAAAAGGTTAGTGTGTTTTCCAGGCGGGGCATCACGTGCAGGAGGATTCAGGGGAAGAACTTGGAAAACTGATCGCGGAGATTGTTGGCAGAAGAGTTCAGCTGTGATAGGACAGGAATGAAAGATCCTTCCCAAATGAATGAACGAATGGAAAAAAAGTCGACTTTGCGAGAGTCCGCATTTGTTAACACTCGCTTTCAGGTTTTGTGTTGCGTTTCTGGTGAATGTCTACCAAGGAACTGAACCTGTTTGCAATGATCATTGCACAGTCCAATATTTTTTCTGTTATGTTTCGTTACTTTGCAAATAGATATGAGATATTACAACTTACTGAAAAGTAACAGAAACCCATGCTTTTAACTAGATTAATGTGTCCGCTCTACCAAAGTTTTAGTCTTCTCTGATTGCCCTCCCCATACAAGACAACTTCCTGAAGTAAACCTCCTAAGACCCTTTTTATGTGAAAGTGCCTGCATGTATCTATTTGCTGATCTTGAACTATTGAGATTTTGACTACAATCTGGGAAGACAATGAAAAAGGCAAAAGATGCAGACTGCTCTGTCCCCTTAAACTAAAGGTAACATTTCAGCTTTCCAACAAAGTTTGAATTGCAACGAGTCAAAGTGACATCCCATGGATTTATACTGCCGATTGTCTGCTTAGAAGGTTCATTTCTGTAATTTTTTCCGGTAACATGTATCACTATCATAACTGCTACATTCAATAATATAGTGGGACTCCAAGGTTCTCTTCAATGTATAACTGAGGTTGAAATAACGTTGAACTCAAGAGTTAGAGAACTCGAGGATCTGATTCTCCATATACAAAACTTTGTGAAAAGAACAGGTTGAGTAGCTCCTCTTTTCTCGGCATTGAGAAACACATGCTGTATGCTAGTACTGTTGCAGAGAGATGAATGGCATCAATTACCACCTTTTGTAACTCATGAGGCAATACCTCAGTAGATTTTCCAAAAATGTTACAGTTCGTCTCGGCGAGGGAGCTGGAAATGCTTTCATGTAGCCTTTTTATCCTGCTTAATATGGATCAGTCCAACAGTGATCGTCCTCAACTGATTTTCTCCATCTGTGCTGGAAGATCTTCCACTGAGCAAAGGACTCATTTCTAATCTGCACAAAACAAATGTTCAAGCAAGGACTAGATTGATGCCATAACAGAGGAATGGTTTTAAAACTGTGCTGCTAACTATGAAGAAAGTATCCATCTAGTCATGGTCTATTAGCTTTTTTTTTGGTGGCCAAAATTCCTCTTCAGATTGACATTTCAAAGAAATGTATCTGAGCCTGCTGAGTAATGTCATGCATTTGCTGCCTTTGAGCACTTACCAAACTTCTAGTATCGGGTTGATCAGGTACCTTTGCTTTACGATTTGCCTGCACCAGTGACCATTGATTACCACATACTATTCAACACATACAACTGCTTGCTTCAACAGATATACTCTTTGCTGTTCATCCAGGCATAAACTTGAGGTTCTACTATATACGATAACCGAATTACGCAGGTTACAAATTACGAAAAATGGAGAAAGTAAGATATTTTTCTGCTTGTAAAAAGATCCAAAGTTTGGAAAGAGAAGAACCCGAGAGGCAACAGCAAGATGAAGAACATCCACGAAATATTTGCTAAGATGCATAAGATCATGCAGATCACATGCAAACACATACTGAAAGGATGTAATTTTTTTCTTGAAAATTTCCCAACCTTGTTAATTAGAAATTTTAGAGAGCAAAATTCCAATGAGGGCAATAGAGGTTGATATTACGATTTCTTTTGTAGTTAACATACAGGAATCCCCATGATAGGAATATTTGGCTAAGTGCCAGACATGGCACTGATGCGCTTTTTCAGTCAAAAGATCCATACTTGAAGCAAACGAACTAAATCCAGTAAAAAGCAGGATTTATCAAGCTGAGCTCGGGACAAAAATGACCTTAAGGCAATTGATAGTAGGACATAGGTAAAGGTTATAACCTTTTTCCTTACCACACTCCCGAGCGTAACAAATCCAGAATGAACTAAGTACTCGGAATCCACGACCCCAATCTTTTCCATTCGATCACCCTGTTGAAAGAACCTTTGGGAGATTAGTCATATGGGGAGAAAAAGCATTCTATCTTAAAGGAAAATTTCGCGACAAGAAAATGCCTGAGCACAGTAGCCAAGCTGAAAATCCAATCCCCATGCATGATTTAAGTCATTCTGCAAAAAGAACAGAAAAGATATGAGAAAGAGATGAATTGATAGAAGACGCAGACTCCAACAACAGAGAATGAAAAACAGTACAAAGTTTTCAAGGTCGATACTTTGTAGTAGAAGTTCCTCCTGAAGCATAAATGGGCTTTGATTGTGCAGTACAATCAATTAACTGAATATATTACCATGCCTTTGGTATGCCTTAGTAATATTGTAAAAACTGCACAATACCTGAATCATATGCCACACACAGCGCCATGATGCTCGTGAGAAAACAGGAGCCATAATTTCCACCCACCTACATTGCATTTTATGAAACCTTTTTTCTTTTAGCTACCCAAACAATCAGGTAAAGAGCATTTCACTGTTAAAGTGTATCGAAATTTCGGACTAGAAGGATGCTGATGTAAACTGAGATATCCATAAAAACCACGGTAAATCTGACTAGTGTGCAGACTTTTACCCTGTGCATGGAGGGCTTGTACTGTTTTCATTGCACGTAAATCCTCCACCCATCTGTCTGAAGATCCTCCTGTTACAATTTTGTTACCAGAACTATAATGATTACAATCCGCATAGAGCGCAAAGAAAATGCATTATCTTAGATACCGAGAGTAGAAATAAACGAATTATGATGTGCCAGGAATTGAACATAAGATTTCCATCTGCTGTCGTGACTCATTGCAAAGTCAAAAACAGTCGCTGTAACTGTGGATTTTTTATTATTCTCGAACTTATTATTCTTTGACAGAAACAGCAGACCTGTGTACTTTTGATTTTGTATCTCGTTCAGTGATTTGATGATGAATCTCTGATTTATTCGGGTCAAGTGCCGGTTGCGATATTTCAAGCCCTTCTTCTTTGATAATCGAAAGATATCTGCATTGAGCTTTCATTTAATGTCAACTTCTTGCCCAGAAAGGAAAACTCACACTCATTAGAATCCAGTACTGTGTCATATCAAATTTTTCACAAGTAAAGCCGAAAACTATTACCTTCCGACATGGAAATTTTCCACTCCAAGATCCTCATCCCAAAGGAAGATGTAGGCGTATTCAGAAACGATGTCTGGATGTAGAAAACGCTTTGCAAACCACCTAGGAAATCAAAATGGAAAAACTTTACCGCAAGTTGGAAAGGAAGAAATCGATGAGGTTGTAGACTATACTTAAGAGAACTAGCTTCAACAGCTATCTACTATTACCACTTGGTTTGTTTGATAGCAGACACATGAATAGCATGATCGCTCCATTCGGTGTCCCTCCATCCGTCCACATTCCCATCATAATGAAAAATCATCACGTGGAAATCACTTGATAGAAACTGCAACATTATTCGATCAAATTAAGTAAATGATAAGAAGGTGATCAGACATGGAGCGGAGGTCTAAGCGTTCACCTTCTTGACAATCTTGTCTACGTTATCTTTTTGCTTTATTCCAGCTGAAATGGCCAGTAAGTTCGTTGAGTTTGAGCTCTGAACAAAAAGATAAGGGTCGCAATTTTAGATCCGAAGTAGAAAATGCTACTTAAAGAACGGCAGAAATGTACCTTTGTATCATGTGAGCCCCATAAGGGTCGCAATTTTAGATCCGAAGTGCTTGAAACAATGCCTTTGGGTAGCATCTCACTGCCACGAGGTTTGCACGGTGTCTGTTGATTGGAAAGGGTAACCAATAGATCAAAACAGACTCCTTGATTTCACGTTAAGAACAAAGACAGAAAATGCACGCAATTGCAACCAAAGTCGTGTTGCATAGTCCAACCTCGCACTGGAATGTCACATTCTGCTGGGATGTCACATTCTGCTGATTTTTAACAGTTTGCAATCCGAGAAACTTCTGCAAAAGAAAAGCCTTAGTTGATGCCACAATGCCATTGGCATATCTAGCTAATTCACCAAATTGAACGAGGAAACTTTTCGTGAGAACTTAGAGGATTCTCGAGGCGACATGCCAGAAAATAAGGGTTTTGGAATGAAGAAAGCTGTGGATAATCTTTCGTGACAAATGCTCCACCAATCAGGACAGCAGCGGACAGCAAGAACACAAAGTAGCACAGAGACAATATGTTCCTCTTCGGTTCCCGCAGAAAAGATAACTAAAAAGCATAGGTAGAACAAAATCAGGCTCCCAGTCCAATAAGCAGCATCAGATTACACGAAAGGAGAGGTGACTTATTGAGAGCCGACAGGGAGGGAGACTTACATCGGTTGGCAGCTTCATCTTCCAGAAGAAGACGATATCCTAGAAAGCACAAAACGGACACACGTGTCTTAGGAAATGCTTAGAGTGATACTAAGACGAACAATGATTCCTCGCGTCCCCCATGGCCGTCTAGATACAGCAGCATAGGCGAGCATGATCTTGCCAATCCACGAATTATTATCCCAGCGGGTGCATTTCTGGACACTACTTCATTACCTTGGCTGGCGATTTGGAAGCTAACTTACCAACTCAGTGCCCAGAGATGTCAGCCGTATCCTGAGTGATTACTACAAACGCAACTGGGCCCGAAACGGAAGGCGTTCATCTACCATATGTGGAACGCACGGAGAATTGAGCAAAAAAGGTGAGTGAATATCGCTCGAAGTCCCTGTGTGCAAAGGGAGATGGATTAGACGATATATTTGAACCGTAATAAAAGGCATGTGGCAAGCAAGAGATGATTCATTAAGATCCTGTTGAATGCAATAGGCCAGCTTGATCATTCATTCCCGGAGAAATGAACCGTTGCTTGGAACTGCTAAAAAGTTGAAGAGACGACTCTTAAGTCGCGCTAAACGATTCGGATCCCAACAAGATATCAAGTTTACGTAATGAACTTATGCCCAGCATTAGCCCGTTTCTTTTCTTCTCTTTGCTTACCACGGAACGATGATGATCCAAGTCAACCTCGAGAGAGAGGCCGCGAGCGAGAGAGCGTAAACAAGATTGACAGGAAAAGGCAAAAGAGATGATCTTCAGCACGAGTTGATCTTGCTCCTGTGTAGAACCCACGTTTGCACCTTCTTTTTGGCAGCGTCGCTTGAAGTTGAAAGACGACGTGCCACCCAAAACTCTCGGTGTTGACTTTGTCGTAGTAGACCATTTTGAGAAGTCTTATAAATTCATAATCAGGGTTGCAACTCAAGAATCCAATAAAAGGGGAAATAAATATCAGAAATATCTTGAGGACCGTCCATAGTTTTAAGAACTTTCCTCGTTTTATTCTGTGCCATATCAAGGTCATTCATAAATTCCCTAGTATGGTCAACCCATTCAATATGTATACGAGGAAATGAATTAGGGGTATGCATTGGGTCCGGTTATACCCACGAAGAAAATTCGATCGGTTCGGTTTGTCGGTTTGAAGGCCAAAACCGCTAGATCTACTAGGGAATTGGTTCAAATATGTTCAACCAAACCGGTTTCGAAGTCTCTTTTAGAAAAATGAAATTAATTTTACACCCATCGAGAATTGAACACTTGATCGCCACGTGCATTGTAGTCAAATAATGCAACTTTTATATTTTATTATAAACAATTTTTTACTCGGGAACGGGGAATTGATCACCCTTAATTTGAATTGTGTCATATAGAGGCCCTCTATTACTTTTGGTTATAGTTGTAATCGTGTCTAATTGTGGGGAGAAGAACACTAGAAGTGCCAAAACTTGTGTACGACGCTCACTTTAGTGCCAAAAATTTGTTTCGGATAACTTAAGTGCCACTTTTTTGAAAAAACGATCACTTAAGTGCCAACTCCGATTTGGGTTGCCGGAAATCTGACGTTGCCATATTTTATTAATTTCTCAGTCCTACGTGGCACGTCGGCGCTGACGAGAACAATATTTTAATTTTCTTAAATTTTTTTCTGATTTTTTCTTTTCTTTCATCTTCTTCGTTTGGCCGGTGATCGGACACCGGCCACCGGCCAAGGCCAGCCGCCTGGCCTCGCCCGGACGAGGCCGCCGTTGCTCGCCAAGGGCGACGCGAGGCCGCCGTGGCCTGGGCGACCGCCGGCGAGGTCGGCCCCGCCGGATCTGGCGAGGCCGGCCTCGCCCGGCCACGGCGGCCTCGCCGGCGGTCGCCCGGGGGAAGGCGACCCCGGAGAGGCCGCCATGGCCTAGGCGAGGCCGGCCTCACGGCGGCCTCGCCTCGCCCGGGCAAGGGCGTGCCCAAGCGAGGCGGGCGCCCTCGCCCGGGCCACGGCGGCCTCGCCGGCGGTCGCCCGGGGAAGGCGACCCCGGCGAGGCCGCCGTGGCTGGGCGAGGCCGGCCTCGCCGGATTTGGCAAGGGCCAGCATTGCCTCGCACGGGCAAGGGCGTGCCCAAGCGAGGCGAGGCCGGCCTCGCTGGCCACGGGCCTGCCGGCGGTCGCCCGAGCCATGGCGACCGCCGGCGAGTCCGCCGTGGCTGGGCGAGGGCCGGCCCCGCCGGATTTGGCGAGGGCCGGCCTCGCCTCGCTTGGGCAAGGGCGTGCCCGGGCGAGGCGAGGTCAGCCTCGCCAGATCCGGCGGGCCGGCCTCGCCGGCCACGGCGACCCCCGGCGACGCTTGCGAGGCCGCCGTGGCCGGGCGAGGCCGGCCTCGCCTCGCTTGGGAACGCCTTGCCCGGGCGAGGCGAGGCGAGGCCGGCCCTCGCCGGATCCGGCGGGGCCGGCCTCGCCCGAGGCCACGGCGGCCTCGCCGGCGGTCGCCCGGGGGAAGGCGACCCCCGGCGAGGCCAGGCGGTCGGCCATGGCCGGTGGCCGGTCACCGGCCAAATGAAGAAGAAGAAGAAAAAAAAAGAAGAAGGAAAAAACAGAAAAAAATAAAAATAAAATTAAAAATTCGAAATTTACACGTGGAAATGCCACGTAGGACTGAGAAATTCAAAATATACATGTGAAAATGCCACGTAGATTAAAATTTTAATTAAAAAAGCCACGTATTAATTTGGCCGGAATTTCTCGCCGTTGGCACTTAAGTGATCGTTTTTCTCCGATTTTGGCACTTAAGTGATCCGAAACAAACTTTTGGCACTAAAGTGAACACCGTACACAAGTTTTGGCACTTCTAGTGTTCTTCTCCCCTAATTGTGCTAAACTTTATTCTGATTCTGGAGTGAATTCATTTTAATTTGACCTAAAATGCCGTCGTGCGTCGTTAGGTGCTTGGCAAGAGGACTCGAGTTCGATCCCCAGTAAATGGACCGGACTCATGACGTGTCATTTCCCTAGAAAACAAAAGGAAAAAAAAAGTTAATAAAAAAAGGAGGCTATTTCCACCCCCTAAATACCTAAATCCATCTAATTTTCACCAAAAAGATAAAAATTTCCCTCAATCATTCAATTGCAAATTAAATGGTGGCCTCAAAATTTACTAACTTTCCTTTTTTAGTTTTTCTATTTCTTTGTACTTGTAGGATCTAGTTACCAAAGTTAAGAATTTCACATGTTTAGTTTTTCTTTATTGTAGGTATCCTAGATATATTAAAGGGACTACGCTTACTAATCACACAATAGTGTATAAGAATACTTTTACATAGGACGCGGCTTGTGAGATGGTCCCCTTGACGAAGAAAGCAGGATTTGGATGCCCCGATCTGTGCCGCCTCCATCCCCGACGATGAACTGTGTTGCTGCTACCTTCTCGAGTGGCGCCCGCTTGTTGCCGCACGAGCGTCGACTCAGCCACTCCGCCCGCATCAAAAGCCCGATCGCAACAACTTTGCTGTCAACCCTCACGAAATTGGTGGCTGTTTGCTGTGGGACTCTGGATTTCTAGGTTGCTGAGTTGTTGAATTTCTGGGGATGCTGAGTTGCTGTTCGCTAAAGGTGATGTCCACGAGCAGCAGAACAGAGAATGCATACTAGGTGTTCAACAAAATTGCTCAAAGAAGGGAAATTGTCCTTTAGCCGTGGCTGGACTGGTTGGTTCTGATCGTGATCCATGGTTCAGGCCCTTGAATGCGTCGACCCAGACGCCTCTCCATGCAGGATTCGACGCACCTCCTCTCTAAAAAATATTGCTCCATCAGCGATGGTCCAAACTCGTAGCAGCAAATCTAGTGTTCTGAAAACCTCAATATCCAAGAAGATGAAGAACCAAGCTACTTCAGCTGAGATTAAAAGTAGCCTTTTCAAATCTTTAAAGGAGAAAGAGGTTGAGACTTTGAACTCAATTGCTCCGAAACCTTGTTCCAACTGTGCCAATATAGTTCAAAATTGTAATCTTAATGCTGGATGTGGCTGTGATAATCTCGATTGTAATTTGGCTATTGATATCGGTGGTGTTAAGCCTGCTTCTATGAGTCCAAATTGTGTTGTTAAACCCGAAGTTGAAGCCTCCATTAAGGAAGTTGGTATTATGTGCAATAGTAGCATGACTGGATCCATCTTTGCCGAGTCACTTCCTAGCCAAGATTCACCTTCACCGAACCTTGCTGCTGCCCCAAATCCATCTTGGAAAAGTATTACCATGGTTTAGATCTCCCAAACAGCAAAATTGAATTTCATCCCTCCAAACAAACACTGCAATAAGCTTGGTGCTCCCCCCCGGAGATTATTGAAGAAGGGAAGGCACACTTTGAGAACTGTTTTGTTGGTCACTTTCTCATTGCTAATGTCTCATTTTACCAGGTGAGAGATATCGTTGAACAACTCTGAGGCAAAGAAAATCTTTTAGAAGTTTTGGCTACGGAAGATGGTTTTTTCTTTTTCCGATTCTCTAACGTCCAAAAGCTAGTCAAGGTTATGGAGGTGGGGATATGGGACATATCTGGCAAACCATTATTTTTACAGAAATGGCATCCCCTAATCAAACTGGAAAAGGCAAGGATTACTTTCGTGCCAATTTGGGTACGTCTTTATAATGTACCCCATGTCCTTTGGACCAAAACCGGTCTAAGCTATGTGTGCAGCTTTCTTGGTAGACCTTTGTATATGGATAAGGCTACCGAGGAAAAACGACGACTAACATTTGCTCGTGTATGCATTCTCATGGACTTTTTTTTTTTGGTAAGGTAAGGATTGTTATAACTTTTCAACGCAATATACAAAGAGTAGCCGAACACAAAAACCCCGCACATGAAGAGACACGGAAGGGTGTCCCGACTGGTACAAGGGTGTACCGACTAGCCAACGTAAAAAAGCAACACAAGCGTTGCAAAACAAGGCCAAACAATGGCCAATAGAATACGAAAGAGCAAAAAACTAAACCACCACAATGGGATTACTCAAAGATAGAAGGCGAGATGCCCCAATTAGATTGGATCCTTCTGTTGCGTGGGGAGTCTTGAACAGACTTGTAGGACAGCCCTCTGTCCCTTACGAGCTTAGAAAGGTGCCCACGTAGAGCTGACATAAACAGGGGTTTATTCCTGAAGATGATATGGTTACGTTCCGACCAAATAATATGGCAAAGCGCCTTAAGGGAGAAGCGAGCAATTCGCTGGCGAAAGATGTTTCCACCTATGAACTTGACAGCCCACTAGAGGTTTTCTTGCCACGATATATTACGCCAAGAGAGATTACAGTTTCTTACCCAGAATAGTGCTAGGGTACCCGTAATTGCACACCCAAAAAATAAATGATCGATAGAATCTGGTCTACATCTACAGAATGCACAAAGACCTTCCAAGATTCTACGATAATTTAGCAAAACAATATGAGTTGGGAGCCTATCTAGAGTGATGAGCCATAGTAAAAACCCATACCTTGGCGCAATATTATGATCCCATATGAACAAGCTCCATGGAATAGTTGGGCTTTTGTTTCTAATCAATTCCCAAGCCGTGGCCGTCGAGAAAATACCTGAGGAATGGCCTTGCCAGGTTAATTGATCAAGCCTCTCCCCGTGAAGAATAGGGATAGCATCTGACCAAGAGTTAAAAGTTTGCAGTATATTAGAAGACTGCCAGTCGGAAGACAGGAAATCCTGGACTGAGGCATTTCTGGGGATACCAGAACAATATAAATCTCTATAAGAGAAGAGCTCGAAAAGGGGTCCTCTGGGATGCCAATAATCGAACCAGAAAGATGTTGACATTCCATCACAAATCCTCCATTTAAACTGTAGTCGGAATTCTCGTCGGAGGTCGAGAATTTTTTTCCAAGCCCATGAGCAAAAAGTCGACTTGGGCGCAACTCAGAAATTCTTGTTCTTGAGAAAGGTGGAATGGATTCACTTATGCCATAAAGACTCTTTATCCGTGAAAAGGATCCAAATGTGCTTGAGTATGGCCGCCCTGTTGCAGTCGCTGAGCCTACGTATACCTAGGCCACCTTCCTTTTTTGGTCGACAAACTTCGGACCAAGGGATTTTAGCCCCGCCAACACCCAGGTCTGGGCCCTTCCATAGGAATTGTTTGAGAATTAATTTGATCCTCGCTAAAACCGAGAGGGGTAGAGTGAAGACACTAGCCCAGAAAACATGAATAGAGTGGAAGACCGATTTAATAAGTTGTAACCAACCGGCAAAGGATAGAAAACGTTGAGACCAAGACCGAGCTCGAGCAGTAATGGAGTTTACTAAAGAGCTACAATCAGTCTTACTTAGTCTAGTCGAAGTAACATGCACTCCTAGATACCGAAAGGGGAGCGTACCTTCATTAAAGCTAAAGGTAAGCCGAATCAGTTCCCGGAGCTCTGCCGACCCACCAGATATAAAAATCTCACTTTTGCTGGCATTTGGAATTAGCCCAGACCATCGAGAAAATAAGGTAAGGCCTTCCTTCAAAAGGGTAGCAGAAGTCGTATTTGCCTCCACAAAGAGAAGGACGTCATTCGCGAAGAAGAGGTGGGTAAGGCAAATAGACTTACACTGCCAATAAAATTTGAAACCCGGGAGCCGAGCTTGAGCATTAAGAATCCCAGAGAGTACCTCCATAACCAAGGTGAATAGATAGGGCGACAAAGGATCCCTTGGCGGATACCTCTTTCACTAGCAAAGAAGCCATGAAGTTCCCCATTAATGGCTACAGAGAATTTTGGGAATGTAACACATTCCATAATGAGTTTAATTAGCATCGGAGGAAAGCGAAAGGTTTCCAATACCGATTCCAAGAAACCCCAATCAACAGTATCGTAAGCCTTTTGAAAGTCCACCTTAATAGCACACTTTGGCGAGTAAGGCTCATGGTGGAAGCCAGCAAAAAGCTCCTGAGCAAGTAGGATAGTATCACTTATCCTACGTCCCTTTACAAAAGCATTCTGGGGAGGGCTAACTATCGACGGCAGTACTGAGGCAACTCTATTTGCCAGGATCTTGGTTATGCATTTGTATACCGTATTACAGCAAGCGATGGGACGAAAATCACTCATAGAAGAGGCATTAGGTACCTTCGGTACAAGTGTGAGAATTGTGGTGTTTACCTCCTTCAGTAGAGAGCCAGCGCGAAAGAAATCCTTGATTGCCGCAATAACAGAGGAGCCCACAGTATCCCAAGATGAAATAAAGAAATCCACGTTGAACCCATTGGGGCCAGGAGCTTTTCCTTTAGCAAGGGAAAACATAGTGTTGTGGATCTCAACATCCGTGACTTCCCGAGAGAGGAAAAGTATCTGATCATTATTAAGGACTCGCTCCACTACGAGGCTGATTTCCGCAGGGGAAGGCCGAACGGTTGTAGAGCTAGTCAAGAAAAGATTCTCAAAATGGGAGACAATATGTCTGCTGACCATAGGCGGGTCATTGAGGACAACACCAACATTATCAGAAACCGAGAGGATATGATTATGCAGTTGCCTCTTATTGACAAAATGATGGAAATATTTCGTGTTTCTATCCCCATCATTTAATCATCTAATCCTGGATTTTTGTTTTAGAAAAGCTTCCTCCTGAAGTCTGAGCAAGGAGAACTCCTGAAGTCGCTCCTTTTCTAGGATTGCCAGCCTTGGATTAAAAGGATCAGAGGAGATAGCTTGTTGAGTAGAATTAAGATCTAACCTGGCCTGAGCAACACGGGTGGAGATATCCGAATAAGAATTCCTGTTAAGCTGTTTGAGGCGTCCTTTGAGAAGCCGAAGCTTCCGGCACAAGACAAACATGGGTGAACCAAAAATTTGGGAATTCCATACCTGGGATACAATATCCGAGTAAGATGGGTGCGTCATCCAAAAATTAAAGAATTTGAATGGCTTCCTGGAAGGAACAGCATGAGCAATTCTAATTAACATTTGAGAATGATCCGAGACACCCGGTGCTAGAAAGTTTGCCTCCGAGAAGGAAAAAGAACTGGACCACTGGTCATTGATTAACACTCTATTGATTTTCCTTTGCTTGCGTGTGTCACCTGATGATGTTGACCACGTGAATCTATGGCCAATATATCTCAAGTCCTCCAGACCGGACTGGTCTAGGCAAATGCCAAATTCATCAAAAGCAGGTATCCAAACATTGGAGCTACCCAACCTGTCCGAGTTAAAACGAATAACATTAAAATCCCCTGCCACCAGCCAAGGATCAGTCTCAAAGAGACCGCTAGAGCTCACAAGATCCTCCCAAAGAGAACGCCGAGCAACAAAAGTATGATCACCATATACTACCGAAAGGACACAGGTCTTATTAAGAGCCAAGAGGTGAACACGGCAATGAATTGCTTGGGAAGACATAGAGAGAATTCCCAGATCGACTTCCTGAAGTTTCCAACCGATCCAAATCCTTACACGTGGAGAAAATTGTAATTGGCCATCCACACCCAACCCAGCAAGAGACCAAGGGAAATATTTTCAAAAAGAGACGGTCTAACCTTCGTCTCAAGGATGCCGAGGCATGAGATATTGTGAGATCTAACAAAAGTTATGATCTCAGCTTGTTTAAGGGGGTTAACGAGACCTCTAATGTTCCACACCCCAAAAAACATATAAATAGCGGGAAAAAGATTACCGCCTTTTAGCGTCGCCCCGTTTTTTTGGTTTCGGTTTGGCCAACTTGGCATTGGAAGAACTGCTTATGTGGGTGGGATCCTTCATCATGGGAGCACGCAGAAGGGAGTTTCTATCTTCCTTGTTAGGATCACCAGAGAGGGGCTGGATGTGCACAGAGGAAGGGCCATCGAGGCTTGGAATAGGCATACCAGGAACCCATCTCGAAACTTCAGGGATACCCCCTCGATTCATAGAAAATTTCCGACGGGTGCTAGGGGAGACAGGGGATGCCAACTCCTCCTCCGAGTCGCTGCCTACCTCACTTGCTGAACCATCTATAGAAGCATCCGAACCAGAAGAACCCAAAGAATTAGCCGAAGAAGATAAGGCAAGGTCAGTGGGAATATGGTGGCCATCCTTCCCAAAATCAGGGATAGGCACCTGAAGATCAACAATCAAAGCAGGGTCTGCAGTGCTCGCTGAGGTCCTAGAGCGCCCAGAAGGCAACAAGTTCTGAGTGGTCGATATACCAGTCTTGAGATTGACAGAATCAGACCTTTTAGCAGGGGAGGCCGAATTAGCCAAGATCCACGAATGCTCCCCCGACTGCTTCCTGCGGACAGTTTCCCATTGAGCACCTTCCGGAGGAGGCTCATTCACAGCAACAACATCTGGCACAGGGGCCTTTTTGACAGCAGTGGACGATCCAATGGCCGGAGCGCATCTATGGCCAAAGGTTCCACACTTCATACATGCCATCGGTCGCCATTCATATTCAACCATGACAGACCAATTTTCACCATTCAAAAGGATTTCGACAGACTCTAACATGGTCTGTGAGGCCTTAATCTCAATGCATACCCTTGCATAAGAGATCATACGCATCCTCTCGGTTTGGATGTCCACATGTAGGGGTCTTCCAAGGGCACTTGCCACAACACTTATACCCGAAGCAGACCAAAGTGCAATAGGTACGTTTTTCAATCTAACCCATACAGGTAGGGTTTCGTGTTGGTTTTTCTCCAACCTCATTGCCGGATGCCATTGTTGCAATATCATAGGTACTCGAAGAATGGTTATGGGGCCCCCATCCACAATTCTACGATGAAAAGAATCATCGGGAATATGGAAGAAAAAGAAACCATCACCATTAGCAAGAACATCCACAACCTGAGTTCCCCAGATGGTTTTGACAGCAGTCTCAGTCAATTTGAAAGGCAACTTTTTGCCCACAAAGTAACCAACTAGGCACTCCTTCCACTTAGGATCGGAGTTCCGAAGGATTTCATCCGATATCTTGACAATAGGTTTCCCATCAATCAAAGAGGGGGGATGTAAGAAAGAGAATAACCTTTTCTGCAGATTTTGCAATGGTAGCCCAAGAACGTTGAGTTTGTTGCTGTATCAACTTATCAGCACCATCTCTTGGACCTTGGTTCGCCCGAATAAGAGAAGAATCTCTTTGAGCCAATTTAGGAGCGAAACTTCTATGGCTACGTCCTCTACCATGAGGCTGCATACCTTCTTGAATCAGAGGACCAGAATTTGTGGTCGCCGCTTCAGCAGGAGCAGTAGTGAGCTTCGAGGGCTCCATAACATTGGGATTCCTCCCACTACCAGCTTCAAAACGACTAGAGTTGGCCGAATACCGACCCCTGCTTCGTCCACGACAACCGGGACGTTGTGACTAACGGGCCACAGCAACGGAATTACAGGCTTCCATTGAAGCACCAGGGATATCATCTTTCGCAATTTCCACAGAAGGGGCGATTCTCTGAATGGCTTTGGAGGAGCCAGCATTAGCAACAGAAGGATGCTTAGGGAGCTTTGAGAGTACCTTGCCTTGCACAGGTTCCGCCAACTCCATAGGTACCTTCGATTGAGGGAGAGACTCCCCAATGCACTGTTTTCCAGCCATGGCCAAGCTTAGAAAAGAAATGCCACGAGCAATCAGAAGGGCAAGACAGTAGGAAGGCCACCGAAAATCTTGAAGCACCGATTAACAGGGGCCACTTCGTGAGAATACCACCGGTCACGAGACAACGCAGCCAAAAGACAGGGGCCTCCTCATGAGAATTCCTTCGGACAAGAGGTAAAGTAGCAACCGATTAACAGGGGCTACCACAAGAGAAATCCTCCGGTCCAGTGATAGAACAGCTACTGGCGAAGCCCAGCACCAAGAAACAGCAAGAACCGTCGATCAGAGTGACCAGAATCGGTGAAAATCCAGGCGGATGAACAGTGCCACAATCGCCTGAATCGGGAGAGAAGACTGCACAGTTCCGAGTGAATAGTACCAGACGCAAGTGAAAAGTCGCATTCTCATGGACTTTGATAGCTCATTCCTGGAAAAATTTTGATCTTGATATGGGAAACGAGGAAACCTTTGGGATTACTATTGATTATAGCTGGATTCCGCTAAAATGCAAAAAATGTAACTACTTTGGTCATAAGGATTGCAATGTGCCGAACAAGACAATATGGGTTCCTAAATCCCAATTGGTGGCAAGACCACCGGAAAATAATGCTTTTATTGCTCCCATCCCACCTGGAGCGATTACCAGAGTGCTGCCAAATAAAAATTCCTCGGCCATACTATCGAAAGCTCCCCGCTCCATCACCGATCTCGGTATTTCCATGGTCAATCAGCCAAAGAATCTTGTTTGTGATGCTTCACAGTCAGGTTTATCCTATACAAATGTCAAACATGGTGGAAGTCAGAAGTCAGGCTCCATTAACAAAAGTAGAGATACTTTCAATTCTTTGAATCTATCTCCAAATAGATTTGCGTTATTGGGCGAGGGCGATCATTCTGCTATTTGTGATTGGCCCATTACTCTACTTGGGGATATGGGGAGTGGAGCGGAACCCCCTGACCAATGAATATCCTCTCATGGAACGTACGGGGCCTTAATAGTAGCCCCAAACAAAAGGAAATTGTAGATTTTGCTTTATCTCAAGACCCTTCTATTCTTATTTTGATTGAGCATAAAATAAAAGAGGGAAATGCGGAATTTGTCATCAACAGTAAGTTTTGAGGCTGGAAATTTATCCATAACTATCAGAACAGCAGTCTGGGTAGAATATGGGTATTATGGAAATCATCTATCTTAAACTTGACTATGATGGAAGGTTCAGCTCAAGTCATTCACTGCCTTGTTGAAAAATTAGGAGATGACTCATTTCTCTTATCTGCAGTTTATGGAGGCAATTCTAAAACTGAAAGGAGATCCCTATGGCATAATGTTAATACATTCTCCACTGATAATATAGGAAATATGCCTTGGTTACTTATAGGTGATTTCAATGAAACGAGAGATACAATTGAACGGATCGGATCTAATACCCGATGGACTTCTGGAATGGATGAGCTAAACACAATGATTGAGGAGCTGGCGCTGATTGAGCCTAATTCCACAAGCCCATTTTTCACATGGACAAATAAAAGGTCCAATGATGATCTTAGAGCAAGCAATATTGATAGGGTCTTCATTAATGCAAATTGGCAGAACAGGTACTCTCATTATTCGGTAGAATTTTTACTGCCGGGTGTTTCAGATCACTCTCCATGCCTAGTGCGTCTTAACACCACTGTTAGGAGAACGAAGCCCTCTTTTAAATTCTTCAATTTCTGGACTGAAAGTCCCGATTTTCTACCGATTATCTACGCTGGCTGGCAACTGGATTTTAAAGGATCCAAAATGTTTATTCTGGTGAACAAGCTCAAAGCATTGAAACAAAAACTCAATCACTTGAATAAATCTCAATTTGGTGACCTATGTCGTAAGGTCAAAGATGCTAGAGCGAACCTACAGCGAATACAATGAGATCTTGCATTGGACCCGTACAACATAAACACCTGGGATGAAGAAAAGGCACAATTGGAGCAACTACTGACCCATAGCAAACATGAAGAAGTCCTCCTAAAGCAAAAATCTAGAAATCTATGGTTGAAGGAAGAGGACAACAACAGCAACATTTTCTTTGCCTCCATGATGCGTAGAAGTGCTTAGAACAGAATTAACCAGCTCTCACTCGATGATGACACTACTATAACAGATGAGGGAGTTCTTAGGGATGCAATTGTATCTTATTATCATCACGTACTTAGTAGCTCCAGGCACACTCATTTCCCTTACGAACGGTTTGCTTCCCTATTCCTTGAAAATGTCAGTACCGCCATCATTTTACTAGACTTTCAACGTACTGAGATCATTAAAGTGCTCAAAGGCCTAAATAATTTCAAAGCCCCGGGTCCAGATGGATACAACAGTTTATTCTTTAAAAAAGCCTGGCCCATCATAGGGCGTGATATAGAGGATGCTATCATGGACTTCTTCTCCTCTAGAAGACTGCTGAAAGCTATCAATTCTACTATGTTATCCCTTGTGCCGAAGGTACAAAATCCATCCCGCCTCACGGATTTCAGGCCCATCTCATGCTGCAATGTTCTATACAAGATCATATCGAAACTACTTGCGGAAAGACTCAGCTATTTCCTCCCTTCGGTTGTTGGCCTCAACCAAACCGCTTTTATCTCGCGTAGACAGATATCAGAGAATATTCTGCTTTGCCAGGACCTTCTTCATAACTACCATAAGGGCGATAAAGGTAAACGCGTGGCAATAAAAATTGACCTTATGAAAGCTTTTGATATGGCAAAATGGGAAGCAGTTCTTGGTGTTCTTAGGGCTATCAATATACCTCAACATTTGTTTGATCTGATAGCTCAATGCATAACTACACCGAGGTTTTCGATAAACCTCAACGGCGAACAAGTTGGCTACTTTGCTGGTACCAATGGACTAAGACAAGGTGACCCACTCTCTCCTTATCTATTTGTCTTGGTTATGGAAATCCTCAATAGGATCATAATTGAGAAAGTTGCAGCATCCTCCTTCAAATATCATTGGCGCTGCAAAATGGAAAAAATCACTCACTTATGCTTCGCAGATGATCTGTTTCTTTTTTCTCACGGGGATTTAGATTCAGTCATTTGCCTTGTTGATGTACTTGATGAATTTGCAGCTCTCTCAGGACTGCACTTCAATCCAGATAAATGCCAAATCTTTTTCTCTGGGTTGTCCGAGGAAGAAAAGGGAATTATATTGGATCACACACCTTTCCCCACAGGTAACCTCCCTATTAGATACCTTGGTGTTCCGCTTGTTACAAGAAAACTCACACACGTAGATTGTAAGAGTCTGACCGATAAAATCTTCAAAAAAATAGAAGGCTGGGGCATGCAACATATTAGCTACGCTGGTCGTCTCCAGTTGACGAAATCGGTACTTATCTCCATCTGTACCTTTTGGATACAAATGTTTTTACTTTCAAAGCAAACTATATATGAAATTGAAAAGAAGATTAGACATTTTTTGTGGGTTGGAAACACAGAAGGCCACGGATCACACAAAGTTGCTTGGGAAGTTGTTTGTTCGCCAAAAAAGGAAGGAGGTCTAGGGTTGCCTCATCTAAAATTATGGAATAAAGTTTTACTTGGCCGTATGCTTTGGAACCTCATAAATTGTCCGTCATCTTCCTTGTGGAGTAAATGGGTTCATAGTACCAAGTGTAGAGGCAATTCAATTATGCAGCTTGAAATCAAGGGCTCTATGGCATGGAGTTGGCATTGTATTCTTCAACTAAGACCGGCTTTAGCATCAATCATATCTAGACCAAGATATTCTTGCCAAGAGGTATACGATTAAACCAAAAATGTGAGACCGGCTGTGGAATGGTCCCAATTGATCTGGAAAGGAGGTATTAGCAAGCATAATTTCATCGGCTGGCTAGTTTGTAGATATAGACTACAAACAGCAGAAATCATATCACGTTGGAAACCTGAAGTAGATATTCATTGCAATTTTTGTATGTCTGGTCTGGAAAGCAGAGACCATCTATTCTTCCAGTGCACCTGGACTGGAAGCATTTGGCGCACTATTCTTGCACAATACGGAATTCGACGCCCTGTAGAAGGATGGAATGATGAACTTAAATGGATGATCAAGGCTACAAAAGGTAAGGACTTGGCGGCGAGACTTCTGAAGGTAGCTTTCCTAGCGATTGTATACTGCATTTGGATGGAGCGTAATCGTAGACGCTTCCAACAAAAGTCAAATGATGCCCTTATCATTTTGGCTAAAGTTCGCAAACTTGTCAGAGGGCGAGCTTTGCACTACAAATCTTTTAGACTGTCCCGAACAAATGAAACTTTGGCTACTATATGGAGACTCCCCCACTCCATTTTTTTGTAATCTTAGTTCTATTTGTAATGCTGGGGAATGCCCCTAAGCTTCTGTGCGTCATCTTATAAATACTACTTACATTTACACCAAAAAAAAAAAAAAAGGGACTACGCTTTTTTTCATTGTTAGATTTTACTTCTATAAAAATTAGTTTTGCCTAAAAAACAAATTTCCAAGATAGTTCATTTCTACGTTGTTGGGCAAATTTAAGGATAAATTGTCAAATAGAATCCAGAAAAAAACTTTACATAGATAATTTTTTAACCCAGTAACTTTGTTTACAAATTTTCACTTTTGTTGTGCATATCACCATCAAACCCCTTCTTATTGGGTTTCTTTTATACAAATATATAAATAAATACATACATACATATACATATATATATATATATATATATATATATATATATATATATATAATGGGATGATCGAATGAAGCAAAAAAAAACCCTCTTTGAAAAATTTCCAAAGAAAAATCACAATTACAATCTCCGACGAACAGCTTTAAAAGATGAAATTTTAAAAAATAAAAATATTGCATGAAATAAGAAACCTTTTCAAAATGCCTATCGAATTTCATTATTGAGTTGACACAAATTAATGTCATCCATGAAGTGTGTACGAAAAAATATCAGATGCCTCATTTTGCATGATGTTTTTTTTATATACCTAGATATTCCATAATGTCTTATATCTGTATAAAGGCATCTCATCAATAGTAAGGGAAAAAATAAGTTCTTTAATATAGTAAATAAAGAGACTTGATATATATTTTAGGCCGATGGAATTAAAATTTTAAAAATTCACCAAAAAAGTGAGCTTTCGAGATAAGAGGTAGACAGAATAAATAAGCTTTTATAAGAGCAATGATGAAGAAGCTTTCAAGTTTTTTACTATATGAAAGGATTTATCTTTTTTCCTTACTAGTGGCTTTTAGATAGAGAATGAATACACTAAAAAAATTCATCAATAATTATTGTGTAAGAAAGTAGAAAAAAATAAAACATGTGAAATGCATAATTATGGCAATGAGATCCTTAATTAAAATAGAAAAAAATAGGAAAAAGAAGGAAGGGGCCATCGCTTTAAATTGCAATTGACTAACTAAGGTCGATTTAGGCTTCCTAGTGTAAATGGGGTTGGATTTAGTCATATGTGGGTGGAAATAGCGCCTCCCTAAATAAATTGTCATCGCCAATTCTGGTAAGTACTTTTTCTGAACAAGAACTCAAATATAAAGTGATACATCTACTGATGAGGAAGCCAAGAAGGAGAATTCTAATGAAAGGATACCATGCATGGCCCAAAAAGAAGAATGGATGCACACGGTGGACCTAATCGCTACGGCCTATCAAACGTAAAGTCGAGCCCAAATTGGATACGTAAAGATTTTTGTTTTCCTCTATAAAGTAATAGTTAGAATCAACCCCAATATTCCGAGTTGAGCGGGAGTTTCATTTGAGAAATTTTTGAAATACTCTCCCCCCTAGTGCTTCCCCGCGCAACGATTGATTTGGGCGCACGAAAATGTCATGCAGTAGGAGTAGATCTTTTGATGATCTATCGTTAAATAGTTGTGTAGATAATCTAGTCCGAAGAGCTTGAGCTCTCTGCTTAGATGTTGGCACATGGTTACCGTCAAGGGATCACCGGTTTTTCATGAGATCACGCGTTCGATTCATGCCACAAGCGTATCTCTAAGTGGCTCGTGATGCATTGCATGCCGTAGCTTCAGCATATCTCGTGTGAAAAGAGACTGTCCTTTCCTGTTTTTTAATCAGATAAAGAAAAAAGACATTGGTGCATGGTCAATGGTTGGTACAAATCCCACTTGTAATTGGCAGTTATCAGGTAATTATGCACTCAAATTCTCGACGATTATGATTTCATTAATGAAATCAACAATCTACTCAAATCAAAGGGCACAAAAAGCATTAGTCAAATAACATTTTCTGCCCAGGGTGGTTATAATAATTTTTACCAATAGAAAGGATATCGCTATAATTCACTATATGTCTTTATATATACATGTGCCTCCCTCCACTTATAAATTTAAGTTTTTGTGTTGGACTTTTTAAATATTTTTCGTTATTATTAGTTATGACAATTCGGTTGATTTGGGATCATAAGTCCTGGCATTTGGTTTTATTTTCGGAACCTAAAAATGTGCTATATCGGTTACAATGTAGATGGTTTTATTTTGATAATTGGTTCTTATTATCCCAAAATTAAAAATGTTAAAAAAGGTTTTCCTTTGAATGAATCAGACATGATATCGAGATTATCAAATGAAATCACTCCATGTACATAGATTAGAATTATGTGATCGGTTCAATGGGATAAATATGTTGGTGTCGATCTCTCCTTCTCATATCAACTTACTCTTTCATCATCAATTTATTAACAAACTAATCGAAAAATGAAGCAACATTTAAGTAGGTAAATATTTTGACATGCTTTAGAATTTTAGAGGATGGATAGGGTTGATGCATGTAAAAATGACAAGTAACATCCTATGAACATGAGAACAACATCCCAAACAAATGTAAAAGGTATAGTTCTAAGTAGTACATAATCTGCTCGTACTTGATATGATATTGGAGGTTGGGCAATAACAGACGTATATCCTTCGTCGCAAATCTAACTTCACTTGCTAACTGCAGAAGTTTCGAGTCAGCAAGCAAAACGCAAATGCATGTTTGGTATAGCTATAATTGGTATTGAGGTGTTGTAACGCGTGAGTTTGATAATATATATGCTTTAAAATTGGCTGGGACAGTTTGTCGTAAGTTGTTGCAGCTGTGAATGTAAATGAAAGTTTCCCCATGACCTTTCGCAACTATAGTTGTTGTGTAAAAATGCATCAAATAGGCTCTAAGTGTATGTTGATAGTAACTAATGGCAATTGGTTTTAGAGTGAGTTGATTGTCTACTTAGAACTAGAAACAAACCTTGTGACCTCCTGTTTCAAAAGATTGGAACTGGGAACCAAATTGGTTTCAGAACCGCCGGTTCCTGGACCGATCGATTTGTTATTGGTTTCTAGGAGGCCTATTTTAAGTTTAGGCTAAAAAGTCAAATTCTTATTATAAAGCATGGAAGTTGCAGTATTGTATGACAAATACAGTCGTTGGATAAATGGTTATATTGTTATTTGCTCATACTTAAGACAACTTCAAAATTGATTTAAAAGTGATTCAACCCGGGAATCGATCCAGGTTGAATTGGCGATTTTCGCCTTGGAACGGGGAATTGAATCCGTTCTCTATGGCCACCCTTAGTAGTACCTTTTTTAATCCACCTCGATGTTTTCCAGATAAATTAATAATTAAATGTCGGTAAACGATAAAGCTCATGCCAAGGTTAAATGGAACCTCGTTAAAAAAAACACACCAATTTGATTTTTTTTCTTTTCTTTTCTCCCTTGAAAGAAGCGAGGCCCTAGGAAATCGTAAAATTTTTGCAGGAACAAGGTATGGTCCCATAAAATTGGAATTTTACTATTTGGGAGGAACAAGGATGGGTGAAGGGGGGCCAGGACAATTATTGAATAAGTAATCCGTGTTTCAATGCATTAATTATTTCCGACTTCCCGCATTGTGCACAATTATCGTTTTAAAAATAAATAATTTAAATTTGTTAAATGCTCGACATATTCGTTAAGATAGTTCCAAGTTAGCAAATTCGGAAATCCCATGAATCAAGACAAAATAACACAAATGATTCTTGAACCTTGGTCCGATATGCAATGTCGTCCTTAAACTTTTAATTTATTTAATGTAATCCCTGAATTACTAACAAATATTGATTCTAGTCCCTATACTATATGAAAATGTTTAATGTCATCTTTCTGCCAATTCAAGTTAACGGAATATACACAGGTGGCTATTAATCCGTTAAAATTGGAATGGTGGACAACAAAAGAAAGTTACACGTTAATTATCCAAGTTAGGATATTCATCTAAAAAACATGATATAATAATCAACATCATTGTTAACGCTCGAATTATTTTTTTTCCCCTTTTATAAAATAGACGGATAAAAAGATTAACATGTTGATTCATCATTTTAATTTCACATAATCAAATAACATCTTATTTGTCGCTTGAACAAATGGAACGACTATATTGAACATATACGTATAGTTCAGAGAGGTCGTATTGAACGAACTGAAAATTCAAAAATTATATAACAAAATTTTAAAGAATCATTTGTGCCAATTTTTGTCTTTGCTTGAAAAAGGATCAGTTATGATGGGCGGACCGAACCACGCACTGGGAAATCGAGACGTACGGGGGCTCGGACCAATCCGACAGCGACGGGTCGAGCCCCGCTCCCCAGCCGTGGCGGCGACGCGCTATCCGAGTCGCGTGGGGGGGACGGAAACAACTCCTTCCCTTTGATCAGGTCAAATTTGCAGAGGCCTCCCCCCTCCCTCAATGACTCGGTCGGTACCTTCTCCGACGACCGATCCCCCTCGCCGCGCCAGCTGTACACGTGGACGGCCGGGATCGCCACCGGGGGCGAGATGCAACCGCCCCGATGCGGTCGCGGGTCCCACCGGGGGGCAAAGAAAAAGAGGAGGATCTGGGAATTGTACCTCCTTTTCTTTAAATTTTCTTTATATCGAAGTTGTTAGCTTTCATAATCACGCTTGGAGCTCGATTTTCTCGCTCTAAACTCGTGGAACAGTGCACCCTCTCTCTCCCTCTCTCTCTCTCTCTCTCTCTCTAGGACCAGCGGAGGCGCAAGTTGTCTCCTCGTTTCGATCCTTATCTCCTCGCATGCTCGAGGTCACTCATTGCTTTGTGGGGTTTTCGAGAATTCTTCCACCGCGGTGTTTCATCTTCATCATCATCTTCCTTCTTGTTCTTGTTCTCCTCCTCCTCCTTGTTGTTCTTCTTCTTCTCTATTTCATTGGTCTCCTCAGCGAAGATTCGGAGAAGTGATTTCCCTCTCGCGTTTCGGTGTTGTTCGGCGTGATTTGATGGGCATTTTCCGTCAGGTGCTTCCAGGAAGCGCTCTCTTTTGCAGCTTCCTACAATGGGTGACTCGTTTCTTTTCCGCTCGTTGAATCGGACTGGGTTTCCTTGGTAGTTGTAAAACTAGTACCCTTCGACTCTCTGGGGTTTGGTTTGCTCGTCGTTGCGAAAATGCGAGATTGTTTGGATACGAAACTCGGATGTGTTTTTTCTTATCTTCAGTTTAAGGCTAGGGTTTGGTAGTTTTTTGATCTGGAGATCGTTCAGAGTTTGCTTTCGCGGACCCATTTCATTTTCTGTTTGGTTGTCCTTGTTTTGTTTCGGGGAAGTTTTGTGTTCGGATTAAGTTTGTTGCTCCTCATTGAGGGAGAGGGATTTTACTTTTCTCTGAGTTCATTTGAGTTTAGTTGAACTTACTCATGCTTTACTGAATTCACATGCTCACTGCCCTAGCTGGCACGAGTGCCTATTTATTATTGAAATATACTCCCTTGTGGATCTTAGGCTCGCTGGCTTTCGGTGTAGTCTCACGGGTTTTGGATAATTTTCTTTGTTTAAATGGTGTGGTTCCCACGCTGTTGCTGCCCATGTTGTTCTCACTAGATGCGGATGCGTCAGGATTAAGTCATAAATGCCACTTAGGTTTTGGTTTTGTAGTCTATTCTTCTGATGATAATTTATGGGCATGCAATATGTTCTTTCCTTTCCTTTTGATTATTTCTTTTGAAGATCTTGAGTTGCGAGATTTCAGTGCTGTTTGTGCTCTTTTTACTCACGTCTGTGCTGATTCCTTGGAAATATATGCCTAGTAAGATTCAACCTTCGAAGCTGTCCATCTCTTGTTGTGTTTGACAGTCAGCATGGGGACATTTTTCCTGTCATAGAGTAATATGTGATTCTGGATATTTTAGTTGAGACCCTTTTATTGATAAGGCAAACAAATTTCAATGGCTATTGCATGTTTAAATGTTCTGAAATATTGCTTATCTCCTTCTAATTTGAATTGGGGAATACTATAACAATCATCCAATACATTACTCTAGTTGGTGAGGATTGGATTGGCTATTGAATTTCAGTCATGTAATGTGTAATTCTCCATAGATTATGGTCAAAGATTTATAGAAACTTGCCATTAGTAGAATTTGCCTCTGCGCTTTGCTTTTTGCAGATTTGGGCCTCTAGGTGATATCGTTGCTTGACAACGAGAGAGAGCACGCTAGTTGGCATCCATAAAAGGGACATGGCTGTGTACAAGCGTGCTCTCTATCGTTGTCATATGATTTGCATTTGAGGCTTTGTTCCTAATCTGTGGCATAAGCGGATAGTAAATTCGAATTATATGTCTCAAGTGTAATATTTTAATGCATGACATTGATGAGTTCTGAAGGCTTGTGTCATGCATATATGATACAAGAGGGTTGAGTCTCCTTTTTCACATAGCTGGGAGGTAATGTGAATTTTCTTTTTCTCCTTAAACTTGACATTTCAATGCCTGATACTAATGAGTGTGTACTTTGTGTGATGCATTGGTATAGTGCAATTCTAGATGGTTTTCCAATAATTTGGTGCATGTGTGCATCTTTGTTTAAGTTTGGTTGTTGTGTAGATGTGATGTGATGGAGCATGTACTAGATACTCAAGTAATTAAAACATGTTTTTCTGATGTAGCTGGTAGCTTTCTCGATATATTTTGCAACATCCATGTGTCTATCGAGATGTGCACATTTTATTGGTTGATCTGAAGTATGTCACTATTCATGATACTGATCAATGATTTTGGAGTTGCATTGCTCACTAATAATGAATTAGTGTAACGCAGGATATTAGTGTAATGCACGATTTTGGAGTCTAGGTACCATATTGTTTGTTATTTTCCTTGAAGTACTGATTTCATGTGGTGTTTGGATGAGGTTATGGGACATTTTCCTTGTCAACTTGTGCAACATAACTTTAAATCTACTCGAACTTGTAGTTGTTGAGTAAGATATTGACTAATGTATATTGTTTTAAGGAAATTATGAAATATGATTTGCACTCCAGCATAGTAGGCTCAATTTAGGGAAGAAAAGGATGCCATGATATCCTGGTTGGGTTGAATATTCAGGTCTAAATTAAGGAACTTGCGTGCTAAATTTATCTTTTGCAGATTAAAGACCTAACTTTGGTCAGTCCTAATGATAATGAGGTTGCACACATGCCACCAAAGTAAATTTGGTTTTTCAATGAGTTTGTAATGCAATATTAAATTTAATCCAACTATGTGTTTCTGCTCATGCACATCAATTGTTCAAATTTGATAGCTTGTTATAGCTGATTAACCTAATTCCATGCTTTGGCAATGCTTGCTTTATTAAAAATGGCAGTTATTGTTTGGGGGAATCGCTCCACAAGTCATCTTATGTACGCAATATAATCATGTCTCAAACCTTTCAATTGCTGCAATAAGGTCCTATGGAAATAGAAAAGTCTAATTGAGCTAAACTTTTAGTTCGTGTAGTCAAGTCATAAAACTTTACTCCAAAGTGCACAAAGGTCCTAAACCTATATTAAGAAGTGCAACTTAAGGTTGCCGCATAAGCTTTGAGTGCTAGCTGGGCAAGTTTCAGCATTGTCCATTGAAAAGACTAGATTTTGTTTTTTGCAGTGGTTGCCAATCAAAACATTGAGGACTTAATTGCATTTTGCACAAAGGTTTAGGACTTTAGGTGCACTTCTCCTGTTATGTGGGTGCCAAGGGGTGGTGATTTTTTCTTTTAAGTTTTGCACTAGAATTACCTTAAGATTTCTATACAGATTGCCTAGGGAAGAGAGGGGGGGTAGGTGGGTGGGATGATTTTTTATCAATAAGTGAATTTGAAACTTGAACATAGGTTATTGCGGTTGCATTATAAATAAAGTATTGCACTTGACTTATATGTATATATTTTTGTTTGACATGGACCACAACTCTCTTGGTGTCTTTTTTCTCACATGCGATGCTCCTTTTAACTGTGACCATAGGGGCTGTCTAGCTCGAGAAGTGTTTTTAATTTCCAATTCCATAGGAAATGAAATGAAAACAATTTTCCGCTTCCATTTCCTAATATTTTAAAAAGATGTTTGGTAAGCCAAAATGAGAATTCTTGGTGGAAAGCACAATATTGGAAATATCTTTTGTCCTTCACTAAGATAGTTTTTTTTTCCTATTTTGACCAAAAAGTTAAGTTTTTTTTTTTTCATATATTGAATTATAGAAAGTTTTAGAGAATGTTCATGTTCTTTACCAATTCTCTGTGTGAGTAAAGTTTCTGGAGCTCACTTTTTTCCTCTTCTCAACACCATTCAGCTTTGCATTGTAGCTCTTTTGGGGGGAGGTGGGGGTGAGGTGAGGTGCTGCCTTCTCTCAAGCTATCTGGAAGATCCCTTGTTTTATGCTTGGATCCATTCTTTGAAGAAGACATCATGAAAAGAATGTCTTTCAATCCGTGATACTGTGTTCTCATTTTGGACCTGGAAACACCAAAGTGTTTTCTGTCCATGATATTGTTTTCACTTTTGTGCCTAATAAATGAGAACAAGCTGACCATGTTTTCATTGGAAAATTTTTCCATGATCCCGCCAAACAAAGTTGCTAGTGACCTTTTCATTCTGAGTGAAATGAAAGTGGAAGTTCGAAATTGCCTATCAAGCAAACAATCCCTGAAATCCTGCCATTTTCTTTTGTTTTGTAGTTTTCTTTGCTAGGAAGGGTGATTCATAGTTGTGAGTAGAATCCTAAAACATTTTTATGCTAGAAGGTGTAGTTCTCCTTTTTGGGGGCCTATTTCGGTCCACTCCTTGTAACTATATCTTGTAGAGAACGAAATTGTACTATACGTAAAAAATGTAAACCTCATGCATTGAAGCAAAATACTTCTTTCTACAATAAGGACTGTGGTCTTTTTAGTTTTTATGGAGTGTTGGATATATAAAAAATAATGCGGCACAATTGGCCAATTTGGGTGTGGAGAAATTCCAATTTGATTCTTGTGCAGAAAAGAAGAAAGAGACTAAGATAATTCCTCTCCTTGTGTTTTGGCTCATCCAGAAAGAAAGGAACAAGGAGCAGTTGTCCTCTGGGGATTCTCTTAGGGATAATTTGCCATATAGACTTCACTTTTGGGTAACATAGGAAAGTTTAATTTCATAATTTTAGTATTGTTGGATGTTAGGTTTTTTATACGTTACACCAGAAGCAAATTGCTTTCTGCATGAGCCATCTCTCTCATTACTTATTTAGATGTTAGTTTATTAGTAGGATAACTACTATTTCTACTGCGATGAAGGTGATTTGTGTAAGGAAAGTTGACACAACATGTATATACCAATGGCCAATCATTTTGGACATGGATGGCTTCTCTATGAAGCCGTTTTCTAGTACAAGCCATCTCTCTCATTACGTATTTAGATGTTAGTTTGTAGTAGTATAACTGCTATTTCTACGTTGATGAAGGTGATTTGTGTAAAGACAGTTGACACAACATGTATATGCCAATGGCGAATCATTTTGTACATGGATGGTACCCTCTTGCCATTTTAATTGAATTTTATTCATGTTTCGAGACAAATTAATAATAAGACTACTAACTGTGTGTGTGAGAGAGCGAGAGAGACAGAGGGAGGGGCAGGGAGGGAGGAGGGAGGGGGAGGGAGGGAGGGAGGGAGGGGTGGTAATTCTGGGCAACAATATGGCCTCGCTATGTAGACCGTGAAAATACAAGAAGGTGAAACCTTCAAGATTGAAATGTGGTACACTTTAAGGGATCACACTACCATCCTAGAGGATCTGAAGGATATAATTTTAAATACCAAGATGTTTTAAAAGTTAAACTTTTGACAATTCTCTTTTGATGTAGGAGGAGATCTTTAGCAAATAGGAAGTAATATGCTATTGGTTACTTGTGACAGACCAAAAGCCTTCATGAGTGCATGCTTACTGTTCTTTTCTTCGGGGTTTGATTTTCGGATAATTATTGCATATTTTTAGCAGCTTTTGGTCGGCTGCTTTCTTATCCATTTCTTGTATTTTCCCTCTCCATACTTTCCTTAAAAAGGAGAAAGCATCCGTTTTGAGATTTATGTAGCTTATATGTTGATATCAATGCCTAAGATGGCAGGAATGATTAGCATTCTCCATAAAGTGGCATCAAATTTGTAATGGAATAACTATATTAAACATTTATGTATAGTTCGGCTAGCGAACGACTTAAAAATTTTGATACGACATTATAAAATTTCGGACACCGTTTGTCTCATTTTTTTTTTCTTTGCCCGAGAAAGGATTAGTTATGATGGGCGGACCGGACCATTCTCGGCAAATCGAGACGTACGGGCTTTACCCAATCCGACAGCAATGGGTTGAGCCCCGCGTCCCAGTCGTTGCGGCGACGTGCTGTCCAAGTCATGCTGGGGGGACGAAACGCTCCTCCCTTTGATCAGGTCAAATTTGCAGACACACGGGGGAGGGGGCGTCCCCCTCAATGACTCGGTCGGTACCTTCTCGGACGACCGATCACCCCCGCTGCGCCCGATGCACACGTGGACGACCAGGGGGGCGGGGCGATGCTTGCGGGTCGCCTCCTCCGCGGGTACCACCGGGGGCAAAGAAAAAGAGGAGGATCCGGAAGTTGTACCTGCTTTTCTTTATATCGAAGTTGTTAGCTTTCATAATCACGCTTTGAGCTCGATTTTCTCGCTCTAACGTCGTGGAACAGTGCGAGTGCTCCCTCTCTCTCTCTCTCTCTCTCTCTCTCTAGGACCAGTGGAGGCGCAAGTTGTCTCCTTGTTTCGATCCTCATCTCCTCGCATGCTCGAGATCACTCATTGCCTTGTGGGGTTTGCAAGAATTCTTCCACCGCGTTTCATCTTCTTGTTCTTGTTCTCTGTTTCATTGGTCTCCTCAGCGAGGATTCGGGGAAGCGATTTCCCTCTCGCGTTTCGGTGTTGTTCGGCGTGATTTGATGGGCATTTTCCCGTCTGCTTCTTCCAGGAAGCGCTCTCTTTTGTAGCTTCCTACAATGGGTGACTCGTTTCTTTTCCGCTCGTTGAATCGGACTGGGTTTTCTTGGTAGGTGTAAAACTAGTGCCGTTCGAATCTATGGGGTTTGGTTTGCTCGTCGTCGCGAAAATGCGAGATTGTTTTGGATACGAAACTCGGATGGGTTTTTTCCTCTCTTCAGTTTAGGTCTACGGTTTGGTAGTTTTTTGATCTGGAGATCGTTAAGAGTTTGCTTTCGCGGACGCATTTCATTTTCTGTGTGGTTGTCCTTGTTTTGTTTCGGGGAAGTTCTGTGTTCGGATTAAGGTTGTTGCTACTCATTGAGGGAGAGGGATTTTAGTTTTCCCTGAGTTCATTTGAGTTTAGTTGAACTTACTCATGCTTTACTGAATTCACATGCTCACTGCCCTAGCTGGCACGAGTACCTATTTATTTTTGAAATATACTCCCTTTTGGATCTTTAGACTCGCTGGCTTTCGTTGTAGTCTCACGGGTTTTGGATAATTTTCTTTGTTTAAATGGTGTGGTTCTGACGCCGTTGCTCCCCATGTTGTTCTCCCTAGATGCGGATGCGTCATGATTAAGTCATAAATGCCCCTTAGGTATTGGTTTTGTAGTCTATTCTTCTGATGATAATTTATGGGCATGCAATATGTTCTATCCTTTCCTTTTGATTATTTCTTTTGAAGATCTTGAGTTGCGAGATTTCAGTGCTGTTTGTGCTCTTTTTACTCACGTCTGTGCTGATTCCTTTGAAACATATGCCTAGAAAGATTCAACCTTGGAAGCTGTCCGTCTCTTGTTGTGTTTAAAAGTGAGTATGGGGACATTTTTCCTGGCTTAGAGCAATCTGTGCTTCTGGAGATTTTAGTTGAGACCCTTTTTTAAATAAGGCAAACAAATTTCAATGGCTATTTCATGTTTAAATGTTCTGAAATATTGCTTATATCCTTCTAATTTGGATCGGGGAATACTACAACAATAATACAAGACAGTACTCTTGTTGGTGAGGATTGGATTGGCTATTGAATTCAGTCATGTAATGTGCAATGCTCCATAGATTATAGTCAAAGATTTATACAAGCATGCCATTAGTAGAATTCGCCTCTGAGCTTTTCTTTTTGCAGATTTGGGCTTCTGGTGATATCGTTGCTTGACAACGAGAGAGAGCACGCTAGTTAGCATCCATAAAAGGGACATGGCTGTGTACAAGCGTGCTCTCTATCGTTGTCATACGATCTGCATTTGAGGCTTTGTTCTTAATCTGTGGCATAAGCGGATGGTAACTTCAAATTATAGGTCTCAAGTGTAATATTTTAATGCATGACACTGATGAGTTGTGAAGGCTTGTGTCGTGCATACATGATGCAAGAGGGTTGAGTCTCCTTTTTCACATAGCTGGGAGGTAATGTGAATTTTCTTTTTCTCCTTAAACTTGACATTTCAATGCCTGATACTAATGAGTGTGTACTTTGTGCGATGCACTAGTATAGTGCAATTCTAGATGGTTTTCCAATAATTTGGTGCATGCTTCTAGAATTTGTGTGCATCTTTGTTTATGTTTGGTTGTTGTGTAGATGTGATGCGATGGAGAATGTACTAGATACTCAATTAATTAAAACATGTTTTTCTGACGTAGCTGGTAGCTTGCTCGATATATTTTGCAACATCCATTTGTTTGTCGAGATGTGCACATTTTATTGTTTGATCTGAAGTATGTCAGTATTCATGATACTAATCAATGATTTTGGAGTTGCATTGCTCACTAATAATGAATTAGTGTAATGCACGATATTAGTGTAATGCACGATTTTGGAGTCTAGGTACCATATTGTTTGTTATTTTCCTTGAAGTACCGATTTCATGTGGTGTTTGGATGAGGTTATGGGACATTGTCCTTGTCAACTTATGAAACATAACTTTAAATCTACTCGAACTTGTAGTTGCTGAGTTAGATATTGACTAAAGTATATTGTTTTAAGGAAATTATGAAATATGACGTGCACTCTAGCATAGTAGGCTTAATTCAAGGAAAAGAAGGATGCCATGATATCCTGGCTGGGTTGAATATTCAGGTCTAAATTGAGGAACTTGCGTGCTAAATTTGTCTTTTGCAGATTAAAGACCGAACTGTGGTCAGTCCTAATGATAATGAGGTTGCACACATGCCATCGAAGTAAATTTGATTTTTCAATGAGTTTGTAACACTATTAAATTTAATCCAACTATGTGTTTCTACTCATGCACATCAATTGTTCTAATTTGATAGCTTGTTATAGCTGATTAACCTAATTCCATACGTTGGCAATGCTTGCTTTATTAAAAATGGCAGTTATATTTTGGGGGAATCGCTCCCAAGTCATCTTATGTACGCAATATAATCAAGTCTCAAACCTTTCAATTGTTGCAATAAGGTCCTATGGAAATAGAAAAGTCTAATTGAGCTAAACTTTTATTTCGTGTAGTCAAGTCATAAAACTTTACTCCAAAGTGCACTAAGGTCCTAAACCTATATTAAGAAGTGCAACTTAAGGTTGCCACATAAGCTTTGAGTGCTAGCTGGGCAAGTTTCGGCATTGTCCATTGAAAAGACTTGATTTTACTTTTTGCAGTAGTTGCCAATCAAAACAATGAGGACTTAATTGCATTTTGCACAAAGGTTTAGGACTTTAGGTGCACTTCTCCTGTTATGTTGGTGCCAAGGGGTGGTGATTTTTTCTTTTGAGTTTTGCACTTGAATTACCTTAAGATTTCTGTACAGATTGCCTAGGGAAGAGAGAGGGGGGGGGGGGGGTGCGTGGGTGGGATGATTTTTTTTATCAATAAGTGAATTTTAAACTTGAATATAGGTTATTGACGTTGAATTATAAATAAAGTATTGCACTTGACTTATATATATATATATATATATATATATATATATATATATATATATATATATTTGCTTGACATGAACCACAACTCTCTTGGTGTCCTTACCAAAAAAAAAAAAAAAAAAACCTCTCTTGGTGTCTTTTTTCACACATGCAATGCTCCTTTTAACTGTGACCATAGGGGCTGTCTAGTTCGAGAAGTGTTTTTAGTTTCCAATTCCATAGGAAATGAAATGAAAACAATTTTCCGCTTCCATTTCCTAATATTTTAAAAAGATGTTTGGTAAGCCAAAATGAGAATTCTTGGTGGAAAGCACAATTTTGAAAATATCTTTTGTGCTTCACTAAGATGGTTTTTTTTTCCCTATTTTGACCAATAGGTTAAATTTTTTTTTCATATATAGAATTCGAGAAAGTTTTAGAGAAGGTTCATGTTCTTTACCAATTCTCTGTGTGAGTAAAGTTTCTGGAGCTCACTGTTTTCCTCTCCTCAACACCATTAAGCTTTTCATTGTAGCTCCGGGAGGGTGGTTGAGGTGCTGCCTTCTCTCAAGCTATCTGGAAGATCCCTTGTTTTATGCTTGGATCCATTCTTTGAAGAAGATATCATGAAAAGAATGTCTTTCAGTCCGTGATACTGTATTCTCATTTTGGACCTGGAAACACCAAAGTGTTTTCAGTCCATGATACTGTTTTCACTTTTGTGCCTAATAAATGAGAACAAGCTGACCATGTTTCCATTAGAAAATTTTTCCGTGATCCCGCCAAACAAAGTTGCTAGTGACCTTTTCATTCTGAGTGAAATAAAAGTGGAACTTTGAAATTGCCTATCAAGCAAACAATCCCTGAAATCCTGCCATTTTCTTTTGTTTTGTAGTTTTCTTTTGTTAGGACGGGTGATTCATAGTTGTGAGTAGAATCCTAAAACATTTTTATGCTAGAAGGTGTAGTTCTCTTTTACGGGGGCCTATTTTGGTCCACTCCTTGTAACTATATCTTGTAGAGAATGAAATTGTACCATACGTAAAAAATGTAAACCTTATGCATTGAAGCAAAATACTTCTTTCTACAACAAGGACTGTTGTCTTTTTAGTTTTTATGGAGTGTGGGATATATAAAAAATAATGCGACACAATTAGCCAATTTGGGTGTGGAGAAATTCCAATTTGATTCTTGTGTTGAAAAGAAGAAAGAGACTAAGATAATTCCTCTCCTTGTGTTTTGGCTCATCCAGAAAGAAAAGAACAAGGAGCAGTTGTCCTCTGGGAATTCTCTTAGGGATAATTTGTCATAGAGACTTTACTTTGGGTAACATAGGAAAGTTTAATTTCATAATTGTAGCATTGTTGGATGTGAGGTTCCAGCAGCAAATTGCTTTCTGCATGAGCCATCACTCTCATTACTTATTTAGATGTTAGTTTATTAGTAGGATAACTACTATTTCTACCGCGATGAAGGTGATTTGTGTAGAGAAAGTCGACACAACATGTATATACCAATGGCCAATCATTTTGGACATGGATGGCTTCTCTATGAAGCCATTTTCTAGTACAAGCCATCTCTCTCATATTAAGTATTTAGATGTTAGTTTGTAGTCGTATAACTACTATTTCTACGGTGATGATGGTGATTTGTGTAATGACAGTTGACACAACATGTATATACCAATGGCGAATCATTTTGTACATGGATGGTACCCTCTTACCATTTTAATTGAATTTTATTTATGTTTCGAGACAAATTAATAATAAGACTACTAACTGTGTGTGTGTGTTTGAGAGAGAGAGAGAGAGAGAGAGAGAGAGAGAGAGAGAGAGAGAGGGAGGGAGGGGGAGGGAGGGAGGGAGGGGTGGTAATTCTGGGCAACAATATGGCCTGGCTATCTAGACCGTGAAAATACAAGAAGGTGAAACCTTCAAGATTGAAATGTGGTATGTTTTAAGGGATCACACTACCATCCTAGAGGATTTGAAGGATATAATTTTAAATACCAAGATGTTTTAAAAGTTAAACTTTTGACAATTCTCTTTTGATGTAGGAGGAGATCTTTAGCAAATAGGAAGTAATATGCTATTGGTTACTTGTGACAGACCAAAAGCCTTCATGAGTGGATGCTTACTGTTCTTTTCTTCGGGGGTTTGATTTTCTGATAATTATTGCATATTTTTAGCAGGTTTTGGTCGGCTGCTTTCGTATCCATTTCTGGTATTTTCCCTCTCCATACTTTCCTTAAAAAGGAGAAAGCATCCGTTTTGGGATTTATGTAGCTTATATGTTGATATCAATGCCTAAGATGGCAGGAATGATTAACATTCTCCACAAATTGGCAACAAATTTGTAATGGAATAACTATATTAAACATTTATGTATAGTCCGGCCAGCGATTATATTGAACGACTTAAAAATTTTGGTACAACATTATAAAATTTCAGACACCGTTCGTCTCATTTTTTTTTTCTTTGCCTGAGAAAGGATTAGTTATGATTGGCGGACCAGACCATGCTTGGCAAATTGAGATGTATGGGCTCAACCCAATCTGACAGCGACGGGTCAAGCCCCGCGTCCCCGTCGTGGTGGTGACGCGCTGTCCATGTCGCATTGGGGGGACGAAACACTCCTCCCTTTGATCAGGTCAAATTTGCAGACACACGGGGGACGGGGCCTACCCCTCAATGACTCGGTTGGTACCTTCTCCGGCGACCGATCCCCCCCTCCCCCCCTCCCCGCCGCGCCCGATGCACATGTGGATGGCCAGGGGGGCGCGGGGCGATGCATGCGGGTCGCCTCCTCCGCGGGTACCACCGGGGGCAAAGAAAAAGAGGAGGATCCGGAAGTTGTACCTGCTTTTCTTTAAATTTTCATTACATCGAAGTTGTTAGCTTTCATAATCACGCTTTGAGCTCGATTTTCTCGCTCTAACCTCGTGGAACAGTGCGAGTGCTCCCTCTTTCTCTCTCTCTAGGACCAGTGGAGGCGCAAGTTGTCTCCTTGTTTCGATCCTCATCTCCTCGCATGCTCGAGATCACTCATTGCCTTGTGGGGTGTGCGAGAATTCTTCCACCGCGTTTCATCTTCTTGTTCTTGTTCTCTGTTTCATTGGTCTCCTCAGCGAAGATTCGGAGAAGCGATTTCCCTCTCGCGTTTCGGTGTTGTTCGGCGTGATTTGATGGGCATTTTCCCGTCTGCTTCATCCAGGAAGCGCTCTCTTTGGTAGCTTCCTACAATGGGCGACTCGTTTCTTTTCCGCTCGTTGAATCGGACTGGGTTTTCTTGGTAGGTGTAAAACTAGTGCCGTTCGACTCTCTGGGGTTTGGTTTGCTCGTCGTCGCGAAAATGCGAGATTGTTTGGATACGAAACTCGGATGGGTTTTTTCTTCTCTTCAGTTTAGGGCTAGGGTTTGGTAGTTTTTTGATCTGGAGATCGTTAAGATTTTGCTTTGGCGGACCAATTTCATTTTTTGTTTGGTTGTCCTTGTTTTGTTTCGGGGAAGCTTTGTGTTCGGATTAAGTTTGTTGCTACTCATTGAGGGAGAGGGATTTTGCTTTTCTCTGAGTTCATTTGAGTTTAGTTGAACATACTCATGCTTTACTGAATTCACATGCTCACTGCCATAGCTGGCACGAATACCTATTTTTTATTGAAAAATACTCCCTTGTAGATCTTTAGGCTCGCTGGCTTTCGGTGTAGTCTCACGGGTTTTGGATAATTTTCTTTATTTAAATGGTGTGGTTCCCACGCTGTTGCTCCCCATGTTGTTCTCACTAGATGCGGATGCGTCATGATTAAGTCGTAAATGCCACTTGCGTTTTGGTTTTGTAGTCTATTCTTCTGATGATAATTTATGGGAATGCAATATGTTCTTACCTTTCCTTTTCATTATTTCTTTTGAAGATCTTGAGTTGCGAGATTCCAGTGCTGTTCGTGCTCTTTTTACTCACGTCTGTGCTGATTCCTTGGAAACGTATGCCTAGTAAGATTCAACCTTCGAAGCTGTCCATCTCTTGTTGTGTTTGAAAGTCAGTATGGGGACATTTTTGCTGGCTTCGAGTAATCTGTGATTGTGGATATTTTAGTTGAGACCCTTTCATTGATAAGGCAAACAAATTTCTATGGTTATTGTATGTTTAAATGTTCTGAAATATTGCTTATATCCTTCTAATTTGAATTGGGGAATACTATAATCGTCATCCAATACAGTACTCTAGCTGGTAAGGATTGGATTGGCTATTGAATTTCAGTCATGTAATGTGTAATGCTCCATAGATTATGGTCAAAGATTTATACAAGCATGCCATTAGTAGAATTCGCCTCTGCGCTTTTCTTTTTGCAGATTTGGGCCTCTAGGTGATATCGTTGCTTGACAACGAGAGAGAGCACGCTAGTTAGCATCCACTAAAGGGACATGGCTGTGTACAAGCGTGCTCTCTATCGTTGTCATACGATCTGCATTTGAGGCTTTGTTCTCAATCTGTGGCATAAGCGGATGGTAACTTCAAATTATAGGTCTCAAGTGTAATATTTTAATGCATGACACTGATGAGTTGTGAAGGCTTGTGTCGTGCATACATGATGCAAGAGGGTTGAGTCTCCTTTTTCACATAGCTGGGAGGTAATGTGAATTTTCTTTTTCTCCTTAAACTTGACATTTCAATGCCTGATACTAATGAGTGTGTACTTTGTGCGATGCACTAGTATAGTGCAATTCTAGATGGTTTTCCAATAATTTGGTGCATGCTTCTAGAATTTGTGTGCATCTTTGTTTATGTTTGGTTGTTGTGTAGATGTGATGCGATGGAGAATGTACTAGATACTCAATTAATTAAAACATGTTTTTCTGACGTAGCTGGTAGCTTTCTCGATATATTCTGCAACATCCACGTGTCTATTGAGTTGTGCACATTTTATTGTTTGATCTGAAGTATGTCACTATCATGATACTAATCATTGATTTTGGAGTTGCATTGCTCACTAATAATAAATTAGTGTAATGCACGATTTTGGAGTCTAGGTACCATATTGTTTGTTATTTTCCTTGAAGTACCGATTTCATGTGGTGTTTGGATGAGGTTATGGGACATTGTCCTTGTCAATTTGTGCAACATAACTTTAAATCTACCCAAACTTGTAGTTGCTGAGTTAGATATTGACTAAAGTATATTGTTTTAAGGAATTTATGAAATATGACATGCACTCCAGCATAGTAGGCTTAATTGAGGGAAGAAAAGGATGCCATGATTTCCTGGTTGGGTTGAATATTCAGGTCTAAATTGAGGAACTTGAGTGCTAAATTTGTCTTTTGCAGATTAATGACCCAACTTTGGTCGATCCTAATGATAATGAGGTTGCACACATGCCACCGAAGTAAATTTGGTTTTTCAATGAGTTTTTAACGCAATATTAAATTTAATCCAACTATGTGTTTCTTCTAATGCATATCAATTGATCTAATTTAAAAGCTTGTTATAGCTGATTAACCTAATTCCACGCTTTGGCAATGCTTGCTGTATTAAAAATGGCAGTTATGTTTTGGTGGAATCGCTCCACAAGTCATCTTATGTACGCAATATAATCAAGTCTCAAACTTTTCAATTGCTGCAGTAAGGTCCTATGGAAATAGAATAGTCTAATTGAGGTAAACTTTTAGTTCGTGTAGTCAAGTCATAAAACTTTACTCCAAAGTGCACTAAGGTCCTAAACCTATATTAAGAAGGGCAACTTAAGGTTGCCACATAAGCTTTGAGTGCTGTCTGGGCAAGTTTCGGCATTGTCCATTGAAAAGACTTGATTTTACTTTTTGCAGTGGTTGCCATTCACAACAATGAGGACTCAATTGCATTTTGCACAAAGGTTTTAGGACTTTAGGTGCACTTCTCCTGATATGTTGGTGCCAAGGGGTGGTGATTTTTTCTTTTGAGTTTTGCACTTGAATTACCTTAAGATTTCTGTACAGATTGCCTCGGGAAGAGGGGGGGGTGGGTGGGTGGGATGATTTTTTTTATCAATAAGTGAATTTTAAACTTGAATATAGGTTATTGACGTTGAATTATAAATAAAGTATTGCACTTGACTTATATGTATATATTTTTGTTTGACATGAACCACAACTCTCTTGGTGTCTTTTTTCTCACATGCAATGCTCCTTTTAACTGTGACCATAGGGGCTGTCTAGTTCGAGAAGTGTTTTTAGTTTCCAATTCCATAGGAAATGAAATGAAAACAATTTTCCGCTTCCATTTCCTAATATTTTAAAAAAATGTTTGGTAAGCCAAAATGAGAATTCTTGGTGGAAAGCACAATTTTGAAAATATCTTTTGTGCTTCACTACGATAGTTTTTTTTTTCTCTATTTTGACCAATTGGTTAAATTTTTTTTTCATATATAGAATTCGAGAAAGTTTTAGAGAAGGTTCATGTTCTTTACCAATTCTCTGTGTGAGTAAAGTTTCTGGAGCTCACTGTTTTCCTCTTCTCAACACCATTAAGCTTTTCATTGTAGCTCTGGGAGGGGGGTTGAGGTGCTGCCTTCTCTCAAGCTATCTGGAAGATCCCTTGTTTTATGCTTGGATCCATTCTTTGAAGAAGACATTATGAAAATAATGTCTTTTAGTCCGTGATACTGTGTTCTCATTTTGGACCTGGAAACACCAAAGTGTTTTCAGTCCATGATACTGTTTTCACTTTTGTGCCTAATAAATGAGAACAATCTGACCGTGTTTTCATTAGAAAATTTTTCCATGATCCCGCCAAACAAAGTTGCTAGTGACCTTTTCATTCTGAGTGAAATGAAAGTGGAACTTCGAAATTGCCTATCAAGCAAATGATCCCTGAAATCCTGCGATTTTCTTTTCTTTTGTAGTTTTCTTTTGCTAGGAAGGGTGATTCATAGTTGTGAGTAGAATCCTAAAACATTTTTATGCTAGAAGGTGTAGTTCTCCTTTTTGGGGGCCTTTTTGGGTCCACTCCTTGTAACTATATCTCATAGAGAATGAAATTGTACTATACGTAGAAATTGTAAACCTCATGCATTGAAGCAAAATACTTCTTTCTACAATAAGGACTGTGGTCTTTTTAGTTTTTATGGAGTGTGGGATATATAAAAAATAATGCGACACAAATTACCAATTTGGGTGTGGAGAAATTCCAATTTGATTCTTGTGTTGAAAAGAAGAAAGAGACTAAGATAATTCCTCTCGTTGTGTTTTGGCTCATCCAGAAAGAAAGGAACAAGGAGCAGTTGTCCTCTGGGGATTCTCTTAGGGATAATTTGTCATAGAGACTTCACTTTGGGTAACATAAGAAAGTTTAATTTCATAATTGTAGTATTGTTGGATGTTAGGTTCCAGCAGCAAATTGCTTTCTGCATGAGCCATCTCTCTCTTTACTTATTTAGATGTTAGTTTATTAGTGGGATAACTACTATTTCTACCGCAATGAAGGTGATTTGTGTAAGGAAAGTTGACACAACATATATATACCAATGGCCAATCATTTTGGACATGGATGTTTTCTCTATATAGCCATTTTCTAGTACAAGCCATCTCTCTCATATTAAGTATTTAGATGTTAGTTTGTAGTCGTATAACTACTATTTCTACGGTGATGATGGTGATTTGTGTAATGACTGTTGACACAACATGTATATACCAATGGCGAATCATTTTGTACATGGATGGTACCCTCTTACCATTTTAATTGAATTTTATTTATGTTTCGAGACAAATTAATAACAAGACTACTAACTGTGTGTGTGTGTTTGAGAGAGAGAGAGAGAGAGAGAGAGAGAGAGAGAGAGAGAGAGAGGGAGGGGGGAGGGAGGGAGGGAGGGGTGGTAATTCTGGGCAACAATATGGCCTCGCTATGTAGACCGTGAAAATACAAGAAGGTGAAACCTTCAAGATTGAAATGTGGTATGTTTTAAGGGATCACACTACCATCCTAGAGGATTTGAAGGATATAATTTTAAATACCGAGATGTTTTAAAAGTTAAAATTCTGACAGTTCTCTTTTGAAGTAGGAGGGGATCTTTAGCAAATAGGAAGTAATATGCTATTGGTTACTTGTGACAGACCAAAAGCCTTCATGAGTGGATGCTTACTGTTCTTTTCTTTGGGGTTTGATTTTCGGATAATTATTGCATATTTTTAGCAGGTTTTGGTCGGCTGCTTTCTTATCCATTTCTTGTATTTTCCCTCTCCATACTTTCCTTAAAAAGGAGAAAGCATCCGTTTTGGGATTTATGTAGCTTATATGTTGATATCAATGCCTAAGATGGCAGGAATGATTAGCATTCTCCACAAATTGGCATCTTATTTGTAATGGAATAACTATATTGAACATTTACGTATAGTCCGGCCTGCGATTACAGTGAACGAATTTAAAATTCAGGAATGAAATGATAAAATTTCGGATACCGTTTGTGTCATTTTTCTTTTTTGCGCCCGAGAAATGATTAGTTATGATGAGCGGACCGGACCATTCTCGGCAAATCAAGACCTACGGGATTGACCCAATCTGACAGCGACGGGTCGATCCCCGCGTCCCAGTCATGGCGGCGACGCTCTGTCCAAGTCGCGTTTGGTGGGACGAAACGCTCCTCCTTTGATCAGGTCAAATTTGCAGACACACGGGGATGGGGCCTCCCCCTCCAAGACTCGGTCGGTACCTTCTCGGACGACCGATCCCCCCTGCCGCCCGCGTTGCACACGTGGACGGCCGGGGGGTCAGGGCGATGCATGCGGGTCGCCTCCTCCGCTGGTACCACCGGGGCAAAGAAAAAGACGAGGATCCGGAAGTTGTACCTGCTTTTCTTTAAATTTTCTTTATATCGAAGTTGTTAGCTTTCATAATCACGCTTTGAGCTCGATTTTCTCGCTCTAACCTGGTGGAACTGTGCGAGTGCTCCCTCTCTCTATCTCTAGGACCAGTGGAGGCGCAAGTTGTCCCCTTGTTTTGATCCTCATCTCCTCGCATACTCGAGATCACCCATTGCTTTTGTGGGGTTTGCAAGAATTCTTCCACAGCATTCATCTTCTTGTTCTTGTTCTCTGTTTCATTGGTCTCCTCAGCGAAGATTCGGAGAAGCGATTTCCCTCTCGCGTTTCGGTGTTGTTCGGCGTGATTTGATGGGCATTTTCCCCGTCTGCTTCTTCCAGGAAGCGCTCTCTTTTGTAACTTCCTACAATGGGGTGACTCGTTTCTTTTCCGCTCGTTGAATCGGACTGGGTTTTCTTGGTAGGTGTAAAACTAGTGCCTTTCGACTCTCTGGGGTTTGGTTTGCTCGTCGTCGCGAAAATGCGATAGCGTTTTGTATACGAAACTCGGATGGGTTTTTTCCTCTCTTCAGTTTAGGGCTAGGGTTTGGTAGTTTTTTGATCTGGAGATCGTTAAGAGTTTGCTTTCGCGGACGCATTTCATTTTCTGTGTGGTTGTCCTTGTTTTGTTTCGGGGAAGTTCTGTGTTCGGATTAAGGTTGTTGCTACACATTGAGGGAGACGGATTTTACTTTTCTCTGAGTTCATTTGAGTTTAGTTGAACTTACTCATACTTTACTGAATTCACATGCTCACGGCCCTAGCTGGCACGAGTACCTATTTATTTTTGAAATATTCTCCCTTGTGGATCTTTAGGCTCGCTGGCTTTCGGTGTAGTCTCACGGATTTTGGATAATTTTCTTTGTTTAAATGGTGTGGTTCCCACGCTGTTGCTCCCCATGTTGTTCTCACTAGATGGGCATGCGTCGTGATTAAGTCATAAATGCCACTTAGGTATTGATTTTGTAGTCTATTCTTCTGATGATAATTTATGTGCATGCAATATGTTCTATCCTTTCCTTTTGATTATTTCTTTTGAAGATCTTGAGTTGCGAGATTTCGGTGCTGTGTGTGCTCTTTTTACTCACGTCTGTGCTGATTCCTTTGAAACATATGCCTAGTAAGATTAAACCTTGGAAGCTGTCCGTCTCTTGTTGTGTTTAAAAGTGAGTATGGGGACATTTTTCCTGGCTTAGAGCAATCTGTGCTTCTGGAGATTTTAGTGGAGACCCTTTTTTAAATAAGGCAAACAAATTTCAATGGCTATTTCATGTTTAAATGTTCTGAAATATTGCTTATATCCTTCTAATTTGAATTGGGGAATACTATAACAATAATCCAAGACAGTACTCTTGTTGGTGAGGATTGGATTGGCTATTGAATTCAGTCATGTAATGTGCAATGCTCCATAGATTATGGTCAAAGATTTATACAAGCATGCCATTAGTAGAATTTGCCTCTGAGCTTTTCGTTTTGCAGATTTGGATCTCTAGGTGATATCATTGCTTGACAACGAGAGAGAGCACGCTAGTTAGCATCCTAGAAGGGACATGGCTGTGTATAAGCGTGCTCTCTATCGTTGTCATACGATCTGTATTTGAGGCTTTGTTCCAAACCTGTGGCATAAGCGGATGGTAACCTCGAATTATATGTCTCAAGTGTAATAAATTAATGCATGACACTGATGAGTTGTGAAGGCTTGTGTCATGCATATATGATGCAAGGGGGTTGAGTCTCCTTTGACACATAGCTTGGAGGTAATGTGAATTTTCTTTTTCTCCTTAAACTTGACATTTCAATGCCTGATACTAATGAGTGTGTACTTTGTATGATGCACTAGTATTGTGCAATTCTAGATGGTTTTCCAATAATTTGGTGCATGCTTCTAGAATTTGTGTGCATCTTTGTTTATGTTTGGTTGTTGTGTAGATGTGATGCCATGGAGCATGTACTAGGTACTCAAATATAATGTTTTTTTGACGTAGCTGGTGGCTTTCTCGATATATTCTGCAACATCAACATGTCTATTGAGATGTGCACATTTTATTGCTTGATCTAAAGTATGTCACTATTCATGATACTAATCAATGATTTTGGAGTTGCATTGCTCACTAATAATGAATTAGTGTAATGCACGGTTTTGGAGTCTAGGTACCATATTGTTTGTTATTTTCCTTGAAGTACCGATTTCATGTGGTGTTTGGATGAGGTTATAGGACATTGTCCTTGTCAACTTATGAAACATAACTTTAAATCTACTCGAACTTGTAGTTGCTGAGTTAGATATTGACTAAAGTATATTGTTTTAAGGAAATTATGAAATATGACGTGCACTCCAGCATAGTAGGCTTAATTCAGGGAAAAGAAGGATGCCGTGATATCTTGGCTGGGTTGAATATTCAGGTCTGCATTGAAAAACTTGCGTGCTAAATTTGTCTTTTGCAGATTAAAGACCCAACTTTGGTCAGTCCTAATGATAATGAGGTTGTGCACATGCCACCGAAGTAAATTTGGTTTTTCAATGAGTTTGTAAATCAATATTAAATTTAATCCAACTATGTGTTTCTACTCATGCACATCAATTGTTTTAATTTGATAGCTTGTTATAGCTGATTAACCTTATTCCATACTTTGGCAATGCTTTCTTTATTAAAAATGGCAATTATATTTTGGGGGAATCGCTTCCAAGTCATCTTATGTACGCAATATAATCAAGTCTCAAACCTTCCAATTGCTACAATAAGGTCCTATGGATATAGAAAAGTCTAATTGGGCTAAACTTTTAGTTCGTGTAGTCAAGTCATAAAACTTAAGAAGTGCAACTTAAGGTTGCCACATAAGCTTTGAGTGCTAGATGGGCAAGTTTCAGCTTTGTCCATTGAAAAGACTTGATTTTACTTTTTGCAGTGGTTGCCAATCAAAACAATGAGGACTTAATTGCATTTTGGACAAAGGTTTAGGACTTTAGGTGCACTTCTCCTGTTATGTGGGTGCCAAGGGGTGGTGATTTTTGCTTTTAAGTTTTGCACTTGAATTACCTTAAGATTTCTATACGGATTGCCTAGGGTAGAGAGGGGGGGTAGGTGGGTGGGATGATTTTTTATCAATAAGTGAATTTTAAACTTGAATATAGGTTATTGCAGTTGGATTATAAATAAAGTATTGCACTTGACTTCTATGTATATATTTTTGTTTGAAATGAACCACAACTCTCTTGGTGTCTTTTTTCTCACATGCAATGCTCCTTTTAACTGTGACCATAGGGGCTGTATAGCTCGAGAAGTGTTTTTGGTTTCCAATTCCATAGGAAATGAAATGAAAACGATTTTCCGCTTCCATTTCCTAATTTTTTTAAAAGATGTTTGGTAAGCCAAAATGAGAATTCTTGGTGGAAAGCACAATTTTGAAAATATCTTTTGTGCTTCACTAAGATAGTTTTTTTTCCCTATTTTGACCAATAAGTTATTTTTTTTTCATATATAGAATTCGAGAAAGTTTTAGAGAAGGTTAATGTTCTTTACCAATTCTCAGTGTGAGTGAAGTTTCTGGAGCTCACTTTTTTCCTCTCCTCAACACCGTTCAGCTTTGCATTGTTTAGGTGCTGCCTTCTCTCAAGCTATCTGGAAGATCCTTTGTTTTATGCTTGGATCCATTCTTTGAAGAAGACATCATGAAAAGAATGTCTTTCAGCTCGTGATACTGTGTTCTCATTTTGGACCTGGAAACACCAAAGTGTTTTCAGTCCATGACACTGTTTTCACTTTTGTGCCTAATAAATGAGAACAAGCTGACCGTGTTTTCATTAGAAAATTTTTCCATGATCCCGCCAAACAAAGTTGCTAGTGACCTTTTCATTCTGAGTGAAATGAAAGTGGAACTTCGAAATTGCCTATCAAGCAAACAATCCCTGAAATCCTGCCATTTTCTTTTGTTTTGTAGTTTTCTTTTGCTAGGAAGGGTGATTCATAGTTGTGAGTAGAATCCTAAAACATTTTTATGCTAGAAGGTGTAGTTCTCCTTTTTCGGGGCCTATTTTGGTCCACTCCTTGTAACTATATCTTGTAGAGAATGAAATTGTACTATACGTAAAAAATGTAAACCTCATGCATTGAAGCAAAATACTTCTTTTTACAATAAGGACTGTCGTCTTTTTAGTTTTTATGGAGTGTGGGATTTATCAAAAATAATGCGACACAATTTGCCAATTTGGGTGTGGAGAAATTCCAATTTGATTCTTGCGTTGAACAGAAGAAAGAGACTAAGATAATTCCTCTCCTTGTGTTTTGGCTCATCCAGAAAGAAAGGAACAAGGAGCAGTTGTCCTCTGGGGATGATTTGTCAAAGAGACTTCACATCGGGTAACATAGGAAAGTTTAATTTCATAATTGTAGTATTGTTGGGATGTTAGGTTCCAGCAGCAAATTGCTTTCTGCATGAGCCATCACTCTCATTACTTATTTAGATGTTAGTTTATTAGTAGGATAACTACTATTTCTATCGCGATGAAGGTGATTTGTGTAAGGAAAGTTGACACAACATGTATATACCAATGGCCAATCATTTTGGACATGGATGGTCTCTCTATGAAGCCGTTTTCTAGTACAAGCCATCTCTCTCATTACGTATTTAGATGTTAGTTTGTAGTAGTATAACTACTATTTCTACGGTGATGAAGGTGATTTGTGTAAAGACAGTTGACACAACATGTATATACCAATGGCGAATCATTTTGTACATGGATGGTACCTTCTTACCATTTTAATTTAATTTTTTTCATGTTTTGAGACATATTAATAATAAGACTACTAATCTCTGTGTGAGAGAGCGAGAGAGACAGAGAGAGGGGGAGGGAGGCGGAGGAAGGGAGGGAGGGGTGGTAATTCTGGGCAACAATATGGCATGGTGCATCATGGCCTGGCTATCTAGACCGTGAAAATACAAGAAGGTGAAACCTTCTAGATCGAAAATGTGGTATATTTTAAGGGATCGCACAACCATCCTAGAGGATTTGAAGAATATAATTTTAAATACCGAGATGTTTTAAAAGTTAAAATTCTGACAATTCCCTTTTGAAGTAGGAGGAGATCTTTGGCAGATAGGAACAAATATGCTATTGGTTACTTGTGACAGACCAAAAGCCTTCATGAGTGGATGCTTCCTGTTCTTTTCTTCGAGGGTTTGATTTTCAGATAATTATTGCATATTTTTAGCAGGTTTTGGTCGGCTGTTTTCTTATCCATTTCTTGTATTTTCCCTCTCCATACTTTCCTTAAAAAGGAGAAAGCATCTGTTTTGGGATTCATGTAACTTATGTGTTGATATCAATGCCTAAGATGGCGGGAATGATTAGCATTCTCCACAAATTGGCATCTTATTTGCAATGGAATAACTATATTGAATATTTACGTATAGTCCGGTCGGCGATTAAAGTGAACGAATTAAAAATTCAGGAAGCATCTGTTTTGAATACCATTTGTGTCATTTATTTTTTCTTTGCCCGAGAAAGGATTAGTTATGATGAGCGGACTGGACCATTCTCGGCAAATCAAGACGTACGGGCTTGACCCAATCCGACAGCAATGGGTCAAGCCCCGCGTCCCAGTCGTGGCGGCGACGCGCTGTCCAAGTCACGTTGGGGGGACGAGACACTCCTCCCTTTGATCAGGTCAAATTTGCAGACACACGGGGGAGGGGGCGTCCCCCTCAATGACTCGGTCGGTACCTTCTCGGATGACCGATCACCCCCGCTGCGCTTGATGCACACGTGGACGGCCGGGATCGGCTGGGGCGATGCTTGCGGGTCGCCTCCTCCGCGGGTACCACCGGGGGCAAAGAAAAAGGGGAGGATCCGGAAGTTGTACCAGCTTTTTTTTAAATTTTCTTTATATCGAAGTTGTTAGCTTTCATAATCACGCTTTGAGCTCGATTTTCACGCTCTAACCTCGTGGAACAGTGCGAGTGCTCGCCCCCTATCTCTCTAGGACCAGTGGAGGCGCAAGTTGTCTCCTTGTTTCGATCCTCATCTCCTCGCATGCTCGAGATCACTCATTGCGTTGTGGGGTTTGCAGGAATTCTTCCACCGCGTTTCATCTTCTTGTTCTTGTTCTCTGTTTCATTGGTCTCCTCAGCGAAGATTCGGGGAAGCGATTTCCCTCTCGCGTTTCGGTGTTGTTCGGCGTGATTTGATGGGCATTTTCCCGTCTGCTTCTTCCAGGAAGCGCTCTCTTTTGTAGCTTCCTACAATGGGTGACTCGTTTCTTTTCCGCTCGTTGAATCGGACTGGGTTTTCTTGGTAGATGTAAAACTAGTGCCGTTCGACTCTCTGGGGTTTGGTTTGCTCGTCGTCGCGAAAATGCGATAGCGTTTTGGATACGAAACTCGGATGGGTTTTTTCTTCTCTTCAGTTTAGGGCTAGGGTTTGGTAGTTTTTTGATCTGGAGATCGTTAAGAGTTTGCTTTCGCGGACGCATTTCATTTTCTGTGTGGTTGTCCTTGTTTTGTTTCGGGGAAGTTTTGTGTTCGGATTAAGTTTGTTGCTACTCATTGAGGGAGAGGGATTTTACTTTTCTCTGAGTTCATTTGAGTTTAGTTGAACATACTCATACTTTACTGAATTCACAAGCTCACTGACCTAGCTGGCACGAGTACCTATTTATTATTGAAATATACTCCCTTGTGGATCTTAGGCTCGCTGGCTTTCGGTGTAGTCTCACGGGTTTTGGATAATTTTCTTTGTTTAAATGGTGTGGTTCTGACGCTGTTGCTCCCCATGTTGTTCTCACTAGATGCAGATGCATCTTGATTAAGTCATAAATGCCCCTTAGGTATTGGTTTTGTAATCTATTCTTCTGATGATAATTTATGGGCATGCAATATGTTCTTTCCTTTCCTTTTGATTATTTCTTTTAAAGATCTTGAGTTGCGAGATTTCAGTGCTCTGTGCTCCTTTTACTCACGTCTGTGCTGATTCCTTTGAAACATATGCCTAGTAAGATTCAACCTTGGAAGCTGTCCGTCTCTTGTTGTGTTTAAAAGTGCGTATGGGGACATTTTTCCTGGCTTAGAGCAATCTGTGCTTCTGGAGATTTTAGTTGAGACCCTTTTTTAAATAAGGCAAACAAATTTCAATGGCTATGTCATGTTTAAATGTTCTGAAATATTGCTTATATCCTTCTAATTTGAATTGGGGAATACTCTAACAATAATCCAAGACAGTACTCTTGTTGGTGAGGATAATGGGCTATTGAATTCAGTCATGTAATGCGCAATGCTCCATAGATTATGGTCAAAGATTTATACAAGCATGCCATTAGTAGAATTCGCCTCTGAGCTTTTCTTTTTGCAGATTTGGGCCTCTAGGTGATATCGTTGCTTGACAACGAGAGAGAGCACGCTAGTTAGCATCCAGAAAAGGGACATGGCTGTGTATAAGCGTGCTCTCTATCGTTGTCATATGATCTGCATTTGAGGCTTTGTTCGCAATCTGTGGCATAAGCAGATGGTAACCTCGAATTATATGTCTCAAGTGTAATATTTTAATGCATGACACTGATGAGTTGTGAAGGCTTGTGTCATGCATATATGATGCACGAGGGTTGAGTCTCCTTTTTCACATAGCTGGGAGGTAATGTGAATTTTCTTTTTCTCCTTAAACTTGACATTTCAATGCCTAATACTAATGAGTGTGTACTTTGTGTGATGCACTAGTATTGTGCAATTCTAGATGGTTTTCCAATAATTTGGTGCATGCTTCTAGAATTTGTGTGCATCTTTGTTTATGTTTGATTGTCGTGTAGATGTGATGGGATGGAGCATGTACTAGATACTCAAATATAAAACATGTTTGTTTGACGTAGTTGGTAGCTTTCTCGATATATTCTGCAACATCGATGTGTCTATGGAGATATGCACATTTTATTGCTTGATCTAAAGTATTGCACTATTCATGATGCTGATAAATGATTTTGGAGTGGCATTGCTCACTAATAATGAATTAGTGTAATGCACGATATTAGTGTAATGCACGATTTTGGAGTCTAGGTACCATATTGTTTGTTATTTTCCTTGAAGTACCGATTTCATGTGGTGTTTGGATGAGGTTATGGGACATTGTCCTTGTCAACTTGTGCAACATAACTTTAAATCTACTCGAACTTGTAGTTGCTGAGTTAGATACCGGCTAAAGTATATTGTTTTAAGGAAATTATGAAATATGACGTGCACTCCAGCATAGTAGGCTTAATTCAAGGAAAAGATGTCACGCCCCGAACCCCATCGAGCTCGCGACATCCCGCTCCGGTCGAAATATTGCGACGTCCCAGGAACGTCGCCGACCCAACCCAAACATCAGAGCCACATGCGGAAGCGAATAACAAAACCCCGGACAAATAATGACGACAACGGGGTAGAACAACAGAACAGTCCAGCAACCACAAATTCATACATCATATTACAGGCTTAATTAACAAACTAGCATCCGAAATCACCGTCAACAAAATATCAGGGTCTGGTTAACTTAACTTCCCTATGGGTCAACCCGATTTACACAACCCCAAAAAATCTTAAGGAAAAACCTAAGGATCGCCCTCCTCCAGTCTGCTTCTGAATCTCTGGCTTGAATTTCTGGAACTCACCTGCAGCTCCACTAGGCACCAACAGCAGCTCCCCGGACTTCCAAAAAGAAAAGGTACACTTCTCGAGTTTAGGGCCGGGGGTCTGAAAGTGGTGATTATACAACCGTGAGACGAATCTCAATAAGTGTACAACCCCAAACCCCACGTAGGCACTCACGTACCGCCAGACGAAAACACACATAACACACAACGATCGCCCAAACTAACAATCACATGTGACCCTACCTGGAATCCATCACGCACGTTCCTGCACGTTAGACAATAACACAGCCAACACATCACAGCAAGGAATCACAGACGCGCGCGTGCCTCAATTATAAGACAGAAACCACTTGGGCACGTCCCATACCGTGCCTAGCAGTTTCTACCCCATAATTAAGCATCACATCGCGCGATACAAACACACTCGCACCCCAACTCACACCACACGACACGTCACTTTCTTAATTTCACTCGTCCCGCCAATTCTTGCTCATTCTCAACCTTTCCACCACTATCGCGCCCGCGTAAAACGCATCAGGCCAACGGTCTTCTGACCTCGTCAGGCATCGTCACCCCGTCGGGCCGGGCATCGTCACCTCGTCAAGGACGGCATCGTCCCGCGTAAACGAACACGCCTCAGGACGGAATCCTACACACACTTTCCTTCTACCGTGCCCGCGTAAAACGCATCAGGCCAACGGTCTTCTGACCACGTCAGGCATCGACACCTCGTCAGGCCGGGCATTGTCACCTCGTTAGGGACGGCATCGTCCCGCGTAAACGAACACGCCTCAGGACGGATCCTTTCCAACCAATCCCACATTTCCAAACCTTCGTTCCACACTCTCCACACGTACCACGCCACCACACAAACACACTGCCAAACATACACACTTCACACACATTCCATAATTTCGCACTCTCGTCACACGAACACGCACCACTTAACCACACGCTCTTGGCACGCGAATTCAATGCACATTCACATCACCATATCACCACACTTCACGGCTACACAAACACGGCACGCCACCACACCACATTCAGCCCAATGCACAAACCAAATCAGCCCACAACTATTTCCAAGCCAACCAACAAGCACAATCACACAACCACGCACAAATTTCCATTCAAGGCACAATCCCATTAATTAATCGCACAAATTAATTCCGATCAAACCCCAACATCACAGCCCTAATCCAAGCTCCCTAAACCTCAAAATTTCATCGCCTAATCAGTCCGAGAGAGATAAAAACCGAGAGCGAACAAAATCGGGTCCAAACTGGGCAGTTACACAGTGACAGAAATCTATTTGAAATAAATAGTAAATCAATTCCAAAAATTCTGAAATTTGGATATGTTGTACAAAACATCTTTATGAACATTTTACATGAAGAACTCGAAACCCAATTCTAACCGTAAACACCTCGTTTTGACACTCAAAGTCAGACGAAATCCGGTTCGCTCGGACAGCCCCTCAGGCCATCAAAATACAACTCATTCGGCACCCAAATCATTTTGGAAAACCTTGAAATTTTTATATGTTATACCCACAAATGTCCCCAACAATTTTTCTGAAGGAAGTATTTTGAAACTAGGCCTGGAAAAATTTATAAAAATTCGAACAGACCCAAAGGTCGGGTGAACAGTAAATCGGGCAGTTTTATTTCGGTCCAAAGATAGACTTCCGAATGGCATCAAATGATTTCCAAAAATTCCCAAATTAAATATGTTATAGTTCAAGATGTTGGAAACAACTTTCATGAAGAAACCTTCCTCAAATTCGGGCCACACAAGTCACACTAAAAATAACAAAAACCAGCGACGCAGCAGCAACCTAACTGGAAATTAGCCAACACACACCACCGAGCAAACCAGCCACTAAACTCACCCTAAACCGAGCCCTAAACAAGCCTAACAATACCCGAGGTCCTAGGCGACATTTGGGGAGGTCACTTACCTAAAAAGCGAGATAGAAAGGGGCTGGAATGGTGGCTGAAACGGCGGAACAGCAGCAGCAGCAGCGGTGATGGAAGGAAAAGAAGATGAAGAGAGTGAGAGAGAGAGAGAGAGAGAAACTGATCGTGAGGGGGGGGGGGGAGTGACCGGCTTGGGGAACAAGAATGGGAGGAGAGAGAGAGAGAGATATTTGGTCAAACATTATAGATTAGGGTGCCAAGTGTCAAAAATCCAAAGCCTTGGACACTTTTGCCCCTAATCCAAAGGCCCATATTTGTTCTAATCCATAAAAGCAAGGGTAGAATGGTCATTTGCTCTTAACCATGGTTGACCAGACCTGAGTTAAGCCTAACTCACCTTGGTTAATCCCAAAATTAAATCCAAATTTCGGAATTAATTAAAAATGGCCTAGGGGTATTTTCGTAATTTTTCGATCCCGAACCGAAATTCCAATTTTCGCACATACGTGTTCCATATGTGCGTGGCCAACATAATATGGCGTCGGAATCGCAAAATTCATCGCGCAAGCCCTCGAAAATCCACGTCAAAGTCTCGGGAATAAAATAATATTATTTTTCCAATTTTTGTCGAAATTTCAATTTTTGGCCAAAACCACTCTGAATGTGCGTGGCCACCCCAAAATGACCTTGGCCGCGAAAAATAACCTCAAACGGCCTCAAAATCCAACATCGGTGTCCACAGGGGCAAAATCGTAATTTTCCCGGTCCCGAACCGAAATCCATTTTTTTGCAGAAATGGTTGGCCCCAAGGTTGGCCAAGCCAAAAACGTCATCGGCCGTCCAAAATTGTCACTTTCAAAATTCTCGATTCCCGGGCCCGAATTCCAAGAAATGACTAAAATCGAGCAATCGCAACTTTAGCTTATCTCTGGCTAACGGGTGGCTCTCTGGAATTACGCGCTCTCGACCCGTGACCGACACTAAGTCAAATCACGTTTAAGTTTACTCCACCCGGGATGACCTCGGTTGTCATATAATTGCGAGGGTCTGTCGCTAGTTCCCTTCGGACACGATCAATCAAGTAGACCGGTCTCGGTTGGCTCAAAACATTCCCTCGTCAATCCATATGATCGAAGATCGAACCCGGGTCGAGTTTCTTTTGTCGTGCGAACTCAATCCCGTAACGGCCCTACCCCTAAGATTAGCATCCCGTGAATGCGCATTTCCGGGTGAGATTTCACTATAAATGCATTGGTCAAATTCATTTCCTAAATCCCGGGAAAAGGATCGAAAATTCAGACTGTTACAAAAGAAGGATGCCATGATATCCTGGTTGGGTTGAATATTCAGGTCTAAATTGAGGAACTTGCGTGCTAAATCTGTCTTTTGTAGATTAAAGACCCAACTTTGGTCAGTCCTAATGATAATGAGGTTGCACACATGCCACCGAAGTAAATTTGGTTTTTCAATGAGTTTGTAACACAATTTTAAATTTAATCCAACTATGTGTTTCTACTCATGCACATCAATTGTTCTAATTTGATAGCTTGTTATAGCTGATTAACCTAATTCCATACTTTGGCAATGCTTGCTTTATTAAAAATGGCAGTTATATTTTGGGGGAATCGCTCCCAAGTCATCTTATGTACGCAATATAATCAAGTCTCAAACCTTTCAATTGCTGCAATAAGGTCCTATGGAAATAGAAAAGTCTAATTGAGCTAAACTTTTGGTTTGTGTAGTCAAGTCATAAAACTGTACTATGAAGTGCACTAAGGTCCTGAACCTATATTAAGAAGTGGGGAAAATTGTCAAAAAAGTCCTAAACCTATTGTACGGCCGCCAATTCAGTCCTAAACCTTTTAAGTTTGCCAATTCAGTCCTAAATCTTTTTAATTCTTGCCAATTCAGTCCTTCCGGCCAATTTTGGCCGGCCGGCGCTGACGTGGCCGCCGGCCGGCGTCGGCCGTCCGGCCAACGCTGACGTGTCAATTTTTTGTTATTTTTTATTCAATTTTTTAATCTTTTTTAATTTTTTTTTTCTTTTTTTTTTTTTTTTCTGATTTCTTCCTCTGGCCGATCCGGCGACCGGCCAGAGGGGAGGGCCGGCGAGGTTGACCTCGCCGGCCTCGCCCAGCAGAGGCGAGGCCGACCTCGCCGTCTCCTGGGTCGACCTCGCCGTTGCGACCCAGGCGACGGCGAGGTCGGCCTCGCCGCTACTGGGCGAGGTTGGCCTCGCCTCGCCCGGCGGCGAGGCCGACCTCACTGCCGTCGCATGGAGTCGCGGCCGGCGAGGTCGAGCCTCGCCGTCGCGAACCGGGGGCGATGGCAAGGTCGGCTCGCCTCTGGCCGGGGCGAGGTCGACCTCGCCGGTCCAACCCTCTGGCCGGTCGCCGGACCGGCCAAAGGAAGAAATCAGAAAAAAAGATTAAAAAATAATAAAAAATTGCCACGTCAGCGCCGGCCGGCCAAAATTGGCCGGAAGGATTGAATTGGCAAGAATTAAAAAGGTTTAGGACTGAATTGGCAAACTTAAAAGGTTTAGGATTGAATTGGCGGCCGTACAATAAGTTTAGGACTTTTTTGACAATTTTCCCTTAAGAAGTGCAACTTAAGGTTGCCACATAAGCTTTGAGGGCTAGCTGGGCAAGTTTCAGCATTGTCCATTGAAAAGACTTGATTTTACTTTTTGTAGTGGTTGCCAATCAAAACAATGACGACGTAATTGCATTTGGCACGAAGGTTTAGGACTTTAGGTGCACTTCTTCTGTTATGTGGGTGCCAAGGGGTGGTGATGTTTTCTTTTAAGTTTTGCACTTGAATTTCCTTAAGATTTCTATACAGATTGCCTAGGGAAGAGGGGGAGGGATGTGGGTGGGACGATTTTTTTATCAATAAGTGAATTTTAAACTTGAATATAGGTTATTGCGGTTGAATTATAAATAAAGTATTGCACTTGACTTATATGTATATATTTTTGTTTGACATGAGCCACAACTCTCTTGGTGTCTTTTTTCTCACATGCGATGCTCCTTTTAACTGTGACCATGGGGGCTGTCTAGCTCGAGAAGTGTTTTTAGTTCCCAATTCCATAGGAAATGAAATGAAAACAATTTTCCGCTTCCATTTCCAAATTTTTTTAAAAGATGTTTGGTAAGCCAAAATGAGAATTCTTGGTGGAAAGCACAATTTTGAAAATATCTTTTGTGCTTCACTAAGATAGTTTTGTTTTTTTTCCTATTTTGACCAAAAGGTTAAGTTTTTTTTCATATAAAGAATTCGAGAAAGTTTTAGAGAAGGTTCATGTTCCTTACCAATTCTCTGTGTAAGTAAAGTTTCTGGAGCTCACTTTCCTATCCTCAACACCATTCAGCTTTGCATTGTAGCTCTGGGGGTGGGGGTGCGTTCTACTGCGATGAAGGTGATTTGTGTAAGGAAAGTTGACACAGCATGTATATACCAATGGCCAATCATTTTGGACATGGATGGCTTCTCTATGAAGCCGTTTTCTGGTACAAGCCATCTCTCTCATTACGTATTTAGATGTTAGTTTGTAGTAGTATAGCTACAGTTTGTAGTAGTATAGCTACTATTTCTACGTTGATGAAGGTGAATTGTGTAAAGACAGTTGACACAACATGTATATACCAATGGCGAATCATTTTGTACATGGATGGTACCCTCTTACCATTTTAATTGAATTTTATTCATGTTTGGTGACAAATTAATAATAAGACTACTAACTCTGTGTGTGTGTGTGAGAGAGAGAGAGAGAGAGAGAGAGAGAGAGAGAGAGAGAGAGAGAGAGGGGGGGGGGGGGTGGTAATTCTGGGCAACAATATGGCATGATGCATCATGGCCTGGCTATGTAGACCGTGAAAATACAAGAAGGTGAAACCTTCAAGATTGAAATGTGGTATATTTTAAGGGATCACACAACCATCCTAGAGGATTTGAAGAATATAATTTTAAAGGAAAAAAACCACCAAAAATCCCAAACTTTCCCACTTGTGACACATTTACCCCGAACTTTTTTTTGTGACACCAAAAACCCCAAACTTTGTTATTTGTGACACATTTACCCCGATATACATTGTCCATGGGCATTTTCGTCTTTTTAGCTTTTTCTTTTTCTTTTTACTTTTTTTTTTCTTTCCGGCGAGGGGGGCCCTCGCCGGCGTCGGCGAGCCTCGCCCTCGCTCGCCCGAGGGCCGCGCCTGCTCGGGCGAGCGAGGGCGAGCCTCGCCGGCGTCGGTCGAGCCTCGCCCTCCTCGCCCGGGCAAGGGCGAGGCTCGCCCGATGCCGGTGAGCCTCGCCCTCGCTCGCCCGAGCGAGGGCGAGCCTCGCCGGCGTCGGGCGAGCCTCGCCCTCCTCGCCCGAGCCGGGGTGAGGCTCGCCCAACGCCGGCGAGCCTCGCCCTCCTCGCCGTCGGGCGGGCTCGTCGCCTCGCCGGAGGGCGGCCCCGCCGCGGCGCCGGATCTAACGAGGGCAGCCCTCGCCCGACGCCGGCGAGGGCCCCCCTCGCCGGATCCAGCGAGGGGCCCTCGCCGGAAAGAAAAAAAAAGTAAAAAGAAAAAGAAAAAGCTAAAAAGACGAAAATGCCCATGGACAATGTATATTGGGGTAAATGTGTCACAAATAACAAAATTTGGGGTTTTTGTGTCACAAAAAAAAGTTCGGGATAAATGTGTCACAAGTGAAAAAGTTTGGGGTTTTTTCCCAATTTTAAATGCCGAGATGTTTTAAAAGTTAAAATTTTGACAATTCCCTTTTGAAGTAGGAGGAGATCTTTAGCAAATAGCAACTAATATGCTATTGGTTACTTGTGACAGATCAAAAGCCTTCATGAGTGGATGCTTACTGTTCTTTTCTTCGGGGGTTTGATTTTCAGATAATTATTTCATATTTTTAGCAGGTTTTGGTCGGCTGCTTTCTTGTCCGTTTCTTGTATTTTCCCTCTCCATACTTTCTTTAAAAAGGAGAAAGCATCTGTTTTGCGATTCATGTAGCTTATATGTCGATATCAATGCCTAAGATGACAGGAATGATTGGCATTCTCCACAAATTGGCATCTTATCTATAATGGAATAACTATATTGAACATTTATGTATAATCCGATCGACGATCACATTAAACGAATTAAAAATTCAGAAACGACATGATAAAATTTCAGATACCATTTGTATTAGTTTTTTTTTCTTCGTTCGAGAAAGTATTAGTCATGATGGACGGACCGGACCATCTCGGCAAATCGTGATGTACGGGATTGACCCAATCCAACAGCGACCGGTCGAGCCCCGCGTCCCAGTCGTGGCGGTGACGCGTTGTCCAAGTCGCGTGGGGGGGACGAAATACTCCTCCCTTTGATCAGGTCAAATTTGCGGACACATGGGAGATGGGGCCTCCCCCGCAATGACTCAGTCGGTACCTTCTCCGACGACGGATCCCCCCGCCGTGCCCGATGCACACGTGGACGGCCGGGATTGGCTGGGGGGCGGGGCCATGCATGCGGGTCGCCTCCTCCGCGGGTACCACTGGGGGCAAAGAAAAAGGGGAGGATCCGGAAGTTGTACCTGCTTTTCTTTAAATTTTCTTTGTATCGAAGTTGTTAGCTTTCATAATCACGCTTTGAGCTCGATTTTCACGCTCTAACCTCGTGGAACAGTGCGAGTGCTCCCTCTCTCTCTCTCTCTCTAGGACCAGTGGAAGCGCAAGTTGTCTTCTTGTTTCGATCCTTATCTCCTCGCATGCTCGAGATCACTCATTGCGTTGTGGGTTTTGTAAGAATTCTTCCACCGCGTTTCGTCTTCTTGTTCTTGTTCTCTGTTTCATTGGTCTCCTCAGCGAAGATTCGGGGAAGCGATTTCCCTCTCGCGTTTCGGTGTTGTTCGGCGTGATTTGATGGCCATTTTCCCGTCTGGTTCTTCCAGGAAGCGCTCTCTTTTGTAGCTTCTTACAATGGGTGACTCGTTTCTTTTCCGCTCGTTGAATCGGACTGGGTTTTGTTCTCTTCAGTTTAGGGCTAGGGTTTGGTAGTTTTGTGATCTGGAGATCGTTAAGAGTTTGCTTTCGCGGACGCATTTCATTTTCTGTGTGGTTGTCCTTGTTTTGTTTCGGGGAAGTTTTGTGTTCGGATTAAGTTTGTTGCTCCTCATTGAGGGAGAGGGATTTTACTTTTCCCTGAGTTCATTTGAGTTTAGTTGAACTTACTCATGCTTTACTGAATTCACATGCTCACTGCCCTAGCTGGCACGAGTACCTATTTATTTTTGAAATATACTCCCTTTTGGATCTTTAGGCTCGCTGGCTTTCGGTGTAGTCTCACGGGTTTTGGATAATTTTCTTTGTTTAAAGGGTGTGGTTCCTACGCTGTTGCTCCCCATGTTGTTCTCACTAGATGCGGATGCGTCATGATTAAGTCATAAATGCCACTTAGGTTTTGGTTTTGTAGTCTATTCTTCTGATGATAATTTATGGGCATGCAATATGTTCTTTCCTTTCCTTTTGATTATTTCTTTTGAAGATCTTGAGTTGCGAGATTTCAGTGCTGTTTTTGCTCTTTTTACTCACGTCTGTGCTGATTCCTTGGAAAAATATGCCTAGTAAGATTCAACCTTCGAAGCTGTCCGTCTCTTGTTGTGTTTAAAAGTGAGTATGGGGACATTTTTCCTGGCTTAGAGCAATCTGTGCTTCTGGAGATTTTAGTTGAGACCCTTTTTTAAATAAGGCAAACAAATTTCAATGGCTATGTCATGTTTAAATGTTCTGAAATATTGCTTATATCCTTCTAATTTGAGTTAAGGAATACTATAACAATAATCCAAGACAGTACTCTTGTTGGTGAGGATTGGATTGGCTATTGAATTTCAGTCATGTAATGTGCAATGCTCCATAGATTATGGTCAAAGATTTATACAGGCATGCCATTAGTAGAATTCGCCTCTGAGCTTTTCTTTTTGCAGATTTGGGCCTCTAGGTGATATCGTTGCTTGACAACGAGAGAGAGCACGCTAGTTAGCATCCATAAAAGGGACATGGCTGTGTACAAGCGTGCTCTCTATCGTTGTCATACAATATGCATTTGAGGCTTTGTTCCCAATCTGTGACATAAGCGGATGGTAACCTTGAATTATTTGTCTCAAGTGTAATATTTTAATGCATGACATTGATGAGTTGTGAAGGCTTGTGTCATGCATATATGATGCAAGTGGGTTGAGTCTCCTTTTACACATAGCTTGGAGGTAATGTGAATTTTCTTTTTCTCCTTAAACTTGACATTTCAATGCTTGATACTAATGAGTGTGTACTTTGTGTGATGCACTAGTATTGTGCAATTCTAGATGGTTTTCCAATTATTTGGTGCATGCTTCTAGAATTTGTGTGCATCTTTGTTTATGTTTGGTTGTTGTGTAGATGTGATGCGATGGAGCATGTACTAGATACTCAAATGTAAAACATGTTTTTTTGACGTAGCTGGTAGTTTCTCCATATATTCTGCAACATCGACGTGTCTATTGAGATGTGCACATTTTATTGCTTGATCTATAGTATGCCACTATTCATGATACTGATCAATGATTTTGGAGTTGCATTGCTCACTAATAATGAATTAGTGTAATGCACGATATTAGTGTAATGCACGATTTTGGAGTCTAGGTACCATATTGTTTGTTATTTTCCTTGAAGTGCCGATTTCATGTGGTGTTTGGATGAGGTTATGGGACATTGTCCTTGTCAACTTGTGCAACATAACTTTAAATCTGCTCGAACTTGTAGTTGCTAAGTTAGATATTGGCTAAAGTATATTGTTTCAACGAAATTATGAAATATGACGTGCACTCCAGCATAATAGGCTTAATTCAGGGAAAAGAAGGATGCCATGATATATATTGAGGTCTAAATTGAGGAACTTGTTTGCTAAATTTGTCTTTTGCAGATTAAAGACCCAACTTTGGTCAGTCCTAATGATAATGAGGTTGCACACGTCACCGAAGTAAATTTGGTTTTTCAACAAGTTTTTAACACAATATTAAATTTAATCCAACTATGTGTTTCTTCTCATGCACATCAATTGTTCTAATTTGATGGCTTGTTATAGCTGATTAACCTAATTCCATACTTTGGCAATGCTTGCTTTATTAATAAGTGAATTTTAAACTTGAATATAGGTTCCTGTTGATGCCTTGTGTAGCTCTCGTTTTTCTGCTGGCCGGTGTTTTGGCCTTTGTCTTTGTATAGCGCACTTGTTGCTTCCTTGCTTTGCTTAGCCGCAACACCTTTGCACCCATCAGGACACACTTATGTGTCACCTTAGGTACAAGGTTTTTGTGTTCGGCTACTCTCTCTATATGTTGCTCTCTTTGTATGTTGCGCGTTGAAAAGTTAATATACTTCTTACCTTACTATATAAAAAAAAATTGAATATAGGTTATTGCGGTTGAATTATAAATAAAGTATTGCACTTGACTTATATGTATATATTTTTGTTTGACATGAACCACAACTCTCTTGGTGTCTTTTTTCTCACATGCGATGCTCCTTTTAACTGTGACCGTAGGGGCTGTCTAGCTCGAGAAGTGTTTTTAGTTCCCAATTCCATAGGAAATGAAATGAAAACAATTTTCCGCTTCCATTTCCAAATTTTTTTAAAAGATGTTAGGTAAGCCAAAATGAGAATTCTTGGTGGAAAGCACAATTTTGAAAATATCTTTTGTGCTTCACTAAGATAGTTTTTTTTTTCCTATTTTGACCAAAAGGTTAAGTTTTTTTTTGTCATATATAGAATTCGAGAAAGTTTTAGAGAAGGTTCATGTTCTTTACCAATTCTCTGTGTGAGTAAAGTTTCTGGAGCTCACTTTTTTCCTCTCCTCAACACCATTAAGCTTTTCATTGTAGCTCTGGGAGGGGGGTTGAGGTGCTGCCTTCTCTCAAGCTATCTGGAAGATCCCTTGTTTTATGCTTGGATCCATTCTTTGAAGAAGACATTATGAAAAGAATGTCTTTCAGTCCATGATACTGTGTTCTCATTTTGGACCTGGAAACACCAAAGTGTTTTCAGTCCATGATACTGTTTTCACTTTTGTGCCTAATAGTCGATAACAAGCTGACCGTGTTTCCATTCGAAAAATTTTCCGTGATCCCGCCAAACAAAGTTGCTAGTGGCCTTTTCATTCTCAGTGAAATGAAAGTGTAGCTTCGAAATTGCCTATCAAGCAAACAATCCCTGAAATCCTGCCATTTTCTTTTCTTTTCTTTTATAGTTTTCTTTTGCTAGGAATGGTGAGTCATAGTTGTGAGTAGAATCCTAGAACATTTTTATGCCAGAAGTGTAGTTCTACTTTTTGGGGGCCTTTTTTGGTCCACTCCATGTAACTATATCTTGTAGAGAATGAAATTGTACTATACGTAAAAAATGTAAAGCTCATGCATTGAAGCAAAATACTTCTTTCTACAATAAAGACTGTGGTATTTTTAGTTTTTATGGAGTGTGGCCTATTTCAAAAATAATGCGACACAATTTGCCAATTTGGGTGTGGAGAGATTCCATTTTAATTCTTGTGTTGAAAGAAGAAAGAGACTAAGATAATTCCTCTCCTTGTGTTTTGGCTAATCCAGAAAGAAAGGAACAAGGAGGAGTTGTCCTCTGGGGATTCTCTTAGGGATAATTTGTTGTATAGACTTCACATTTGGTAACGTAGGAAAGTTTAATTTCATAATCGTAGTATTGTTGGATGTTAGGTTTTTATATGTTACACCAGCAGCAAATTGCTTTCTGCATGAGCCATCTCTCTCATTACTTATTTAGATGTTAGTTTATTAGTAGGATAACTACTATTTCTACCGCGAAGAAGGTGATTTGTGTAAAGACAGTTGACACAACATATATATACCAATGGCAGATCATTTTGGACATGGATGGCTTCTCTATGAAGCCGTTTTCTAGTACAAGTCATCTCTCTCATTACGTATTTGGATGTTAGTTTATAGTAGTGTAACTACTATTTCTACGGTGATGAGAGTGATTTGTACAGTTGACACAACATGTATATACCAATGATTGAAGCCGTTTTCTAGTACAAGCCATCTCTCTCATTACGTATTTGGATGTTTGTTTATAGTAGTATAACTACTATTTCTACGGTGATGAAGGTGATTTGTACAGTTGACACAACATGTATATACCAATGGTGAATCATTTTGTACAGGGATGGTACCCTCTTGGTACCATTTTAATAGAATATTATTCATGTTTCGAGACAAATTAATTCTAAGACTACTAACTCTCTGTGTGTGTGTGTGAGAGAGAGAGAGAGAGAGAGAGAGAGAGAGAGAGAGAGAGAGAGAGAGAGAGAGAGAGAGAGAGAGAGAGAGAGAGAGAGAGAGTGGTAATTCGGGGCAACAATATGGCATGGTGCATCATGGCCTAGCCATCACTTGATTTCGACCTTGTTTGGTGTTGAGGAATCTCATTTTCAATAATTTAGAGAAGCTTGAGGTATAAATCACAAGAAAGATAATGGCAAACGATCATAGGGAGGTAGCTAATACATCACTCCATGTGTTGTAAGTTCCGTATGCTCAAGAACTTTCTTAGAAGTTTCTCTCCGAGAGACCTCTTTCTTGTTTCTTTAAGACAAGCTTGTTGTTGTGTACTTGATGTTTCTTGTGGTCTTTGATTGTCTCCTAACTTTTACATATCCTTATCTCATTGTGCGATCTATGATGTGCTGGAGAATGATGATGAATAACCCTCGTATATATGTGTATCTATTGGAGAGCAGTCTCGTTCCAGGAAGACATCATTTATATCCATTGTATTGGTTGCCAAACCATATTGAGTTTGTGATTGAGTTTACATGTCAATTTTCTTCTGTAATTCTTGGATTCTAAATGATTTTATGAATTTAATAACGTGTATGAATCACTTTTCTCTTGTATAAAAGTTTCATTGATTAAATTTAACCCATATTTCTTCAAGGGGATTATCTTTTCCGACTTACCGGGAAGTCATAAGAAGGCAAAAGTTTCTTATATAACTTCTGCTTCAAACTCGATTTCCTTATAGCCTCACCTGCCTCGTTTATTATCATTCTTGGCAGCTCATAACAAGGAAGAAGAATGAGGTTGATGTGGAACAAACTCATCCATTTTGGGGCGAATAGATGAGAGCTTGTAGCTAAACCTTGATATAACCTTATTGCTAGCTGTTAGGAATGTCATTCACTATCTTGTGTAACCATATTTATTCCTTTTGTGGCTTAAATAAATTGTTCTATGTACTCTTTGTTTCTGAAAGTCTTCCATTACGTCACCTAATAATAAGATGCATCTTCATTATTGCGTCTTTAGTTAGATCTTTTGCTCTTTCAATTCACTAAGCAGAATTCTCGATTTTTGCTGTGGAAATAATCAAATTGATTTTGGGGCATTACCATGCCTGCCATTTATAGCTTCAGTCATACTGTCTGCAACAATTTCGTCTCCACTTAAGAGTCCTTATTGTTGCTGAATATAAGTTTTATAATATGCTTTGGAGTCTTTATCTTTTCCTAGATAGATCTTGGTTCATTGACTTCATTAATAGTTCGTATACTATCAAATGGATATCTGAAACACTAGTCCTTAGCCTCTTTAGAATTCGAAGATGAGGTCTATGATTTTGTCTTAGACAGATGATTCTGGATTTGTCCTATCTTGCTTTTGTGCGTATGTGCACTTATAGATGTGGATTCTTCTTGTGCAAATTATGGTTTGCTGGGCATGTGAATATTCATGCATTATATTTGTTTTTAGTCAATGTGGGCTCTGAAAGTGCAAAGGTAGGTCATTGTCTTCACTCAGCATGAAATTGATTATGTAGTCAACCAAATTTGCGACATCGCTACAAATTGAATTTCCGGAAACACGTTTGGCTTACTCAACCATTTGAGTTGGAGATGAGGTAAATATCTGCTGTGTTTCTTTGTTAATTTATAAGTGTCATCGCATCTCTAGTTTGCCCATACTGCTAATGTCTCTATTGAGAGCTATTGAGCTCCATAGTTGACTCACAAGAACTGGGATATTATGCCTAAATTGCTGCCAAACGTGTTTTACATAATTTGTTTTCTCTATGAGATTGAAATTGGAATTTTCAGCTTCAAATTGGTGAGGATGCTTATTTTTGGATAAGAAATAAGGTGAGGATGTTAGAAAGCAAATAATTATGTATTTGTTGTGCATTTGACTTGGCTTTGAGTCAGCTATGCTCTAACTTTTGTAGTCTTATTGACCTTTGACTTTGATATGGAATTCAGTGTAATGGCATAAAAAATGATTCACATGCCCAATCCAACATAGCCAGCTTATTTGCTGCTGCTGTCGCTGTCCTGTGGTTGGTCTTTCTGTACTCAAATTTGACAAGAAAAGGTTATAATCGAAGTTATCTTCCAAACATTATGTTCGCAAATGTTAATTTGGACTGCACTTGAAATTTGTGCGTGGTGAAGAATATCCAGAGAGGGCTAATATTAGATTGCACTTGAAATTGTTTGTGCTGAAGACTGTCCAATGCCTTCTCTTTCATTTACGACTGCGTCCTCCGGAACTCTCCTGCATGATTTTGCATCTCAACTTATTGCTTCAATAACGTGTCAGTTCATTACTTTTGGTCTTTCTTTTTGTTGCTTCAATAACGTGTCAGTTTATTACTTTTGGTCTATCTTTTGCTGTACATGTTTGATGTGTGACTAAGCCCAGAGGTCCAAAAACTCCGAACAGGAAGAGGGTCGAATAGCTTGGCACAAGTTATGCTTGGTTAGGGATCAATTAATCTACAACCATCATGTTGCCAAGTTTCCTTCTATGAGATTGTAGAGAATTCTATATGCTGTAACGTGAAAAATCTTATGCTGGATGATGAAGAAATGATAAGCCATAGGCTATCACACGGGTTTGAGAGAGAAAATTTTCTCTGTGAGGCCTGAGGAATTTCTTCCCAAGTTAGCCTTTTTACACTCACTCAAAATCTTAGAGAACTAGAGAGAGAAGTTCTGGATTGTATTTCATGTGATAATGAGAGGTACAAATGAGGGGATGAGACTCCTTTATACACAAATATAGGACTGACTGTAACTGTGGATCTCTTCTCGATCTAACGGTAGAGATCGCACGTCTTTATCTCCCAATCAAAGGCCACCTCTCTATTGGCCAATAAAATTACAAGAATGAGGTACAATTACAATAATACCTGACCCCAAGAGTATTCTAGAACAAATAAAAAAAAACCTAGGACTTAGTTTTCTTGAGATCTGTCTTGTCGTTCAAGAAACAATCATGGTCCATTGTTCATAAGACCTCGAGAATGATTCAATTTTCTGGGCCATGACACATGCGTGTTGGCTTTTTTTTTACTAGCTTAAGGTATTCATTCCTCTCTTGCCTTTTTCAGTTTGATACTTAAGCGATGCTCCTTTTATTCGTCGCTTGCAATGAAAAACTTGAAACTTAATTGAGATTTGGTTTTTGATTTACGAAGCAACGGCAGTTTCTGGTGGAGTTAAACCGTGGAGTGGCGGTTTTGATTTGACGCGTGTTCTTCCAGTAAGCAATCACTCTTATTTCTTGAGTTGAAATGGGAACAATGTAAAGAGAGCAGAGCTGGAAGACAGCAACTATGTCTTCTATTGTTCTTGCATAAGGGTATATTGCATCATATTTCATTACTTAAATACGGAGTAAGGTTAATTCAATTACGCTATTGAGTCTCTTTCTTCCCTTCGGTGGAGTCTGCTTGGGGTGCCCATCACCCAAATGTTGTCTAAGCTAATCTATCGCATTATTCACGTTCGAGAGACCGGCCGATATTTCGATTAAATGGAACTTTTATCTATTTATATCCATACCATCTACTTTTTAAATCCGTAAGGTACCCGTTAGCTAAAAAAGAAAAAGACTGTCCAAATTTCCACTCAAAAGGAAATATTACCTGTTAGTCTTATGGAATTGGGGGAGTGTGGTCTTTAACGGCCAAAGATTAAACCATATGAGGTGAGGACTACTATGCAGAGGAATTTGCTTGAAAGGTGAAGATGTACGGGGGACTCTGAAACAGAGTTTCAGGCTTATAATGTGATTCAGATGAATTTTTTTGGAAGTTTAACTGAGTTTTAACTCTGATGAAAGCTGCACTTGGCAATCAAACTTGCGGGCCATAAAGGGTTTCATCAGTTTATAGATGCCTTTCCAGTTCTTCTCTTCTTTGACATATTGCAGTGATAAGTATTGGGCAAGAAGAAAATCGCAAACCAGGGACAGTGTGCATCTGTCCATGCGTTTAGCTATCAGGTGTGGCGCCCCTTCACCGAGCTTGAAGAAGAAACCATTAACCATCTTTTCTGTCTTTTTGGTGTTTCTTTTGTGAGCAATTTTTCTCTTCTTTTAGCCACACAGACTGATAAAGGTGAAAGTCGTTGAACGCAATCAAAACTCATTATCTGGATC